ATCGCTCTCGCCGTACGTGCACTCTCCTCAGCCCCCCGTACGTCGAGATAATCTGACATTGGGCCAGATCTACGAACATTTCGACGCCCCCTCCCGCGCCTATTTCCTCAAATCCAAATGGCAAAACGACCCCTCCCTCTTCTCCGCCCACCAAACCAAATTCTCCACCCCCTCCGTCCTTGAGGCCCAACTAGCCTCCGCCCGTAACCGCCTCACCGTCATTGAAGCGCTCCTCGGGTACAAGAAGGAAAAGGACGAGCCGCTGTGGTTGACGGGGAAGCCGTCGCATGCGGATTTTGCGCTGTTTGGGTGGTTTGCGGCGAGTCGGGTGAATGAGAGTGTGGAGAAGGGGGTTTGGAGGCATGAGGAGAATCCGTTGGTGGGGGAGTGGTTGGATTTGGTGCTGGGGAGTGGGTTGGTTGATAAGAGTCAGCTGGATTGAGATGTAGATAAATTAGAAGCATAGATATGTATATGGTCGTCCTTTTATATATGGAGCTCTAGCTGCTTGTAGATGGCTGCAGGGATGTACTTGGGGCGTAACATAGGACACTTGGTCCATGGTTGATGGAGGAGCCAGAAGCGGAGTCCCCACAGTGTCCGCCCGGCGCGTCGACTTTCGCGTTTCTCCCTCGTCCTAATGTCCACCTCATCCCCTTTCTTCACTTCTTCTCTTCCCCCATCTCTCTCCATCTCGACCTCTCCCAGTCACTCCATTCCGTCTCGCCCTCACCGACCGAAAGCGACGTGCACGAACAGCGACGGGCCATGGTCAGAACAGCAGCCACATCATCAGCAACATCAAGACCAAAACCAGATTGGACCTGGCTCACCTCCACCTCCCGGCTCGAGGATATCACACCAGAGCAAAGACGACAAGCTGCTGGCTTGGTGGGGGGTGTACCTTGTGCGGTAGATTTGACGCCTCGGTTGGCGTCTGATCTTGGGAGGAAGGATAGAGCGAGTGGAGGTGGGAATGGAGGGGGAGGGAAGGATGTCAAAGCTCAAGATAAGGGAGATGGAAGTGAGAAGGGAAATGGAAATGGAAAGACCCAAGGAAGAGGGAAGGGGAAAGGCAAAGGACAAGCGGGATGTAGAGCAAGAGGGTGTAAATCCAATCCTGTTTGTTACAACCACCTCGGTATCGCACCCGTACGTTCCTCTCTTCGTATCTAACCCCTTTCCGTATCCTTTCTCGATGCTCTCATTCAAGACATGAGAGTACAGGCTAATAAAGACTGTAGCTCCTCGAACACGACGCCAAACAATCCTGGATCACCGACCGTCTAGGCGATGCCGCATCGGCATTATCAGAACAAAGAGACCCGGACGAACCTGCAGGTCTTCGCAATCTCGGGGCAACTTGTTATGTAAGTCCCTACATTGCTTTCCATGGGTTAAATGATGAAAATCAATGAAGGGGAATGGTGCTGACAGGATGGTGGGGTTATCAGGCGAATGCGTTTCTGCAGTTATGGTTTCATGATGTGCCTTTTCGGAATGCTGTTTACGCTTGTGCTACCTCGGAAGTAAGCTCACTTCCCTCTCCCCACCCTCCTCCTTCTCCGAACCACCCCACCTCTCCCTTAGAGACGCAAGTTGACGTCAAAACTCGCCCACAGAATACTCCCCTCTTCCAACTCGCCCTCATATTCGGGATGCTAGAACATTCAGAGAAGAAGGTGGTCGATCCGATGGGGCTGATTGATGCGTTGAGGTTGAGTAAGGGGGACCAGCAGGATGCTGCCGAGTATGTCCTTTTTCTCATTCTCTCTTGCTCCCCTCTCCACTGCTTCTTCACTATGTTGCATCACTAATCTCCCTATTTGTCTCTGTGAAGCAAAGGTAGAAACAAAAGGAAGGAAGGCTGACTTGGGTACAGGTTTTCGAAACTGTTCATGTCGCTCATAGCATCAGAATTCGGCAAGAACCCTGATCCAAAGTTGAAGAATCTGGTGTCAGACCAGTATGAAGGCAAGATGCGGTACGTCACAAAGTGCGAGTGTGGATATGAAAGTGTTACCGAGAGTAAGTCCCTTCCCCACCTCCCTCCATCTTCGCGAAGCTGACGATAGTGGCAGCAACGTTTTTAGAACTCGAGTTGAGTTTGAAAGACAACACCACCCTCCAAAACCGCCTCGACACCTTCCTCCTCCCCGAGCTCCTATACGGCGACAACAAATACAACTGCCCCTCCTGCCTCTCCGCCCGACCCGCCACCCGCCGTCAATTCCCATCCCACCTCCCGCCCGTCATCCACTTGTCCCTCATGCGGTTTGTGTTTGATCTGGCGAGCCTGAGCCGAAAGAAGAGTAAAGCGGGGATAAGGTATCCGAAGGAGATTGTGTTGGGGAATAGTGTTTATGAGTTGAGGGGGGTTATTACGCATATGGGGCCTAGTGTGAGTTCTCTATAATAATGGAGGCCATGGCTGATTGAGGTATAAGGCGCATCATGGTCATTTCATATGTGAAACATACGACGAACCCTCCGACAAATGGTACATCTACAACGACGAAACCGTCTCCCCCAAACCCCCTCGACCCACCAAACGTCTCAAAATCTCATCATCCGCCTCTTCCCCGCCTCCTCCAGGAGAAGAATCCTCTAAAGACGCTTATATGCTGGTGTACAGACGTCGGGATGGGCCTGTAAGGGCGGAGGGGGTGCCAGGGGTGGTGAGGAGGAAGGTGGAGGAGGATAATGGGAGGTGGAGGGAGAAGGTTGATGGGGTGGTGGTGAGGAGGGAGGTTTTGGAGGATGAGTGGGATCATTTGAAGGGGGGTAAGATGGATGTTGCCAGGGCGCTTGAGGGTGTGAGTATTCCATTTCTGTATCCGGCGGGACAATGGCTGATGAGGGGTAGACGGACTTTATCGTACCGAGGGAAGCGTTGACAGGATGGTTCCAGGCGAAAACGTTTGACGAGCTCTATGCGCCGTTCGATTTCGGCCCAGTATCGTGCGACCATGGACAGATCGACCCATCCAAATCATCCGAATTACGCCTCATCTCGGCCCTCGCACACGACAAGCTCTCACACTACTCCAACCTCCCATCGCTCGACATTTGCCCCGACTGTATCGGCGTCGAATTCGCCAAGCGGTTGAAAGATGCCGAGCGACAAGCGGCGGTGGAGGGGTATGACGAGCTGATGTCGGACCTGACGGGGGATGATGAAGGGGAACTGTGGTGTATCCCCCAAACTTGGGTGCTTCACTGGCGCGCTGGTAAACTGCCCCGCGGCGCGACGCCGGCGAGTGAAGAGTACACGCTCTTCTGCCAACACAGTAAACCTTCTCCCGATATGCCTGCTACCTCCAACATTACCGCTTCCGCCCTCGCGCACCTCCGCTCCATCTTTGGTGACTTTGCAGCTTTTCACCCGTCCGACCCAGTTTGTGAAGAATGTTCGCAGTCGGGCCAGGCGGACGCGGCGATGATGGCGCAGTGGAAGGTCGATGTCAAGTTTGATAGGGCGATCAAAAAACATCTCGATCCCAAACCGCCGGCCTATGGTTTGGACTATTCCGTGCTACCGACGCGGTGGGTCGGGGAGTGGGAGGAGTATATGAAAACGCCCAGGGAGAGACCGCAGCTGGATATGGAGAGGGATGGGTATTGTGAGCATGGAATGTTGAATTGGGATCCGGAGACGACGAGGTGTCGGATAGTAGATGAGAATGGTTGGAATTTGATCTGCCAGAAGTGAGTCGTCCGCTTTGGATGTTGTGCTCGGCTGACAGATGTAGGTATGGGGATCAACGTAAACCTATCAAAATCCAGTTTGGACCAGAGATTGCACAAGGCAAAAAGTACGGGATCCAGAGCGTCTCGGCGTCGGTATGCGAACCATGCCGCTCGGCTCGGCTGTCGACATACGAATCTACCACTATCCCTATCATTATCACCCCCGCCTCCACCAACGGGCACGCCAATGGCCAAAGCAACGGCAATGACAAAGCGGCGAATGGGAACGGCAAAACAGCCCGCACCACCGCCCGTTCTTTGCGCGCCCGAAACAAGACCCTCAAATTATCTGCTACCCCAAGTACGACAATCACAGCAATCAAAGTCGAAATCATGAACCAGACCGGCATTTTTCCCATGCTCCAGAAACTCTCTTACCACGAACGCGAGCTGGACGAAGGGGAAAAGACGGTCAAGGACGTGGGGTATCTGGATGGCGAGGAGATGGTGTTGGAAGAGATGGATGGGGAGGGAGAGTGGGATGATGATGGGGTGAAGAATGAAGGGGTGGAGGAAGGGTTCGGGGGCACGGCGTTGTTGGCGAGGATCAATTGCCCGGATTGTACTTACGAGAATGATGGGACGGCGACTTGCTGCGATATGTGCGGTCGGGTGAGTCTTTCGAGTATCGTTCGTTGAGCAACTGCTGATGGGTTGGAAGCCTTTCAATTACGACTAGTGACGATTATATGATTTCATGCTCCTTTACACCGTGTTGACCACGGATGGACATTTGATGCAGTGGGCCAGGTTGGAAGAGATGCAGCTTTATGTGCGGTGTGATTACAAGTCTCAGCTCAGCATGTAAGTTCGTCGGTGTCTCCATGCATATGTATACATGCGCCTGAGCAAAGTTCTCATCCTACACTATACGATCGCTATCGCCTACCCTCCTACGCTGCCGACGCTCTTTGACATGTTGTCTCATTTCCGTCGGCGACAGGTATTTGCGAAGTAGCGTCGCTCGCATGGATATGTTGGGCAGAATTCAAGTGATGGGGACAAGATACTGTCTAAGCCTGCGTGGTGTTCATCAGGGCGTGAGGACATAACGTCACCAAGAAATCCTGGAGAACGTTGGCGCGCTCTCCCCTTTGTGAGGTTTAGCCTCCAAACCTTCAAAGGATAAGCTTTTGTTAGGCATCATTCTCAAACGTACTGCATGATACATCCAGCTCGTACCCTTCATGCTCCACGGGGCAATGACTACATAAAGCTCGACACAGATAGAGCTAGGAACTATAGCGGCTGTCTACTGTACTTTACTCGTACCGCTCACCCCATCAATCGCGATTCAGCGTTGGCCGAACATGGCACCTACACTCTTTACTGTGACATTCCTTTCACTGGCTTTGACCTCGCTGGCCGAGGCGTACAATGTTCTCCACACCGTGGAAAATGCTACTGGCACTTTGTGAGTTTGTAGCTATGGCATGATCGGTGCAATGCATCATGCTTACCAGGAAAGTTATTATGATTATGTCATGGTTATAGGAGGCACCTGTGTACTTTGTTCATTTAGTAGATTAGTTGTGTGTTTCGTGGACCGTGCTCTCCGTAGATACACTTAGCAGAGTTGTCTTTCATAGTTCTTCTTCTTTGTATGCGACAATAACGAAAAGGTTTTTGCCCCTTATATCAAAACTCTCTTCAGCACGGCAAGGGCATTCCCCAAGCGTGACAGATTATGGGTACGAGTCCACCGGGGATCGCTGTGCTGGGCGGGGTTCTGGTGCAGGGATGCTCTCTTCGGTACCTCATTGTGAAAACAATGGCCCGTCATACTCAGACTTGGGTACGAATCGAATAGTGGGTACGTAACTGTCATAGCCCTCATTGAAGAAAACTCCCCTGATGTCTTGTTGTTGGAGAACAGCAATGAATCGATCGATGGTGAATGGCGATTTGAGCGCATGGTGCGGCAAAGAGTGAGTGGCAGCTACAAGCTATGGATGTACTTATGAGCTGACCATAGAGATCAAGAGTGAAAGTCTTTCTAGGTGATGGAACCGAAGTCGAGTACGACGAACCGCTCGTCTTATGGGACGTTTGTGAAGCCGCCGAGACAGCACCTATCATCGACTTTAGCGGTAAGCCCTCATCCTCACTGCGTGTGCCGTCCACTCATTATGCCCGCAGTCGATTTTTACCTCAATCTCATGGAAAACGGAGACTGCATGTCCAATAACGGTAACAACCCCGCTGGTTTGAAGATCCAGATTGTCGACAACCAGATTTGGGCGCCCGCTCCGGGATCAAATTCCTATTCCCCCACAGCCGCTTCAACCATCTACTCGGGTGGTGGTTACAACGGAATCAATCCTAAGAACACTGAGATTCCAGCATGGGGCGATGGAAAGGGGGTCGACAAGGCGGGACAGAGACCCTTGACGGTCGCAACGGCTGCTGCGACCACTATCGAAACGACCTCAGCTGGAGCAGTATCCAATGAGCAAGTAGCAAGTTCGGGGGCAGTACAAACATCTACGGGTGCTTTAGGAGCTGTTCAAACTTCTACGGCCCTGGATGGTACATGCACCAAAGGCGAGCAGAAGTGCGAGAACAACCAGCTCTTTATCTGCAATTACATCTCCAATAGCGCTGATGGGCTGAGTGAGTTTCGGAGGTGGATTTGGAAGGGTGACGGCTGATGAGTGCATAGCATGGGCATTACAGAGTGAATGTCCAGGTGGATGTGATACATCTTCACAAAATATCTGTAAATCGCAAAGGAAGAGAAGAGGTTTGGTTTGAAAATGGGCATAACGACTCAATCTATGCCTCTTTTGTAATGAGTCTAGTAGATTGTGCCCAGTATGCACGTACCACGCTGCCTTACCAGTAGTCGTAGGTTTTCGAAAGCAGGTTCGGTGAAACAATATTACATCGTGTCCATCTATGAATTACATATGACAGCTACTTGAACTCTGTTCCGTCCACCATGGCCAGCAGTGAGCCATACTCTTCGTTCCCTTGAGCCATACAAAGCGCATGGAATCGAGTCGTATGATTGCAAATGAGATGTGCTGGCTTGCCTACAGAGAGTTTCAATCTTGAGCAGGTAAGACGACTCCCAGACTTACCCTCTTCAACAACTTCGCCCTTGTCAAGGACGAGGATTCGGTCACTGTAGCGCCAGTCAGAACGCTGTTCGTATATCAGTTAGAGGCAGAGCACATACAAATCCATTATCGTTGCAAGGCGATGAGCAATGACGAGCATAGTAGTACCGGCAAAATATTCTTTGATGGTGGCCGTTATTTTGGCATCAGTTCTGTTGACCCGTGTCAGCACCCTGCATGGTCGGAGATCCAAGAATCTTACGCAAAGTCGACCGAGGATGTTGCTTTGGAGTGTCATTTAGTCTCGAGTAAGAGTAATTACTAGCGAGGGTTCATTCACCTTCATCCATAATCAGTATCTTTGAGTCCTTCAATAGAGCCCTGGCCAGACATAGTAATTGACGTTGACCTTGACTGAAATTACCTCCTTCTACATGATTGATCAGATTTTACCCCAGACCAGGTTTCTGTGACCCACCAATGGCAACGTAGGTGTTGAGGTCAGCAAACGGGTTCTCCCTCATGTCCTCTTCGGACATATCTCTGGAGATGAGATGGACTTTGCAAAGAGCCTCGTAAATGTCGGAATCAGCTGTGTTGAGTGATGTAAGCTTATAGGTATCTTCTTGAAGGCTGGTCGCTCACTTCGTAGACCAGTCACGTCCAAGGACTCTCGCAGGCTTCCGGAACAGAGTGTACCATCTTGAGAGATCATATTCAGTCTTCTTCTCAGCTCGGGCAACATGACAGTGTTCGTATCCGCATTTACATTCAGTTCGGGATCCACACAGGATCGAGAGTAATAACGTACCGATTCCATCGATCAGCATTCGGCCCTCTTGATCGCCGATGGCTCGCATCAATGCCAAAGCGAGTGTAGATTTTCCCGAGCCAGTTGCTCCTACAAGACCCACACGATGACCTGGCTAAGACTCCGCATTAGTCTTGCAGAATCGCGCATGATCGAACGATTTGCTCACTTCGATGGTAAACGAGACCCTGTTTAGGACTTTGGGCAGGTCGGGCGCGTATCGCACGTTGAGATCTTGTACCTCAATCTTGCCGCTTGCAGGCCATCCATTTAGCGGCAAGATGCCTTCCTCAGATTCGTGATCAGGCATGTTGATATCTGAATGAATGTTGTTAGCATTCATCCAAGAACAAGAAGAACAGACGAACAGTAGATGACTCGTTCGGCGCTGACCAATGTCTGCTCCAACAGGGAGTAGCGTTCTATGAGACTGAATAGCCCTTTGTCGCTTTTCGTCAGAACATGTCGGATTCAGAAGGCTTCGGCTCACCAGAAGAAACGCGCAACGCAAAGCCCAGTATCAAACCAGCTTGAGAGGGTGAGATGTTTTGTCCCACAAGCAAAAATCCCGTAGGTGATGAAAACACTCGACATTGACTTTACAACAGCGGTAACCCATTGTTAAGCTGGGCTCGTGAGTCATCAGCTATGCCAATCTAGAGAATCAACACTCACCGACCCAAGCTGCCAGTTGTGCTGCTCTCTCCCTGTTATTCAGGATTTGCATAGTCACCATGAGTAGCTGGCTCTGCCCAAATGCCCGAGTCATGACGACGCCATCGATGGCTTCATTGTAAAAGGAGAAGAGAGGGGAGGAGGCTGTGGCGGTGAGGCGTCGTATGTCGGATCGCATTTTGTTGATGTGCCTGCTGATCCAGAATAGAGGTAAACCAAATAGGAGAGCTACAAAAGTAACAGCCTGGCAGACAAAGGTAAGCTGGTGATCTTGTGCACGGGTACGAGCTTACAGGAGCTTTGTAAAAGACAGCACCTGCGGCAGTAGCTATCCCAAGGCCTAGAACGATATGAGCATAATAATGGAATGGCATGATGACTGGCGCTTTGCGTACCATCAACGAGAGTCCCTGCATCGTGACTCAATCAGTTTCCAGCTATATATCGGTCATGCGGACTCACGGCCAAAGTCGTCGGCTGCATTGCAGTCCAGCCTCCGGATATCCTGCCCCAGCACGTTCACAATTCTCCCTTGCGGCGTAGTGTCAAAGAAATGCAAGGGCGCTGTGAACAGCCTGGTCATGACAACGTCATGAATGAGCCTACTACCTCGCGAGTAGAACCCAACATTCCTAACCCCATACAGCCATATCCATCTCAAAGCGCCGACGAACAAAACGAGGACGATATGATGGCGAAGACTCCGAGATTGTAGTCCAGGTGCTCGGGGTTAGGATCGGAAGACCAGTGCGCGAGCCAGAAGCTCTTGGACAAGGTCAAGGCCCTCTGACCACCGAAGATGAGCAAAAGCAGAGCCCAGTATAGTTTGCCACCGGCGGCTTGGAAGATGAGGAGATAGTGATCTCGAGAAACGCGGCCGATCTCTCGGTGCTCTTTTGCATAGACGTGACGAGAGGCTCGAGGGATGTCCGAGGAGACATCTCGCGCCCGATCCTTCCTGTCTGTCTGAGAGACGAGGGGTCTGCCCCCAGGCAAATCTCGAGGGCCTTCCCGAGCCACCCCCAATTCTGATAAGGCTGGCTCATTCTCCAGCGCTAGCCCTCCAAGCTTCGCATCTGAAGTTGGGCAAGCCTGCTCGACCTTGCCGTCTTTGGTGAGGGAGATGATGAATGAGGCGGCCGGGAGGACGAGTCGGACGTGGTGGGTGACGAGAACAGTAGTACGAGTCTCGAGTAGACCGCCTTGAAGACATTCGGCGAAGATGTATTGTGCAGTGTGTGCTTCGACAGCAGAGAGGGTATCGTCGAGATATACCGTAGATGCCCGAGAATAGAGACAGCGAGTGAGATTGACTCGGGCTTTCTGGCCACCACTCTGTAATTGTGTCAGATAATAATCTCCTCATTGAGTCTTTAGAACCTACCAGGGTGACGCCATTCTCGCCGACCTCAGTCAAGTCGCCATCATCAAACATTTCAAGATCCGCCGATAACGCCCCTGTCTCAAAGCCTCCCTATACCTCTCTTCCCACATAGGCTGACCGAAAAGAATGTTGTCTCGGATAGTACCATGTCGGATGAAGCTTTGCTGGGGAGCATATGCAACAGAGTCGTTGAGCCACATTTCGGTAGTCCATTGGATGCAGGAAGTCTCACCCTCGGAGAGTACTGGAGTGGCGTAGGGAAGAGAGCGAGGTGCGAAGACGGTACCATTTTCCACTTTCGCTTCGCCCAAGAACGCTCTCAGCTGACACAAATCAGCTTTCCTGACCATCCATTGTTGTAGAGACTCACCAAAAGCGTCTTGCCAGCACCCAGAGGACCACATAAGACAGTCAACTTCCCTTCCGGCACATTCAAATCCACATCTCTCAGCTTGAACCTCCCACTCTCCTCGATCTTGATACCATCAGCAGCCGGCCATGTGATGGTGGCGTTATCGGCCGAGATACGGCGAGAGGTATGCTCCCACTTGTCGCTGTCGATTTCGGGCTGACTGAGGTAACGCGAAAGACGCTCGAGACATACTCGACATGTGAGGATGCTTTGAATGACTTGAGGGAATGATTGAAGACCATCTGCGTGCTGTGTGCGACAGTCTCCAGAATGCGAGAAACCGCACCTTTCACACGCCCAAAGCTGAAAATACGGTCAGTCGTCACCGACAGGCATGGAAGATGGTCACTCGCACGCTCAAGGAGACGAAAGCTGTAGCAGCATTCAAAGGGTTTCCCATGATTTTCGTATAGAACCAGAAGGTAATAAGAGATGAAAAGCGGAAGCTGGTCCGCCAGGACCTTAATGACAGTAGTGAGAGTAAACATCCACCTCTGCCATCTGCCACTCATGCATCAGTTCGGGGAGATAGAGGAATCGTGAATGGTGACTCACTTGACTTCATCGGCACGAAATTTGGAGATACGAACGCCAAAGTAGGGCTCCCAAGCGTTCAGTTTAATTACTTTGATACCGAGAAGAAACTCCTTGAGGGCGCCGGTTCTTGCATCTCGGGATCGCATCCATCCTTTATCAAATGCTATCCCGTCATCAGCGCCAGTTATGCGTATATCAATACTGGGGAAGGGCTTACTGTAGATCAATTTGGCAACCGGCCATGAAAATGGGGCCGACAGAGGAACACATGCGATACCCACAAAAGCACTGACACCGAGCATCTTGTAGAGCATAGCCGTGCCGATGATCACTGTTCCGTAGGTCAGCATCTCACCATCACATGAAGCTGAAGAAAGAATGGTTCACATGTGGTCATTCTATTCGTTAAAGCCCACGAATGAGTAGCCAACGAAGCGACAGGCTTAGCATCGATAGTGAGCAAGTTCATCGCTTGTCCTCGACCTTTATTGTCTTTCTTCTGACTGTCGGCGTCGACGTTGTGAGCTTCGAGAGCTTTGGCATCGGTCGTCCTGAGGATCTTTGCAAGAAGCTAGACAAGGCGCTTTACATCAGCTGTTGACAGAGAGGTAGATAAAGAAGACGTAACGTACCATTGTGCTGATAGACATCCGCACCGGTGTATGGAGCATGTAATTCTCCCTCACGGAGCAGTATGCAGATAGTAGAACTGCAATAATCGTCAGTGACGTCCAGGGTTTATCCATACCAGACATACCATTGACAGTTTGCCCAAAGAACAACCCCCAGCACATGAGATACGTATAGCTCTTGTCCGACCCGGACGGCTCGTTGAATGACTGAATGATCTCGTGCATGGCCGCAATCTGAACGAAGCTGATGATATTCCTTGTTGTTTCCAGGATGAAAGCTACCCATTGTCAGTTTTTGCTGCAGCATAGGGCTATCATACTCACACACCATCACAGTCAAAGCCTCTGCCCGCCCACAGGGTCTTGATTAACTGCCAGCTGCCGATTTTGCTTGCTGGGATGGATGGCTTTCGTATGTTATCCACGCTGAAGATTGCACTGTCGATGCCGCTGTTCCGTGTCCGATCGTCGAGCAGTGGGAGATCAGGTTGCTGTAAGCTATCTACATATGCCGAGCGGATTGCAAGGGGCGCCATCTGCGAAACCATCAGCCTAGCCCCTGGCAGAACAAAGAGCAGCTTGACGTACGTATCCGATCACAGCGAAGACAAGCATAGCCGAGTTGTGATAGTCAAAGACGTTGGTGGAAGGCTCGGAAGGAAGGGCTTGCTCTTGCTGATCGATAGTCACCGCGGACAAGAGGGGGTCAGCCTCCTCCGCCGCCGGTGTCAACTTGATGACCACTCTGGGACTTTCTTCTCCTCGGACGTTGTCCTCCTTTTCGTTGTTGGTGCCGAATCCCGTACCCAAGCGCGGTGGAGGGAATTACAGCTTCGGTCCTCTGCGCATAAGCCCTACAGCAAAGAGAGTGGCTATGAGCGCCACGGTACGGAGATGCCGGATCGAAGTGGCATGGGCCGCTGAGAGGCTAGGAGGAGAGAGGTGTGTGATTATGGTGTATGCGATGCCGGGCATGGCATGGAGGCCGATCAGGAGTAAGGTGGATAGAAACCCAAGTTGGCATAGAGCTCGGTGAAGATTAGCGTGCTCCATCTTGGGAGTGAGGCTGAAGGTCCGAATGGATATGTTTCGGAAGAGGGTCGCGACGTATAAGAGCGTCAAACAAGCCTATGGTGTATCAGTCAGGACCAAGGCAGATAAAGGACAGTAGTACTTACCATAGCCGCTGTTCCGAAACCATCTATCCCAGCTTGACCAATTATCGCAGCTTTGGCGGCCTGGTTCACGGTTTCCAGGCCAGCCAGCTCTTTCAACGACAGGATGAGATGCCATATTTCCAGACCAAGTGTGACAGGGAGAGACAGTCCGAAAGCCATCTTGTAGTACTTGACATTCTTGAGGACTTCTTCGATTTTGACAGGTCTGTCCTGGTCGGTCGAGTCGAGATGCCGCGAGAAGACCTCGTCCGACGGCAAGAGGATCGCCGTTTCTGATTGCGAAGAAGACATCGCCGCTTCTTGAGGTATGAGCTGTATTGTGGAATTGAGCTCACCATCCTTGTGCATTCCCATATAACCACCTTCTCGGCGGAGTGGGCTGCTTGCATCACTGCTTCCTTTGTTGCGAAGTTGAGTGATGAGTGTGGAAACCGGTTACGTAAGTGCTCCTACGCGCTGTTGTTGTGTTGTTTATCGTCGTGTACTTTCTCATTCGCATTTCTACAATCACCTTTTCAACCCATAATCCCCCTGTCGCCCTTAGAGATGTCCCCGCAAAGCCCAATAACGGCTGCTACTGCCGTCACAAACACCAAGGGTGAGTCTGCAATGACTGGAAGGCCGGGGAGGAGGAGGCTTCCACACATCACTGCTGACACCGCCCCTTACTAGTCTACCATGCACTGGCGGCCTATCTGACGCTATGAGAAGCTTCCACGCTCCATCCTCTGGTGCATCTGCATGTCCGGGCGGCACCAGCAATGGTGAGTAGATTTCTAGTTCCCCGATGCTCAAGGTCATAAGTTGACGAACAACATCAGTGTCGCGAACGAAAGCATCCTCGCCATCCATGTCAACCGCGCAGTCTCCATATGCCCGGTCGTCTCCTGGTCCTTCTCCTCGCGAGATGTACTCGCTGCGACGATCCTGGCCAGTGGGAAGAATGGCCATTGGCTTCACGCCTCTCGTAGCGCTTCTCCGCCGCCCCCCTGTCTCTCGTATCGTTCAACATGGGGAGACCTGCATAGGGATATGACTTGTTCTCATCGTAGAGACTGTGGTGAGCATCATCGCTTCGCACTACAGTTCAGCAACGGGTCAGCTGACACTATCCTCCGATCAGCTTCGCATATCGCCACTCCACTCGTCCATGCTCGCCACGACCGCCAACGCCAACTCCAACACCTGCTTTCCCAATTCTATGCAACATGATCTCAAGTACCGCCTTGTGGGCACAAGCTTAGCTAACGCCAATAGTCCCTGGACTCGCTCAGTGATTGCCCTCCAACTCGCCTTCGAAGAACTGAAGAGAGCTACGGAAGCTCGGCTTCAGAAGGATCGAACAGGGACGCCGCTTCATTATCGGAGCTATCTTCAGTTCTTCGTAGGCGAGTCGGAGGGCGATCACCGAGCGAGTCCAGGGACTATTGGCGTCAGCTAAGCTTTTGCCCACAAGACGGTACTTGAGACCATGTTGCATGACTTTTTGCCAACGTCTGTCAGGGCTGCTACCGCTCCTAGGCCCCCCCGCGGCCGTCTGCACAACACTCTACATCAAGATGGCCCCAACCCTCTCCGCCGCCCTCTTGGCGATCCAAAACTACCATACATTTTCGAATAATGTTTGGACGAACGCCTTGTACCTCTCCTTCTCAGCTCGGATGGCGGCGACTCGACATTACTCGTCAGAAGCTGGTCAATCGCCGTGAGAAGATACCCACAACGACATGGGACCGCTGTACCGACCCGACTTTCAAAATGTCGCATCCCACAAGATCATGTTGGTTGATGACTAGGAGCGCGTGCGCGTCCTCAGTCGAGGCAGATATGGTAAGTACCTGTCTTGAGAGATTGGCAGTCAAACAGCTGACTTTGTGGATCAGCATTGGCGTGAGGACTGGAGGATGAATCAAACCCGGCCTGGCCAACTACGTGATAAAAAACAAAGCTCCCCAGGCGCTTGTCAGCACCAAGCTGCGCCATCCCCCCCGCCTCGCGCTTCCTCGTGCTTGTCCCCCGCTGGCGGGAACTGGTGCCAGTCATACCCACTGCCTGGCCTGGATGGGCTGGCGGGTTCCATGGATGGATGCCTATATCTTTGAAGACATCGCGAGCCAGGATCAGGGGCGTACGACGAGTGGATCGAGATCGAGTACAGGGAAATTTTCGCAGCCCAGCAAGCTGGTCCACCCTCCGCTTTTCGATAGCCGCCCTCGACGTCATTGCAGTCCACCAACGCACTTTTGGCCTACACCGTTGGCTCAACAAACAACTTCCTTGCGGGCATCCCCACCCGCTGGGCCCCGCTCAGAGCGACAAGTACCAATGCGTTTGTACAAGCCCGATTCGAGAACGTATGGTCGTTTTGGATCGCCAAGAGAATGGCGAAAAGAGTCGAGGCTGCATCGCCGCTGCACTCGACATGCGGCTGAGAATGATCATCGCGTCGGGCCTATCGACGGAAGGAGGACTAGACAAGCGTATTCCACACCAGCTCAGTCGCCTCACTCTATTGCAAGCACCATGACTTTCTTCTGCTGGACACTATCCTTCTACTTTTCCTATGGCCTTGTTCATACTGTACATTGCGCTGGACACTATCCTTCTACTTTTCCTATGGGCCTTGTTCATACTGTACATTATGCACGTCTCGCCTTTCGTGTGATGTCTATTTGTCTATCGTATAGCCGACGCTACTCAATCCAGCGCGCGCCTAAACGCTAGACGCACAAGTGCCGTCTTCGTTCCCCCAACGGTATAGCGATACAGACCGTTCCTTCCCAGGAGGTATCCGCCGAGCGTAGGACATCTCACAACACCTCGGTCCAAGAACGGCAAATGGCTCTTTTAAAACTATGCTTCGCATCGCAAGCGTAGACATTTGTCTGCCAAAGCCCTGCGAGCATCTATCCCGTGTCCCTGTTCATTGCTCCCTATCTCATCTCCATCAGCGCAGCGTCGTTTCTGCCCGTCGGCTTGAGGAGCGGCTCTCCAGGAGACACCGGTCTTCTTCGATCGCTGCGCTTGCGACCTCGCTCGATCCGTGCCCAAAAAGCCCGAGAGGCTGATGCTCACTTGCGTGACAAACCCCGACTGGGAGTACTGGGCTTCGCTCCTCCGACTCCAGAATCCAGGTTGATAGATATGGGTGCTGAGCCAGCCAGGAGACGGAGGGGGGCGAGACACTATGCTGCGCTCGTGACGTCGGTCTGGACTCAAGTCGGTGGTGTCATTGTAAGGATCCAGTGGTCAGGTCCCGGGGCGCGAGTTAACAAGTCCAATACCAACATATGCATTATGATTCCAGGGTTGGAATCGTGATGCAGTGGCTTTTGTTGCTCATCCGGTTAATTGCTCTTACTTGGTATTTAGGTCCTTTACAGTCATGGTTATAGGGTCATCTGTGTAGTTTGTTCATTCAAGTAGATTAGTTGTGTGTTTAGTGGACCGTGCTCTTCGTATATATAGACCAGAGTCTTCTTTCATAGTTCTTCTTTGTATGCGACAATAACGAAAAGGTTTTTGCCCCTTACAACAAAATTATCTTCAGTTGTCGCATCAATAGAACGATGGCCCACCCATCCAGCTATACCTCTTTCCCGCCACCACCGGCACCCCAATGTCCTCCCTCCTAGGGTCCGCCCTCACACACCTTGAGCCTGCCCAACACCCCTCATCGGCAGGGTAACTCAACTTCATACGCCGGACGCACCCCATCGCCCGACATTCCACCGTCCTTTACCCCGGGCTCCCAACTCCTCTTCCTCCCGTTCTCAGGGGTCCCGTCCCCAGCTTGATAGCCCCCGTGAGAACCGATCTGTCGGCGAACAGGTACAACCTCAGCCACAAGCTCGGCCCCAGCAGGACCCCCAATAGCTCCACCATTTCCCCGGTTACCCTTCCCCCGCGTTTCACCTGTCTCCAACCTTGAGCGTCAAGATGCGGGGCGAAGGAAAGGAGGATGCCAAAGAGGTGATCAAAACATTGGACCAGCACATTCGCGGTCACCCCTACTTCCGCCAGTTCCCGGACTACGCCAGATGGTGGGCGCAGATGCACCTCTGCGGGCCTGCCTTGGACTGGTCCACGTCCAAGGAACATCTCATCTGGCCAGAGTTCCGGGGCGCCTCGTTTCAACAAGGCAGGCCCGCAGAGCAGAGGTGCATCTGCACCCACCACCTGGCTTAGTCCGGGAACTGACGGAAGTACGGGTGACCGCGAATGTGCTGGTCCAATGCCTTAATCACTCTTTGACATTGAGCTCCTGCTGGATGATCTCAAGGGACGGTGTCCTACCTGTCGAGTGGTTGCTACTGCTTTTGTATACCGAGAAAAAACCATGTAGTTCGAGATAGAGCGATGCAAAACTGTCTATATAATCGGTCAACTTTAGCCAGCCATGAGAGCAGTGGTCTCTCATTCAGCCCTATTGCTTAAGTATCTGAGGGTGCCTAATGATATCTCAGTACCTACTGTATCCTGGATGTTTCGATGTACTGGCCAAGTTGCCAGTCTTATCTTTGCAAAAGTCAACTCTCGAGTACGTCTAGATTAAAATTGTGCATGTAGACCACACGGTTGTGTGTTTTGCATAAACTGGTCGATTATATCAGTTGGTTTAGATTGTGGACCTAATAATTCATACGAGTCATTAGTCCAAGGTCGGCAGTTCGATCCTGTCATCGATCACTTCTTTTTGCTTTCTCTTTTTTTGCTTTATATGTGTCTTTCTCCATCCTTTTGCACTCCAGGTGACCTGGAGGGACTATGGCATAGGCATGTATTCGTCAATATATCCATTTTTTCGCAGATTACAACTTTTGACGATTCCGTTCTTCTTTCTTCCCACTCTTTCATGGGAAACGTTCAACTGCGATATATAAAGTACAACTTCTTCCTACTAGACGGCACCGAAGACCTCAAAACATCTTACTGAAGACAACTTTGATTCCGAGAACAGCAAACAGTAAAAGCAAGGCAAAAGACGACAAGTAGAACAAAAGCGGGCGGGCGATCCTAGTTACACCAGACCATTTTTTGAACAAATACCAACACTTCTCATTACCCATTTCCTAGTACCCCATGACCTCTCTCCCAGCTCTACTAGGAATATCGCTCTTCTCACCCTCGGCTTCCTTCACAAACAACCCTTCGCCATCCACGACGAAACTGGCACTGGCGCTAGCGTCGGGCGGAGGCAGCCCGTGCTCGAACGCTTCTTTCTGCTTTGTGACCCACTCTGTACTGCCTTTGGCGAGCTTTTCGACAGGGTTGAGGGGGAGGAAGATCTGACCGCTCGCCTGCTGCGCGTAGGTAAAGGAGGGGGAGGGGAAGAAGGGAAGGGCGGTGTGGTAAAGGATGAGGTCGCCTGGGAAGAGGGGTGGGAGGGACACTTCTGTCCCCTTGAGGTGAGGGAGGTCGTATCCTCCTTGCAAAGAAGATATGGAATTGGAAGTGGAAGAAGGAGGGGAGAGGAACCAGTTGTCTGCTTTGAGATAGTCGGCGGCGTTGTAGAATGAGATCTTTGATTTGTGAGGACGGAAGAGCGGGTGGAGGAGGGTGTAGGTCGCAGCGTGGACTGTCGGCGGGACCCTCGTCTCCAGCCCCATACCGCCACCGCCTGCCGCCGCTGCCGCTGCCCCCAGAGTCGGCGTCAATGCCAAACTGGCCCCCAGAGCGCGGTCCGCCCCCCACGGATTGCCATTAGACGCAGGAGCAAGCCGAGCGGGCAGAGGAGAGAGACCTTCGCGCACGGTGTCTGCTTTGAGATAGATCTCTTCGGTGGGCAGGAGGGCGCGGGAGATTTGGGCGGTGGCGGAGATGATTGAGGGGTCCGCGCGGGCAGAGAGCAGGGCGGGGTGCCAGTAGATACCTTTGCCTCTTTGTCAGCCATCCATCACACATCATGCGACGAGAAGGCGAGGGACGTACTACGACCATCGACATCTTCGATACCCTGCAACACTTCTTTCGCCCAGTTGATAGCTTGAGCATCGGGGACGACGTCGCGGATTACGACAGAACCAGTCTGGCGGATAGCGTCGATGGTGGAGGGGGAGGAGAGGTGGGAGGCGAGGGAGTGGAATGTGATTTGAGGGATTTGGTTCTGCTTTGGTGTCAATTTTGGCTCTTTGGGCTCAATAAAGTGGATGCTTACACCAGAAACCTTGACATTCTCCAAACCGACCAAGGTCTCGGCCCAGAGTCTCTCCACCTCGGCCCTCTTTGCCTCATCGGTCAACACCCCTTCAGCCCAAGCAGTCCACCCATCAACGCCCACTTCATGCTGCTGCTGCTTCACAATCTCATAGTTCACGCTCGCCTTTAAAGTCTTTCCCTTGCCATTTTGCCCACTAGGCAGTGCCTGGAGATGGGAAGCAGAGTAAGAGTATGGCGGTCGGAGGGTGGGAGGCGTGGCAGGGTTGTGAGTGTGGTGGTATGGGGGGATGAGGCGGGATACGGCAGGGGCTGAGGTGGAGGTGGGCGAGGGGGGGTGGGATGCGAGGGAAGTGAGGAGACGGCGGATCGTCATTCTTGCTGTATCTTTGCTGATGCTTGCAGGTAGTTGTAGATGGGCTTTTTATATCTGCTCTTGAGATTGTTGTGGCCCCTTTGTTGACAGGGAACTTCTGCTGACAAGCTTCTGTTTTAGTGTTATCAATTTGTGGATGGGGTGGGTGGGGTATCTTACGTTTTGAGGCGTTGATGGACGGCGTCTAGACGGTGTAGATGGCAGGAACGGTCGGGAAGCCGGGATTCGGGGGGCGGAGGCTCGCGCTGCTTCTCGCTCAAAGGACGTCGTGCACCTGAACCGTGGTAGAGATGGAAATGCAGAGAGAGATAGAAACGAATCCCTCAGCGGGGGATGAAAAGCCCACTGGCTGGATGCATTCGACCGAAAAGTGAAAAGTGCTTGCATAAGCGCGGCTTTCACCCGAGCACCTCGGCGATGGTGCAATTGCAATTCCCCGACAGCCCTCCAGATTCGAAATTCTGAGCTCCTGCCGTCGACGAGGCCCCGCTGCCGGCATCATCCATCCCACCGGGAACCCGAGCTGCCTATCACCATAGAGAATATATACCAAAGCCTCGTGGCTCCTCTGGCGCAAGCCACTTGATTCGCGCGGGCGTGTATGTATGCTGCGTATTAGAACCCGGTGCCGTTTTCTATACCGATCTGTTCGGAGATCTGATCAAATGGAGAAGTTTCCGAATATGACCACGATCCATCAGTTGGAAGCCTGGACATGACTTCACCACAGCAAGCCCCCATCGTCACGGCCGAGCAACAACAGCCAACAAAATGTTATCAGATCAGATAAGCGAAGATCTGTTTATGAAGGCACCTCTGCTGAAACGGTGCCTCTTGCTTTATCGGGTTGTCGTTCTGTGCTTGTTTACATGCTGCGGCTGCGTTTATGTATTATTGTGGAATCGCTGATATGGTCGTCATCCGGCGTTCAAGGCTCCACCCTCACTTCCTCCTGCAAACTGCACTGACACCGTACAGGCGCGGAGGAGTCCAAATACTTCTGGAATTTCCAATCTACAGAGTGAAGAAAGCAAAGTATCCACTGCCCAGCGAAACCACCAGACATCCCCGTCCCCCCGCGGTGGATCAATGTCCAAGGCCGAGGCGTGGCTTTTTTGCAGAAATCTTGTATGATTGGCCAGATGAGGAGCTCACCTGGAATGCAAATCGGTGACCGTCAACCGTGCCGCGGTACCGGGCGCCGACTCTGTCTCAACTCCGTCCAGTCCTTCTCACTCTCTTGTGCTCATTCACTCCGACTCCGTCGAGCTCTTCGTCGAATCACGAGCCGATGGTCTTTCTTTCCCCTCTATCTGGGTAAATTGCTCGGGGAGTGGGGTAGACTTTTCAGAGATGGACGAGTGCTGCGTATCGCGCTGAGAGAGTATCTTCAATGGGTCATGGCTGAAGGAGCTTGGACGGCGAAAGCGTCTTTGGAACCATCTCTAACTTGGACGTTAGGGACGGTGGTGGAGTTCGAGCGGTCGTCGGCCATATTTCAAGTGTGTAGAAAAAAGAGCGGGGAGTGGGAAGAACGAAGGAGAGGTGTCAAGGATAGGCACTCACGTACGAGGGCAGGGAGGAAGGGGACGAAAAGCGTCGGGCTCTACAGTAGTTGACCGTCCACAGCAGAATTACCTGTGCGTGATGTATGCTTTCCTGGCCATTGGCCGTTACGATCTGATGCCGCGTCCCTGTCACTGTAGCAACTAAGTGTGTCATCAACCTTTATCGATCTGTCTTGTTTAGACTGCCCTCATACGCGGGTATCGAGATCATCGTCTGGTACCCCAACTGTGTTACTGAATGAGATGCAGGTTTGGGATATACAGCACATATACGCTCAATACACATAAAGTACGCTCAATCAATCAGCCCCCCCAACTCGACTACTACTACAGTAGTGCGCCCCCGGCCTCCCGGCCACCACCAACGAAGCAAAGAGAGCATCTATGACCTGTGATATCTCTACATACTTTAATTGTTATCAGCCCCAAGACGTCCGTCCCTCTCCCTTACATCTTACCCATCACGCACTCATCACGACATACCGGACAATGCCCAAAGATAGCCCAGCACAGCAGCTGCAAGCTCCCCTATCATGGTACTTATCGGATGAACAACACCATCACCACTCCATCCGTTCAGCTGTCTACTTCTTCCTTGATCTCATTTCAATAATCGAACGTCGAGGTCTCTCATCCCTCGATGAAATATCATCATCAAATGCAACGATAAACAGGTCAGAGGTCGGAGTAGTACAATTGATTGCCCAAGATTTACGATAACAGTTTTACATGTATCTTTCCCACCAAGCTCCGAGGCAAGACCCAGTAGGGTGGGTAGAAGGGTATAGATAAAAGATAACAGAAGGAAAGAAAAGCAAGCGGAGGAGGAAAGAAACAGGCCAAGGGATTAATCATATTTACCAAATGTCAAAATAACAGGAACAGAGAGAGAGCGCAAAGAAGACGCGGCCGGAAGAAGGAAGAAGGATGTAGTAGTAGGTTTTGGATTCGATAGAGAGAGCAGGGGAAAGCCAAAGGGAGGGAAAGGGAGGGGGACTATAAGATCCCAGAATCCCGCAACGCATTCTGCAGAATCGTCTCTTTCACCGCCGCAAACACCAATCGGATCTAACACACTCTTCATCAGCACCCACCTCGCCATACTTTCTGGGGGGGGGGGGGGGACGTACGTTGGAAGTATCAGTAGCCTGCGTAAGATGCGGATACACTGACAATCTCGCGCGATTCGTCTGTGTAAACCTCCAGAGGATGTACTTGGCTGCCTTGTTGATATCGGCGCCTCCTACCATATCACACTCCAAATCAGCCACCCTTCGCTAAAACATGAGACACTTGGAAAGCGACGTACCAGTGTACTCTGGGAAATAGTTGACAAGCGGCACTTTCGGCAGTTTTTGTTTGAACAGATCGATCTTGTTGAGGAAGAGGATGACGGATGTGCGGAGGAACCAGCGCGAGTTGATGACGGATTCAAAGAGGACGAGGGATTCTTGCATTCGATTCTGTGAATCCATTGTCAGCGGGGTCAAAGGAGGGGAGGGGGAGGGGGAGGGGGGGAGAGGAAAACTCACTTGTCCTGATTCTTCCAGCAAAACTTGGTCGTACTCTGACAAGGCCACACAGAAGATGATGGATGTCACCGCTTCGAAACCTACCCCCTCCCGTCAGCTCACCCATCACGCCAAAACCAGCCAAGAATGGTAGTGAAAGACCCACAATGAATCCACTTTTTCCTCTCACTCCTCTGCCCTCCCACATCAAACATGTGAATACTCAACTGCCCCATATTAAACCTCGTCTCACTAATCCCCGTCGTCTTTGTCCTCGCCCGCAACACATCCGCCTCGTCCGGCACGTAATCCGGCGCCGCAATCTTGCGGATATTGGCAAAAAAGTAGGTGGCAGAGTCCATGAGGTAGAATTCGGAGGAGCGGTCCATGACGGCTGGGATGACGGGGTCGTGCCAGAGGGATTCGATGTTGAATAGGATTTCGGAGGGGATGGTGGATGAGGGGTCGGCGTCTATGCGGTATTCGAGGATCCTATCGGCGTATGCCTGTTTCCGGGTGGTTAGCTAAGCCAAGCTGACATGGGTGGGAAGAAGGGGGGCGTACTCTGTTGTTGGCGTCTTCTGGGTCGACACCGATCTTGCGCATGGCCATGATCAATGCCTGGGCAGAATCCAGCACGTTCTTGTGGACGATTCCTCTGAAAGTGAGTAACTCGTCTTTCGAGTATCCGTTCTGGTGGATAATCTTCATCTGCTTGACAATGGTCGACTTTCCAGACTCGCCCGATCCTACCCCAGTCTCAGCGCACTTCCACCACCGTTCTGAAGAAGGGGGACTCACCCAGCAGCAGGATCTTGCACTCTTTCCTAAACTTTCTCTGATCATCTTCCAGCTGCCTGTCAATCTGATTACTCCTATCCCTATTCCCTCTCGCATCCGGCGCCGCCGGCTCCGTCTCTGCCAGCGCCGCTGCCAGCCCTTGCGATCCCCCCGCCGCACCAACCCCAGCACCTCCCGCAGCTCCTCCATTCCCAACAACCCCCGCCGCACTATTCGGCGTGCCCGCCTCGGCCGGATGTGCGGGCTGCGTCGGCGAAAGACCGCTGTTGGCAGAGGTCGTCTGCGCCGGGGGTTTGGATTTGGAGGATGCAGTGGCAGAGGAGGAGGTTTGTTTTGATTCTTGGGCCTTTTTGGGGGCTTCGGGGGTGGACATGCAGCCACCCATGGTGTGCGGGGACTGAGATGGGTGGTTGGGGGAAGGGAAGACGGGAAGGATGTGGAGGGGGTAAGAGGGGACAAAGGATGAGGGTTTTTTGGGGGAGTGAGGCGGGTGGTGTGCTGTGATTTGGGAATATCTAGTCAGCCAGAGTGTCGATCCAAGAGAGGATTTGGGATGGGGAGGAAAGGGGCAGATGTGCGATCGAGCAGAGGGCGAAGGGGACTCACGTGGCGGCGGATCTGTTCCCGCTCGGCGGCAGTGGCAAGGGAGTACTCGGGGGGGGGGAGGGGCGCAGGGGGCGGGGGCGGGCGGGGATGTGCGCTGGGCTCTGTTGAGAAATGTGCACTCGTGCGAAAAGAGAACCACCCAGCGAGCAGTCCCGATCGCGGGCGGAAGCTGATTGTCCGTGTTTGCTTGTCCCATTACAACCCCTTTCTTGTCAATTACAACCCCCTCGCTTCCAAGTCCAACCGACCTCTGGCCTGGGTGTGCACACGGCATGCATTGCCTCGTGCGCCTCGCTGCTTTCCGCTGACTTCTGGCCCCATAATAAGAAGGGGGGGTGCATGTTCCAGAGCATTCCACTTCTTTGGACTTTCGCGTTCTACCGCATCCGGCTGGGATTATTAGACCTCTCTACACAAATCTCGTAATCCAGCTGCGCGCATCGTGCCTTGACTGTTTACGCCTTGCCGTCGAGGCGTCCAATCGACCGTTGAGCTCACCACTCACCAGTCACCACCAGGTATGGCCAGCGCCCAGCATGGTCAGATAGTCAACACTCTCAACAGTCAACGGGAAAGAGCTCGAGCGAGTATATAGCTCTTTCACATCTAACGTCCACGTCACCAAGTTCTTGGACAGCCTGCTTATGGCCTATGGTAGATAAAGGGCCCAATCACGGGGCATTACTTTGGAGGTGGAGCATCTATTCATATCGTATGTGCTCACCAAGTCGATCATCTCATGCATTTATGCAAGAACTCTTGCAATACTTTTTAATCTGTCGCGTCCTTGGTCGGGTGGTTTTAGAGTTTACAGTTTCTTTTTACTTCTTTACTTGCTGACTTCTGGCTTCTGGCTTCTGGCCCTTCGTTGCAACTTGCAACTTGCAATGAACGTGTTCACGTTTTCTTGCTTGTTATGGGACAGCCGACAGTCAGCAAAAGACAATAGTAATGGATCCCGGAAAAGAGTACACGGAGGTTTGAACGTTAAGCTGACCCGTCCCGCCCGCCGTACCCTATATAGGCCGGCCGTCCGGCGGTGGTTCGTGAGGGCCGTGGAGCCGGAAAGACAGACGACAGACGACTGACGAGTTGTCACGAGTACGACTACATACTCTGATCTGTACTACTTTTTTCTGGTCCCCCGCCTGCGCAGTCGTCCAGGCCTCGCTGGAGCTGGAGCTGGTGCTGGTGCTGGCCTCTGTCTCTGGTGCTCGCTCGGCCTTCTCCGAAGTCCGAGGAGAGAAGTGTCTACGTAGCCTAACTCACCTGAGACACCCATCATCTCATCTGTCATCAACCACAATGTACAGACTACAGAGTGAGTCTGAGAGGCACCAAGACCTATGAGTGGGAGTGGGAGACGATGAATCCATAGACCATAGTTGGCCAGCGCCAGGTGGGCCGTGGGATGCAAACAGCAAGCAAGGCATGAGCACGCACAAGAATCGAGAGACAGTACAAGTAGAGGGGAAAAAAGGGCAAAAAAAAGGAAAAAGAATGATCGATGACAGGATCGAACTGCCGACCTTGGACTAATGACTCGTATGAATTATTAGGTCCACAATCTAAACCAACTGATATAATCGACCTGTTTATGAAGGCGTTGGCCAGTGTTACCCCATGTCCACATTTAAAAGCGATTGCTCGGCGGCCCGGAGATCCCGGGACCTGGACAGACATCTGATCCAGTCGTTCGCCATTTTGCTTCAAATCGTGCGTGTTCGGCTTATCTTTCCATCCCTCCCCTCACGCATCACCTATCACGCTACTCGAATTGACCGTGTATTCGCCGAAATGCAGCCCCACTAGCGCCAGCGCCCACCCCCCAATCGTGATCGACCACATGACTGACTTTTACTGACAGACAGTCTCACATAACTATAAGTGCATGCATCAGCTTGACGGTTTGTTCACTGGAAGATTGCTCCCTAGTTTCCGAGTAAGCACCCAGTCTTGAAAGAGGTAATATAAGCTCATCATCTGCAATAGTATGCGTCTACCCCGTTTGGCCCTCGCCGCCTTGCCCCTCCTGGGATCTGCCCAAAGCGCCAGCTTTCCATCATCATCCGACCGCTCGCCCCTGTCCCTCGCACAGTACGAACAAGAAGTATTTGACGTGGCGATGCAGCTTAACGATTGGGCTTGGGAATCGTCGACGGGATGGGTTCAGGCAGACGATGATAAAGTAAGCTTCAAACGGCAACCCGGCAAAAAAACATGTACTTGTAAGGAGTTGTCGCCGCTGACCTTGGTAGTAGGGTCATACGAGTACGCGTTTTACGGTTTGGTATGCTGTTGGGTTATTGCATAGGAACGAGAAAGATGATTTGTCGAATGCGATATGGGCTATTGAGAATGTGTAAGCTAATCAAGTTTGTGCTTTTGAGCAAGATGATGGTGCTGATTTCGGGTGTCGGGTGGTCTCAGGATCTCACTCCAGTATGTCGACACGAAGAGCAACAATACGCCGTGGTACTGGGACTACAAACTAGCCAGCGACATACCCGACCCCAACCCCGATACCTTCCCCGCCGAAATCTACGTAAGCCCCTCCCCCATCCTCGCTCCCAATCAACCACAGACTGAACAGGTTTTTGGTAGGAATCCTACGACCCGAATTGGACATACTTTATCGGCATCCAATTCATCCAGATCATCGAAGAATTCTCCCACCTCCTCCCCGCCTCCCTCCTCAGCTCTATGGAAGAATCAACGTACCGCGCCGCACGGCACCTCATGGCCCGCGTAGGGTACGACGGCGACAACCTCGTCACTGCTTATTCCAACCCCGCCATCGGCCGGGCGCTTATCGTCTCGTGGGTGGGGGAAAGAAGGGGGGATGCTAATTTGACGAGGGCTGGGGAGCGGTATGGGAGGGATGTTTGGGAGCTGTTCACGGCGGGGGGGCATGATACGTTGGGAGAGTATAATGCGCCGAGTGGGTTTGAGTTTTCCTGCGTAAAGGCATGATGAGCTGAAGTGTGTTTAGCGTACTATGGGGATGACGTCCTCGGTCTTCTGCAATGGGTCCGACACGCCCCCTCAAACTCTTCCCTCCCCGAATGGGGTAGATACATCTTGCACCATCTCTGGGAAGACATTGCCCAGCACTACAACCAGTACGCACCTACCCCTTGTTTGGCTTCTTCCCCCTTTCTTCCGTCTTGACCATGAAAACTGATAAGAGGGAGTAGCAATTTGAAGAATATGGTCGGGCCATACGACAGGGTCTACCACCGCAATATGCTCATCGACCACAACATCATCACCGTCTTCTTCTGGATCCTCCTCGGCCGCCCTCAATCCCCAGTAGCGCCTGTCGGCATGTCTTCGTCCATGTACGACCTCCGCCAAGGCGCGGCTTTTGCCCTCGTCGGACAGACTTTGAAGGAGGTGTTGGAGGAGAGCACTATCAGGAAACTTGTGCAGAGGCTAGGTGGGGGGGAGGGGGATAGGGTGTTTGAGAGGCGGGTGAGGGTGTCGTTGGATAATGGTACGGAGAGGGTGAATAGTGTTTGGATGAATGAGAATGTCATGGCTGGGGGTCAGCAAGTACGTCTCCTCTCCCCTCTCCCTTCCCCTCCCCTCCCCCCCTCCCCCTCTTTCCTTCCGCCTTTCTGCGGCTTCTGCAAAGATGGACTGATCCCTCCCTTAGGTGGCAGAAGAATTCAACCGCGGCCCCCAATTCACACCCCTAATCCTGCACTGGAAATCCGGCACCACCTCTCTCGCTGAACGTCCATACGTCTCGTTTTTCCAACTGTACGCCACTGCGAGTACGATAAACGCCACCGTCACGCCTTGGCACGTTTCTGTCAGTTATCCGAATAGGACGGAAGGACAAGAGGGGACGGGGGTGTTTCAGTATTTGATAGGGGATATACCGGCGCCTTTTTGGAAGGAGGGTAATAATGTGAGTTACTTTTAGGGCTCTTTCTTCTTTCTTCTCTTTTGTTCTTGGGCGACGGCTGATGAGGGGGGGGCAGATGAATGGGTTCAACAACCTTCCGTGTTTGAACGTATCCATATCAAGTACGGGGCTCAATGGTACGATCGAGTATGGGAAATACGGCGACTTTAGTATCCAGAGTAACAACCGTAAGCAACGTCAATGTCTGTTTGGCGTTTTGCGGTTGACTGACAGGTCCGAATGAAGTGTGGTCAGTGTCGTACTACGTGGATCCGTCGGCTGAAACGCCGAATATGGATTTTGATTTGAGTTATACTTGTTGACGTTGGACGTTGAAGAAGAGGAGAGAAGGGGGTGATCATGTCGTATAGTTTTTCATACAAGTATGACCAAGAGATAGGCTGCACTGGCCGATGCAGATGTGGTATAGATATGTACAGAATATGACCTGCCCTTCAAAGCGTTCTAGAGAGCCTTCACAGCCTGCACCGGTTCTGAAAGAAGGTGGAGGGGATCAACGTCCGCACCTCGTTCTGACTCTTTCCGGTGTCTCTGCTCATGCTCGCTCACAGGAGGAGTGTTGTTTGTCAATGAAGGGGACGAAGATGGCTGAGGGGCTCGATCTAGATCAGGGGGTACTGGCGAATGTTTGCTGGCTTTTACATGTCGTCAGCTTGATCTCGATTAAGAGCGAGACAACTCACCTTTACGAGTGTTGCCGACTCTGTCACCTCCTACATCTTCCTCTCCGCCATTATCCACTCCAATCTCAGCAATCTCTACGTCATCTCGCCGTCTCTTCTCGCCAACTTGTGGGATGACCGTCGGCCTGCCCTCCTCGACACTTGGAGCAGCAGGGGCGCCCGAAGCAGAGGTGAAAGATAGTGGGAGGGCGGTGGGGGGATTTTGAGACGCAGAAGCGGCCTCGTTCGATACCTCCGCACCCTTTTCAGCACATCCAGGCTTCGGGACATTAAACCAAGACCTAAACACTCTCTGCTGCGCGTCTTTACCCGGCCTACGCGTCTCCTCCCCAAGCTGCCTCGGTCTCTTTCTCTTCCAAGCCGCTTTCCGCTTCTCATTATCCCGACATCCACTCTTAAAGACATTCACGTGTTGGCGATAATGGAAATCCGAAAGACTGTTACCACAGGCGATACCGCAGTGGCAGACGGTGCACCAGATGTACCGCTTGTCGTTGTGAAAGTAGCTCTCGCCTGCTTTTTTAAAGTCGGGATCGTGGGTGACGTCGGATGCAGACATTGTTGGGGTATTGGTTTGTATGGTTGCGAAGTGTGGTTTCATACTTCAGAGACGCGACGACGCGACAACGACGCGACGAGAAATAGCGGAACCAAACAGCGCGATGAGTATGACTTACGTAAACACGCTCTGGTGAGTCGAAAACTGACTGATCTCTGACTTTTATGTTCTCTTCACAGCACCATGGGATTCACTCTCCTCATCGACAACTACGACTCGTTCACCTGGAACATTTACGCAGACATCGCAGCCATCGGCGGCAACCCCTACGTCGTCCGCAATGACAAGATCACCCTCCAGGAAATCCAGGTCAGTCCCATTCACCCCTACAACGCCACCACTGCTGACGCTGACTCACCCTATGCAGAAACTGTACGAGACGGACCAGATCGCGCGTATAGTCATCTCCCCCGGTCCTGGACACCCCCGGACAGACTCGGGCGTTTCTCGGGATGTCATCCAGTGGGGTATGGGCAAGCTCCCTATTATGGGCGTGTGCATGGGCTTGGAATGTCTTGTCGACTGCCTCGGTGGTGATGTAAGCCCACCAACTAGCTGAAAAGACTCTGCTAACCAAAAGCAGATCGGATACGCCGGCGAAATCATGCACGGCAAGTCCTCTTTCGTCACGCACGACTCTATCGGCTGCTTCCACGACCTCCCCCAGGACCTCTCTTCTATCCGATACCACTCCCTCGCCGCGTCCATCTCCACCATCCCCCAATGCCTCCAAGTCACCTCCACCAGCAAAGAGAGCGGCGTCATCATGGGTGTGCGTCACAGGGTGTACACTGTGGAGGCCGTGCAGTACCACCCCGAGAGCTGTTTGAGCGAGGGGGGCAAGGGGTTGATGGCCAACTTTTTAAAGCTGAAGGGCGGCAAGTGGGGTGGGGAGAATGCGTGGTGCGGGGTCGTGCCCGAAGGCGAAGCTTCCACCGAATCCGCCGAGCCCAAAAAAGTTAACGCTTCCAACGGCACCGGCGCGCCTAGCCTCCCCACCATCCTCAACAAGATCCACTCTCAGCGTCTCCAAGACATCGACCAAGCCAAAACCATCCTCTCCACCACCCCAGACAACGTCTCCAAATCCATCGCCCTCCACACCGCTCCCCCCCTCATCAGCTTTTACGACCGCGTGAAAAACACGCCGCATACCGCGATTATGGCCGAGATCAAGCGCGCGAGCCCGTCCAAGGGGGATATCGCGCCGGACGCTTCTGCCCCCGAGCAAGGACTCAAATATGCGCTGGCGGGTGCGTCGGTCATTTCGGTGTTGACGGAACCAAAGTGGTTCAAGGGTTCGTTGATCGACATGCTCGCTGTCCGGAATGCCGTCTCCACCCTGCCCAACCGCCCTGCCATCCTCCGCAAAGACTTTGTCCTGAGCACCTACATGATTGACGAGGCCCGTCTTTACGGCGCCGACACTGTCCTCCTCATCGTCGCCATGCTCGACCCCGACCTCTTGTCTACGCTGTACAATTACTCTGTCAGCTTGGGCATGGAACCCCTCGTCGAAGTAAACAACCCCACAGAACTCGAGCTCGCCCTCCAAATCGGCTCAAAGGTCATCGGTGTCAATAACCGAAACCTGCACGATTTCAACGTCGACATGAGCACCACCACCCGCGTCAACGCAGCCCTCAAGGGGCGGGGGGACGTCATTCTTTGTGCGTTGTCCGGGATTTCGCAGCCGGAGGATGTAGAGACGTATGTGAAGGAAGGCGTCAAGGCGGTACTCGTTGGGGAATCTTTGATGCGCGCGAAAGATACGGGGGCGTTTCTCCGATCCCTTATCGGTCTGCCTGAACCCGCGCGAAAGCAAGTCCAAGAGAAGCCCTTGGTCAAGATCTGTGGTATCAGATCCGCAAAAGACGCGCAGCTCGCTATCGATGCCGGCGCAGATCTGTTAGGCATCATCCTCGTCCCCGGTACCAAGCGCTGTGTCTCTCTCGAAACCGCATTCGAAATCGCCCAAGTCGTCCGCACCGCCCGCGCCTCCCGCCCTTTCCCCTCCTCTCCCCCCTCCATCCCCTCCTCCTCCCCGGAGCCTTGGTTCAGACACAACCTCACCACCCTCTCTTCCCGGCCCAAACCCCTCCTCGTCGGGGTCTTTCAAAACCAACCCCTGGCTTCTGTGATCCACCAGACCACAGCGATCGAGCTGGATTTGGTACAGCTGCACGGGGACGAACCCCAGCAATGGGCGCAGTTTATCCCCGTGCCCGTTATCAAAGTCTTCCGCGTCGACGACGAAGGCAAAGTCCGGGGCGGGGAGGTCGCGAGGCCGGGGCAGAATAGCTTTATCCTCCTGGACAAAGGCACGGCCCAAGGCGGTGGTGGGGAAGGCCTGTCTTTCCCGTGGAAAGTGGCCAAGTCGCTCATCTCGGCGGGTGAAGCAAACTCGCTCGCGCATCCTTTGCCTGTCATCCTTGCGGGCGGGCTGACGCCAGAGAATGTGGGAACGGCTATAGAAGAGACGGGGAATGGGGTTTGGTGTGTGGATGTTTCTAGTGGGGTGGAGGGAGAGGGGGGTAAGGATGAGGCGAAGGTGAGGGCTTTTGTAAAGGCTGTTAAGGGTTAGATGAAGTTTGAGCATAGGAAGGGATAGATGCATATGTTTACATGAAAAGGTTGTCGACGGCGTGGACCACAAATTGCCCGACTCTATGCAGACTCTTGACGGCAGTAGCGTCAATACCCTTGCCTCCTATCTCTAGACTCTTTCCGACCTTGCCCTTGACCTTTTGCCACTGACGACTGATCTCTACCCTATCCTCATTCTCCAAATACACATCCTTGTTCTCATTCAACACCGATACCAACGCAAGCTTTGACTGTAAAAGAATCTGCTGCGTCGCAAGATCTTTACCCGACGCAGACATGCCGAGTAATTCCAACAAGTATTCTACCGTCGGCGCCGACATCCCACACCACCCCTTCTTCCACTCCAGCGCCTTCTCCGCTTTCTTCCCGCCCCTCCTGCCCCTGCCCCTCCTCCTCTCATCCGCCTTCACCTTCCCAACCCCCGCCCAATGTTCAACCCACAAAGCACACAAATGGCTCTTCGGCCCCCACTCGACCCCTTCCGCGCCTTGCCACCCTTGCAGCATCTTCTCCCTTGCACGGGGGGAAGAGAGTGAAGAGGAGAGGTGGATGAGGTGGGATGAGAGGGTGTCGGTGTGGAATGGGGCTTTGGAGGAGGAGGAGGGAGGGGCGGGGGCGGGGGTGAGGCTGGGGGTGCGGGAAGGGGAGGAGGTGGGTGGTGTGAGGGGAGCGGAGCGTTCGGCACTGTCGGAGGGGGTTGGGGAAGAGTCGCGGGAGGGGTGGGTGGTTTCTGGGGTTGGGATGGCTGAGGGGTTGGTGGCGGTTGTGACGAGCTTTTTGATAGAGTCAGCTGTGATACCAGTTTTGAAAGAGACTTACAAGGCTGAGAAGGCGTATGGCGAGCTCTTGCTTCTGCAAGCCAGATAATATCATCTCGCGATACCTCTCTCGACGCTGCCTTGCCCGTTCGGCCCTCTTGGCCCTTTCCACCTCTATCTTCTCTAGCTCCTTTTCGCTCTTTTCAACACCATCATCATCCTCCTCCTCCTCCTCCGGCGTACTCTCAAAGTCCGTCTCCGTCTCTTCATCGTCAATCTCAAACGCTTCACGCAAGATACCCATGATAGGCTCCGCCTCGCTGCGCTGCATCTGGCCAGTGGAATCGTACGGTTTCTTGATCTGGCGCAGAAACACCGGAGAGTAGGGTACACCCCTAGGTGCGTGGAGAGCTGTATCCTTCTCGCACACTGCCACGAACCACTGGAGCAGACGCCAGCCTGGCATCGAAAGCCGGCGCTGAGCCGTGGGAGACTCTTCATCATCTTCCCCATCCCTCAGTGAAGACGGCGTCGTCAACGGCGACGTCTGCTCCCCCCTCCCCTTCCCCTTCTCAGGCTCCTCATACATCAGCTCCCAAAGCCCCTCATCCCTACACCGCCTCATCCGCTTCCAAATCGCCTTATCCATCCCCCCTCGATCATAGTCCCACCCCAAGTACGCCGGAAGGGCATCGCGGAATTCGGCGGTTTTTTTGGCGGTGGTGTGGGTGTTTGTGGGGAGGATGGCGGAGGAGCAGGATGGGATGGAGGGGGCGATGTCGAGGGGGTTGTGTGTGTGGAGGAGGCGGTCGAGGGCGTGGAAGGGGAGGGAAGGGGGGACGGAGGGGAATTCGGAGGGGGAGGTGATGAGGTAGAGGACGAATTGGAGGTCTTGCCTGTAAGGAACCAGAGTCGGTCACGGAACGCATGTATGGTTTGTTAGACATACGGTGGAGGGACATAGTGGGGCTGGGTGAAACTGTTCAAGACTTCAAGTGCCAGCGTCTCTTTACGAGTACAGAATGAGTATACCGCGTTAGTGCACGGGCGTAGACTCACGCTGCTTCTCGTCGATGTAGCCGTGGACAAACTCGCGTGTGCGGTGGCCGTAGACGTTCTTTCTATTTGTCTTTCTGCGTTTCTGGGTGGTAAACATGGCGAACAAGAGATGGAGGAGAAGATGGGAAAGACGCGTCAAGTCATGTCGGACGCGTAAAGTTGTAATTTGGTTCCGTCGTGTTGAGGCATATGCATGGTTCACGAGCGACTGCATTGGACTCTGTTACATCCCCCTATGCATTCCAAAGAGTGTATGCCGGCTATGCACTACTTTCTATGACCCGCCCAGTACTCCAAAAACGCCTTCTTCTCCACCCACCCCATCCCCCTCACCCTCCTCACCTTCCCCGTCTCCGCCAAAACAACATTCACCGCCTCCCTCCACACCCCCGCACCCCCATCATTACCCAGCTGCCCCTCCAAGCCCCCGGGCTGGTCCGCCAGGATCTCTCCCGGGAGGAACGACGGCGAAGAGGGCGATGCGGCTGGGTGGAGGGTGCGGATGTGGAGGGATCGGTGCGGGAAGAGGGAGGGGGTGAAGAGGGTTGAGAGGAGGAGGTGTTTGAGGGGGGTGGGGATGGGGCAGGTGGCGCTTGGGGAGAAGGGTGTGGGGGCAGAGTGTCTTGGAGATTGTCAGTTGCCGTTGAAAACGTGAGGGGAGACGAACCTGAAGAATTTAACCCAAACGATCCCTTCATCATCACCCCCCACATCCCCCTCCCCCAACACGCCCTTCCCAAACTTCAACACCGCCCGTCCATTCCCCGTAGTTCCCTCGGGGAAGAATACAACAGGCCGTCGTTCCTTCCTGCGCGCTTCTTTCAGCGTCTTGTACAAACCACCCTTGGGAGGGGTGTCATACTGCGCGGGGGGCAGGCCAGTGCGAGCGATGATGGAGAGGAGGGTGTGGGGCTGGTACCCGAGGAGAGAAGGTTGGGGGAGAGAGGAGGGGGTGGAGGTGATGTTGGCGGAACCTGTACCGGTGTGACGGCCGTATTTCGCTTTGGGCTCGGTCATCTCAATGTCATTCGCAAAGACGGGGAGTAGAAAAGTCGGGTTGTGTCTGTACGCATTTTAGTTTTGGATGTGGAGAAAGATAATGAGATGGAAGAGCATACCGGAAAGCGAGAAAGATGATTTCGACGTAGCTAGTCCAGTTTGCGATGATCAGATCGCCCTTCTGAGGAGAGCGGCTTGAAATCTGAGCAACACCGGCCTTCCTGTCCATTCATCAGCACTCCAGATCATTGCAGAAAGGAATACAAGTGGCCTACCCTCGACGAGGAGAGACGAGTTCAGTCGTAATCCACCAATAACCCATAAGTCCCAAAGCAAGCCTGCAAGTCAAGGCCGTCAAAGCCCCGGTAAGTAGCCTGTAAAGAGGCGGTACCGGTACCTTTTTGCCATCAGCATCCATTCCGAGTCCAAAGAGTGATGAAGGCTCACGAAGAGAAGACAAAGCCAATCCACAACGATCACATGGAAAACCCCGATAACGGCCAGAAGCAAACCCCGGACGATGGAGTGGATGAGGCATGAGGGGTAGAGCAGCGCTGCAAAGAGGCCGAAGGCGCCTCGAGGTGGGACTGGTTGGAGGAAAGGCTTTACGGGGTGTTAGCAGGAGAAGGATAAAAGAAGGTGGGGGGGACGCACTTGAATACCCGTGGCGGGATCCTACGCGGAGCAGATCAGTTGTCAAGTCACTGGGGGCTGTATGGATGATGAGGGGCTTACTCTCCACTTGGAGTATTTTTCCATCGTAGCTTTGCTTGTCAATTGATTGGTTTAGATGGGGAGGAAATTGCGAAGGGGATGAAAGGGGAGATGGACGGGGGCGGCGATGGCCGCTGAGGCAAGCCGGCTGCCGAGTGCCCACCTGCGATATCTTGCAAATATCTTGCAAGACGTAGTACTGTATATCACGAGCAGCAAGACGGAGCGAGTATGCATGTCGGGAGATGTTTTGCTATGCACTCGTCTTCCAAGCCGCTCGCCCTCCCCACCATGCACAACATCAGCCCATGAAAACAAAGTCAGTCGCGTCTCTTGTGATGGTACCTGCGACGTCACCGATGCCCGCCACCATCTCCCAAAAACGATCTCCATTCCACCACTCACTGCAAGTATCCAACACCACGATGGCCCCCAAACTCCGCGTCCTCGTCTCCACCCCAGACTCCCCCGGCTACCCCCCCACCACCCCCATCCCCGTCAACTCCCCCTCCCCCTCCCCGCTCTCCACCCCAGGCTTCGAGGGCCACATCTGGGTATTCGTCAAAGACTACTCTGGCGCCCACCTCGCTGGCGACGGCGCCGAATACTTTGCGGAAGAAGGCCGGGAAGGGATGACTTATGGCATTGTGGTGAAGGGTAGGTTCAGAGAGGAGGTGGGAGGGGATGAAGTCGTTTTTGGGAATGTGTTTGAGAAGCCTATTAGGGATAGTCTGCCGTGGGGGACTAGTGTGGCTACCAAGTTTATGTAGTGAGTCTTCTCCTCCTCCACATGCTTTAGGGAGTGCTACTGACAGGGTAACAAGCTTTATTGATCCGACGCTGGAGCTGGATATCTACGCCGACAAGCCCTGGGCCCTCTCGCCCGCTCTGGCGACGATGAACTACCTCTCCCTCCAGGAAAGCAGCGACATCCCCAAAGACCTGCGTATCAAAGAAGATGCTCCAGAGTATCTCAAAGCCAAAACCGGAGGTCAGTCCTTCTCCTTCTCCTTTCCCCCTCCCCGACGGTCACTGACTGATACCATCTGGTTCTGGGAACAGGCCCTTCTGCAGAAGGTTCCGAAAAAGCCAAGATTACCGCAAGAAGAAAGTGGCTCGGGTCGAAAGCCAATAGGGAGAAGGTCAAGTTGAACAAGGACGTTGTGGTGGGTATGGAGTTTGCCAACGGGCTTCTCGGTGAGTTCCTCTTTCCTCTTCTTGCTACCCACAGGCATTTGCGCACTTGCTCACACAAAAGGACAAGACTTCAACACCCTCTCCGCCACCCTCCCACCCCCATTCAAAGCCTCCTTCCCCCTGCTCAAATACTGGGACGGCCAGCCCGTGACATATGCCTGCCAGCGCCGCGCAAAAGACGGCGAGAGCCCGGTGGGGCAGGAGGTGTTTTGGAGTGTGGCGTTTGAGATTGTTGATGAGGATGCGAAGCGAGAGTTGGAGAAGAAACATGGTGGAAAGGGGGGAGAGAAAGGGAAGAAGGGTGAGAAGGAGAGCGTTGATGAGAGTGCGGGTGATAGCCAGGCCGATGATGTTGATTAGAATTGCCCAAGGTAAAGAGTCCGTAGAATGTTGTACCCTTTTACATGAATTCACATGCTACACTACTCGCCTCTACTCCTTCTTGCTCTCCTTCGCAGCCTTCCTCAACGCCCTCTTCCTGATATCCTTGTGCATCGACAAGATAACCTTGATCGCCGCCATCTCACTCACATACCCCGCAAACCCCGCCGCATAATCCAACAACGCATGCGTCCAATACGGTGTCCTCTCATGCGGCCGCCCCTGCGCTCCCCCAGGCCTCCCAATCGACCCGAGCGCAGATTTGACAAAGTCTCGCGCAGTCGGCACCAGCGCGGAAGCACGCCTGATTTTCGACATGTTGGATACCACGAACGCGGCCTGCACGAGCTCGACCACCACGCCCTGGGGTCGAACTTCTTCGGCGAGGGCTTTGGTCCAGGTGGAGAGCGCGGCTTTGGTGCCAGAGTAGGAGGCGAGGAGGGGGGAGGGGATGCGCCCGGAGAGGGAGCCGAGGGTGAGGATGAGGGATTTGGGGGCGGCGGGGCGGGAGGAGCGGGTGATCATGGAGGGGAGGAGGGTGCGGGTGATGAGGTAGGTCCAGGTGACGTTCTGGGGGATGTCAGTTCGGTGATGGAGCATGGAGGGAGGAGCGTACGGTCTCGATGATACGGTCGATCTCGGCGCGCTCGGTCTCGGCAAAAGATACAGGCATGGTGTGGGAAGCACCGACGTTGTTGACTACACTCTTCTATCAGTCTCCGCCCACAGCATCAAGGCCCGATACTTGCTCAAAACTCCAATGTCGAGGTTCTTTGCCAAAAGCTCCAACTGGTCGAGAGCGCCGTCACGAGCAGCACCGGGCGTAGAAACGTCGACGACAACCGACTTGGTCAAGACGCTGTACTTGGTCTCTGCATATACACATATACACATAAGCTTCTGTCTTTTCACGAAGAGTCTGTAAGAGGGCGTACCAATTTCCTTGCCAAGCTCGGTAAGAGCAGACTGCCTCCTCCCAACGAGGATCAAGTTGTACTTTTTCCCAGCGAGCTGCTTTGCAAATTCAAGGCCGATACCAGAGGTGCATCCGGTCACCACTGCCCATGTCTCACCGCTTCGGGATCGGAACGAGCTGATCTAGAGAGGCAAAAAGTCAGGCGATTGGCCCCACTTGCTGCTGGAATGAATGAAGGTAGGAAGGTGGGCTTACGGATTTACCGGGCAAGATGGCGAGCTCGAGGAAGAGCCGGAAGATGGAGAAAGCATACCTGAAGAGGAACGCTGCTCCGACAGTGGACAGGATGAGGGCGGGGATGGAGATATCGAGGACTAACGGTACGTACACCGTCAGCATTCTACTTTCTCTTTCTCCCATCCCAAGAGCCTGCGTGGTCTGGACGTACTGATTTCTTGGCCAAAGATATAAACAGACTGGTTTCCTGCAGCATGGGTGCCTACGTGGATGGTGTCGGCGACCATTTTGGTTTTGTTTTGGAGAAAGAAGAGATGAAAGAATGGATGGAATTCGCGCATCTCACGCGAATGGCTCCTCAAGAGGGCCGAGCGCATGAATTACGTAAATGAGTCCTGAGGAGGACACACGCAGCAGTACGTACAGCATGCAACAAACCTATGCGCATGATGCTTGAGTATTAGCAGGCAGCAGTCCAGACCCCCAGCGGAGATTGGGGCGCTCGCTTATCCCCCAAATGCAACAGGTCGAGGGACTATTGACAAATGTACGAACACAAGCTACTCGAGTCATGCCATGTTGAAGGAGAACGCGAGGACACGACGTTGCATCAAGCTTTCCTTATTTATACAATTCCAAGACCTTTTCCAAACCCTAGATATCGTAATACAATAAGCCTTCAAGAGCAGACTAAAGCTCATATGCCTAGCATCGCTCAAGCAGCAGAGGCGGAAGATACGGCCGAGGAAGCGGCGGTGGCAGTGGCGGCAAACTCCTTGTCAGCAGAGGAGAGGAGGAGGTTAGAACCTTCGGTGGGGAGTTCCGAAGCAGAACCGGAAGCACCGGAGGGAGCGGTGCCGTTCTGGGGAGGAGCAGGGAAGTCGGTAGAGTTGCCACCGCCGGGACCACCGGTGAAGTTGCCCCCTGAGGGAGCGGTAAAGTTGCCGCCAGAAGGAGCGGCGCCAAAGTTACCGCCGGAGGGAGCGGCGCCAGAGAAACCGCCAGAAGGAGTGGCGCCAGAGTTACCGCCGGGGAAGCTGGAGGCGGTAGAGTTGTCGATGGGGCCGCCGCCGCCGGTAAAGTTGCCAGAGGAGCCAGAGAAGTCACCGCCGGAGGGAGCACCGGAAGCAGCGCCCGAGGGAGCGCCCGAGGGGGAACCGGAGATGGAGGAGAGGGAGAGAGAGGCAGACGACTCGGCAGCGGGGGCAGCGTTGACGGTCACTAGACAGAGGGTCAGCGTTCACTCGTTTTGAAACAGAGAAGATACTCACCAGCAGCGACGGCAGCGAGAAGAGAGAAAGTAGAAGCGAATCGCATGGTGGCTGAAAGAGAGTGTGGTTGGTGTTGATTGATAATATGAGAGCAGTTGAGAGCGTTGGACCAATTCGTATAACTCAATCGAGTTGATGAAGAAAGGGGATGAAGAAGAATGGGCCTGTATATATACCTCTCCGCGCAGCACCTGTGCGCTCAGCTTACCGCATCTCTCGGTCCTGATCACTCCTCGCTCCTCGGCCCAATGCGCATCCCCTCAAACGCTTCACAAGGCCCACAAGGGTGCTGTCCCCCGCATTCGGCTTAGCATGACACAGCATGCATAGACGCGCACCATTCCTGTCCATTGATTGCGCATTCCAGGCTAATAATCAGCACAGTAAAACAAAATATCCCCTTTCGAGTGTCTGTAGCGCAGTTTCAACAAACCTTCAGCCAGTTTAGCTGCGTCATAGTTCAAAGGGGTGACCAAATAATACCTACCATGTGGCGGGTTGTGCGTTTCGCTTGCGCATTTGTAAAGTCGAGACCGTGTTGGCCTATTTTAGGGTGGCTTTGGGTGGAGTGCCTCCCGTGACTTCCTTCATTATCGCCGTCCTTGCTGTTGTTAGTTGTGACTGGGGGATCTTGGAAACGCCTCGGGCGTCGCATCGTGACTGCGCAAGGGCGAATTATTGCGCTACACCTTTTGTTTACGTCTGCGAGATCTGAGCACAGCGGTTGCGGATAACGGAGTATTTGCTCGGTCACTGCGTTCTGCTGTATCAGCTCAATTTGCAGTGCACGCACCATTCTTCGTCATGGTAGTCATGGCCGGTATGTAAATGAAGAGATCTTGAGCCAAAAGCAGCAGTGCGAAACGCAAAAGCCAGAAAAGGACCAAATTGGAGGGCAAAATGAAAGGCACGAGGAAGGAGTCAAAGCACGCAAGATGTGAAGCTCACTCAAAAAGGCAAAAAGAAATGATCGATGACAGGATCGAACTGCCGACCTTGGACTAATGACTCGTATGAATTATTAGGTCCACAATCTAAACCAACTGATATAATCGACCAATTTATGCTAATAATTTGCGCAGCAAACCAGATCGGTTTACATTGTGGGAGTATCTCTGTGACAGCCAGGCATGAGCTGGTCGCTGCTAATCCTCTATTTCGCCCCAGGGCGTTGAGAGAGATCGGGCTTCATCGTGCATATCATTCTTCCTTCCTTGAACGCGCGGCTTATGAAGACGAAAGCTCTCAAGTGGTTCGGCCAGCTCTTCATCCGCAACCTCCCCTAGCCCACCGTCCTCCGCGTCATCAACGCCATCGTATGTGAACGTACACGCTTCCACCTCATCGCCTCCCTCACCATCCTCTCACTCTCCCGTGACCGCCTCGTCCGCCTGCCTCAATTTGGCAAGGAGGATCCTTGTTTTGCACTTTTTTTTTCACAAATACTTATTGCATCATCTTTCATGATCCATCATTGTTTACTCGTACAGAGTATATCTAGTTCGCTATCGCATAGTAATCACCATTATGTATCGTCACTTGTGCATCCGCTCAAATTGGAAAGTTGACAACGTCCACTCGGCCTCTCGTTCCGTCAAGCCCACGAACGTATCAGCAGGATACTTTGTCTTGGCTGCCAGTCTAGCTCTGAGCGAGACAAGTTCTGAGGAGGGGGCGAGGACCGCGGAATGATACCACTCTTCCGTCTCATCTCGTACTAACATATCGCCGAAAGCCTCGTAAAACTCAAGACCAGTCCTCCAAAAGACTTGAGTCTCCGCCGCCTCCTCCGGCATGCCCAAGACCTCTGCCGACAACTTGTCATCTCCTGCACAAATTCCCTTTCCACCATTGCCTTCATATCATCCACCTTCCGACTCTTCGACAATTCACTCAACCTCTCCAACATCGTATCGGCATTGTACAGCCAAAGCTCGTCGATAGACCCCCGCATGCCGAGTTCTTCGCAAATCTTGCAGAGGTCGTGGAAGCGCTTGTCTTTGAGTATGGCGTTCGTTAAGAGGCTGAGCCACCTGATTGCCCGCTCTTCGACGCAATCCTTGTCCCAAATAGAGCTTCGAAATTTCTCCTCAGGATATACTAAATCGCCCCAAAGCAGTATATGGACCGCCTTGATATTGAGGCAAGGCGGGCGGACGTTCCGGCCGATACCCCAGACCCCGCCAACAGGATACCTGAGCTGCGTAAACTCCCCCACGTTCGCCTTCAACACAAGTGTCTCTACACAAGGCAAAGAAGGCATAGAACGACCACCCCTGGCGCCAGGTGTTAACCAAAGTGTCGAGACGTGTAGCCGAGTAGCAGTGGGGCAAAGTCGCTCGATGAGGGCGTTGTCTGGCAAGGTCTCATCGATACCGCCATGTTGTCGGGCGTTCCTATCGGCGGGGTGGATGATGACGGTTTCGACAGCAGGGAAAGGGGGGGGGGGTTCGTACCCCTCTGCCCATACTGGATGATTGACGGGCAGCGGTGCGCGCTCTACGACCACCGTCTGTACAAGCTCCAACAGTTCGGTCTTTCCATAGGGCCCGCCTCGCCCGTCGGCATCAGCGCCCGAGAGGGTATTCTAGGCGTTCGATATTGGTAGCGAGCGATAGAGTTTTGGGGCCATGAGACCGAAGAAGAGGGGAGATGTGCGCAGGAGAGAAGTGAGGTCGTTGCCGGCGGAGAGGTGGGAGAAGATGATGTAGAGTATGTCTGTCGTGTGGGCCACTCTGGAGGCGGAAGACATGGTCGTTTGGAAGTACCTGGACAAGATGAAATCGGCATTGAAATTGTTGCGTAGTAGCGCTAGACGCACCTTCGGGAAGAAATACAGCTTTTGACAATGCGAGCGGTTTCTGGGGTCTGTTGCGGGAGCTGGAGTAGGCGTATCGTAGAGACAGCGAAGTGCACTTAACAGGGAATCCGTAGCAGAATGTCCGAGTCGAAATAAATGATGACAGCGCGAGAATGCAAAGAACGTAAAAACAACTGATAAGATTGTACTTTAGTTCTCCTCCCGTCCGCTGTGTGTCCGCTCCGAGGCCGCCTTACACAATGTGGTTGCATCTGTTCTTTTGCACTTGTGGTTTCAGCTCTAAGGAGCATACATAGCGTAGCTAAAATAGTATATAACAACGGTAAAGAACCGAATATTAAGACACAAACAACAGCTCGTCGGCGTCGGAGTTGCGCAAAGCTGCCCATATCTCCAGTCAGTCGAGCACAAGAACCATCGACAAGACCTTCATTCACCTCCTCGCCTTCAGGGAATAATCACCCCCAAACATTATCCCTTGTAGTAATCCGATACAGTCTGCACATCATGCTTCGCCAGCCCCAAGAAGTGATCCGCAGGCTTCCCCGTCCGATCCGCCAACTGCTGCCTCGCTGGTGGGGATGTTGAAGAGTGGATGGACAAGGAAGCTGCGGGTGTACGTATACGTAATCGTGTTTTAGCAGCTGGAGGTCGTGAAAGCTTCTACCAGCACCGATCTATGCAGCATATTGGATGGCAGGGACCCAGTGAATGCGATGACTCGAAGGAAAGAGAAGGGCTCCGGACCGCGAAGGGCGGCGGCGAGATTTCAAGCTGCTGCCAGCAGGAGTCAAGCTATCGTTGACGGCGCATAATATGGGGAATGCATGTGACCATAGTGACTATCCTATAGAGCTGAAACAAAAAAAAAGTGTCGCCAAGTGATAAGTAGAACACCAAGAACCATTCCATGTCCTCAATCACATACGCATGCACAGCCGATCAAAGTCGGTGGAAGCGGATACCCGAATCCTGCCCGACGTATCCTCGTACGTCTTGTGGTTGGGAGTCCATCTCTGACCGCCATACTCGCCTTTGAGCCATGCACCCCCCGCTCGTTCAGCCAGCCTTTTGGCAATCCAAAACTCCAACACGCTGGTGAACTTGACCTGCACAAAGCCCTCGAGCTTTGCATACTCCTCTTTGAGGAAGGCGATGTCTTCGGCGAGCCTTCTGTCCACTCGCTCGGGGGACTCATAAGACACCGTGCCGTAGCCTCGGTCAAGCATAGCAGCAAAGAACCGCACGCTGGTAGAAGAAGCAGGGATGCGGCTCGCAGCATTGCGGCAAACGTAGATATACGCCTGAGAGTCTGAGAAGTGGGTACCGCGGAACCAAGAGCCATGGGTGACACAGGTCATGATGAGGCCTTGGGGGACTTGGCGTGTACCGCGGTAGTACTGGGTGATATCGGGCTGGATTGTGGCTCGCTTGCCCAAGTGGGTGGCGGGAATTTTGGTGGCGACGTTGGTGGAGACTGGTGATAGCGTCAGCTCCGGTGTCGAGCACTCGGGAAGGGAAACTGGGGCTTACCTACAAGGCCTTCGTCGCTGGCAGTCATGAAGTCACTGTAGACGTTCTTCTCGTCCAACACGATAGACACGCTGGACTCGGTGCTGATGGTAGACATGATTGTCTGGGTCTGTGATAGCCGGGGTGTTGTTGTAGTAGGGGTGGAGGATGTCTTCCAAGAGTGGTGCAAAGGCGATGGTACGGATGGGGGACATTCATTTCTATCTCCAGAGGCGCACTCTTATGCACTTTGGCTCGCGGGAATGCCAACGCAGTTGACGTACGGAAAGCTGGCGGAAAACGTATGCGGAATGAGATCATTGCGGAACCACTACAAGAAGGCGGCGGAACAGGCCCCACGTCGTCTGAAAGGCTTACCGCAAGCAAGCACGGACGGCTGAAGGTCAGGAGGAGATTATTGGACCTGGCCATCGGATTATGCGAGAGTTGGCAGGCTCGGGGCCGGCAGGAGCGAAGAAGATGAAGATGTTGATTGTTGGCCAGCTGCTGCTGAAGACTAGAAGCATCCGAGCTTATTTGTGACTGTTCAAGATGTACCAATGCTGTCTCTGTAAACTACTTCTGCTAATCCCCCAGCATTCTCGCTACGTCTGAGCAGCTTGGTTTGATCTCACGTCGATGAACATGGCCCGCAGCAGCACCTGGGTCTTCGCGATGCGTAATTACAAAGGTTAGATAAATTTCCCTCCGGCAGCCGGGCAGCCGACGACAAACTTGGCCATCTCCTCTTCTAATCTCCCATTTTTCTATCCTCTCCCTCAAAAACGATCCCAGCAATGGAAGACTCGCCTCTTTCATCCTCCTCAAAACGCAAGATGCCCCCCATGGATGGCACGGCCACCGACCACGACTCGTTCACCAAGGTCCCTACGCGACAGGAGAAACGCAAACAGAAGAAGATCGACAAGCGGAAGCCTGAGTTTCAGTTCAATGTGTCGGATATGAGGTATGGGAAGAAGGTTACTTTGGCTGTAAGTCATGTTTCGTGAAAGAGTGTGGGAGGGGCTGATGGTGTTGGTAGCATGTGCGCGATATGATATTGTACATCTTGGCCGAAGCGCAGAAGCCCCAGTGGCTGCAGATTGACGTAGGTACTGTAGCATACTTGACGGTATTAAGCTGATACCATATACTCAGCACAAAGCCTCCATCTCCCATGTCGTTCTTCTCCTCATACCCGGTCTTCTTCCAGAACATCTCGGCCTTGATCCAGAGGTCACCCACTCCTCCATGCCCTTCCCAATTACTTCCCCTTCTGCCCCATTAGATCAGGTGTCCCTCATCCCTGCACTTTCGACCTTGTTCACCTATGGATGCCCTACAAGAGCTCCGGGAGATAAGACTAGGATGCACTCGCCTATCAACCAGTTGCTCATGAGCCCTATGACGGATGCTGTGAAGAAGCAGAAGGAAGATGAGAGCAAGGTTGTTCAAGGTGAGTTCTCTCCTGTCCTGCTAGAGCGGAGGTTCGTTTGACTGATTCACCTTGCAGACGAGCCCACGGGGGCTAAGAGGAACATTCCCCTGCAATACCTTGTCACCCCAAACCAAATGATCGACAACGACTATCAATTGCCCGCCTACATCAAACCCAGCGACGTCCCCATTATCCCTGGCCTGGACCTCGAAACCATCACCAAAGAGCTGCCTATACCTCTTCCCAGCCAAGACGGCAGTGCATGGTCTGTAATTGGGGCGGGCAGTTTGCAGGGCAAGAACCCAAAGGGGAATAGGAGAGAAGGTGGTTGGGTGGAGACGCCGGAGGCGAAGGGTCCTCCTGCGGATGGAAAGTATCCGATCTTGGCTGTGGATTGTGAGATGGTGAGTCTTCTCTCGCGGAGTCTATGCACCAGGCTAATTTGGGATTCAGGTGGTATCTGCGGATGGTGATGAGCTGGCGCGCGTATCGGTGATCGACTTTGAGACAGGAGACAGCGTCTTTGACGAACTTGTCCAGCCCAAAGCTGAAATCACTGACTATAGAACTCAGTAAGTTTTGACTCCCCATCCGACGTACCTACATAGTGCTGACAGATATCCCCAGGTGGTCGGGTATCACCCCCGAACGTCTCTTTTCAGCCACCCACGACCTCCCCGCCATCCAAACCCTCCTTCTCCACGGCTCTTCCCCCATCATCACCCCCCACACCATCCTCCTCGGCCACTCTCTCGACTGCGACCTCAGCGCCCTCCGTATCCGCCATCCCCTCTGCATCGATACCGCCCTCATCTACAAGCACCCGAGAGGCCCGCCGTTCAAGCCGGGGTTGAAGTGGTTGGCGCAAAAGTGGTTGGGGAAGGATATTCAGGCGGGGACGGCGGGGCATGACTCGGCGGAAGATGCGAGGGCGTGTGTGGATCTGTTCAAGATGAAGTTGATCAAAGGTGGGGGTTTCTCATTTGTCGTGTGATGTGAGAGATGGGGCTAACTGGCATGTAGGTCCGTCGTTTGGGAATTCTGTCAACAATATGGAGTCTATCGTGGAACGTCTTGGTCGATCAAAGACCGAGTCGGGACGAGCGAGGACATCGTGTTATTGCGATTACGGAGATCCCAGGTGGCTGTACGGCGCCAAGGCTACGACAGCTGTTCAAGCTCACAACGATGACGATGTGGTCAAATCTATCGTCGACAACGTCGAGCAGCACGACTTTTTGTTTGGGCGCATGCTGGAGCTTTCTCAAGTCCAGGGCTGTGAGTTTAATGAAGATCGGGTCGTGACGTAAACTGATGGTTGGTATAGGGAACGAAAGCGACCCCACCCCCGACAACTCCCCAGAAACCCTCAACGCCGCCCTCTCATCCCTCAGCACCCGCCTCTCCACCCTACACGCCTCCCTCCCATCTAACACTGCGCTCGTCATCGTTACCGGAAACTCCAACCCTATCCCCATGTTGGATTTACAGAAGAAGAGGCAGAATTGGGAGAGGGTGACAAAGTTGAAGGGAAGCACGGGAGGGATGGAGGGGGAGGAGAGGTGGATGGCGGAGGATGAGAGGGAGTTGGAGGGGAAGGTGGAGGATGCTAAGGCGGGGATGGCGTTCTTGAGGATAAAGAGCTAGGGCGTAGTATCTATGAAATAGTCTTGCCAAGTGCCGCCACATGTGTATCATCTATCAAAACATGACAGCTGTGTTACATCGTCTACGTATAAACTCTACAGTATTTCTACAATCTAGATAGAACGGGGTGCATGATCGGACGAGCACTAATTCAGCTCTTCCCCGGACACCATGGCCAACAGTGAGTTGTACTCCTCGATTCCTTGGGCCATACAGAGGCCATAGAATCGTGATGTATGATTGCGAATAAGATCTTCGGGCTTGCCTGCGGGTGACAATCAGTGCTGACCAAACGAGACGACTGTCAAACTTACCTGCTTCCACGATTTGACCCTTGTCGAGAACGAGGATACGGTCACTATGACAGGATTGAGCACTCTGGTTTTGGTTGAAGGACGGGAACACATACTAGCTCATGACCGTCGCAAGACGATGGGCGATGACGAGCATCGTAATGCCGGAGAAACATTCCTTGATTGTGGCCGTGATCTTGGCATCCGTCCTGAACAGATGTAAGTGTCTTTCAACGTCTGACCCAGAAAGCAAACTCACGCAAAGTCAACCGAGGACGTGGCTTTATAGATGATGCCGTCAGCTTCCAATACTTTTGGTCCACCATTGTACTCACCTTCGTCCATGACCAAGATTTTGGAGTCCTTCAGTAACGCTCGTGCGAGACAAAGCAATTGACGTTGACCTTGACTAAAGTTTGCTCCTTCTGCATAACATATTAGCCTCTGTCGACGTATTCAACATCGGATGACTTACCAATGGCGACATAGGTGTCGAGGTCAGCGAAGGGGTTCTCCTGGGTCTCCGCTTCGGTCATATCCCCAGAAATGAGGTGGACTTTGCGAAGAGCCTCGTAAATTTCGGAATCGGCTGCAGCAGTGTCCGGTAAGCTCATGTGTCTCTTTCCGTGGTAGCCACCTACTTCGTTGACCAGTCACGTCCAATGACTCCCTCAAGCTTCCAGAACACAGGATCCCATCTTGAGCGACCATGTTTAGCCTCTTTCTCAACTCCGGTAACAAGACAGTGGAAGTATCTATCAAGAGGTTCAGTATTTGAGTTTTTCGAGGCTCGAGTAAGATGTCGTACCAACACCATCGATGAGGATCCGGCCTTCTTGCTCGCCAACAGCTCTGAACAAGGCCAGGGCCAAAGTAGACTTGCCGGAGCCTGTCGCCCCTACGAGACCCACTCGATGTCCGGGCTATATGGCGAATCAGCCTCTAATTACGGTAGATCAAGGAGCACACTCACCTCAATAGAAAACGAAATGTTGTTGAGGACTGTGGGAAGGTCGGAGGCGTATCGCACACTGAGATCCTGTACCTCGATCTTTCCACTTGTGGGCCATTCTTTCGGCGGCATGGCTCCTTCTTCTGTTTCGTGATCAGGCATGTTGATGTCTGCATATATGAGTCAACATCCATCCCGGGCCAAGACGACGTAGCCCACAGTAGTTGACTCGCTCAGCGCTGACAAACGTCTGCTCCAACTGAGAATACCGTTCCATCAGGTTGAATAGCCCTATAGCACTTTTCGTTAGAACAGTTACCCCATATATGATGTTTGCTCACCGGAAGACACGAGCGAGGCAAAACTCAATATCAAACCTGCTTGAGAGGCAGAGATGTTCTGCCCTACCAGCAAGAAGCCAGTAGCAGTGATGACAACACTCGTCACCGACCTGACCATAGCGCTCACCCACTGATAGGCTTCACCCACAGTATGTCAGCTAGACTCTCTGCCGATTTAATGACAATGACTCACCAACCCAGTTCGCCACCCACGCCACCCTCTCCCTGTTGTTCAGTGTCTTCATAGTGGCCATCAGTAGCTTGTTTTGCCCGAACGCCCGAACCATCACGACACCATCAATAGCCTCGTTGTATAGCGAGTATAGGGGGGAGGAGGCCGTGGCAGTAAGGCGTCGGATATCAGATCGCAATTTGTTGACATGGCCGCTGACCCAGTAGAGAGGTATGCCGAAGATAAGAGCTATCAGAGCTACCGCCTGACACACGATGATGAGCGAGTGAATTTCGGGCGGCCGCATAGACTTACGGGAGCTTTGAAGAAGACGATACCTGCGGCAGTAACGATTGCAAGGCCTGGCAAGACATTAGCAACAGTATATCGTGGGCACTGCTATACAACGAACCATCCATTAGAGTACCTAGCATCACGCATGATATCAGCTTTCATTCCCGGTGCAATGACTTCCACTCACGGCCGAAATCATCCGCCGAATTGCAGTCCAATCTCCAGATATCTTGCCCAAACACATTCAAAATCCTCCCCTGAGGAGTCGTTTCGAAGAATTGCAACGACGCCGAGAACAAGCTCTCCATGACCACATCATGAATGAGCCTACTACCTCTCGAGTAGAACCCAACATTCTTGACCCCGTACAACCAGATCCACCTGAAAGCGCCAACGGATATACTGAAAAAGACGATGATGGTGTAGATAGCGAGATTGTAATTCAGGTGTTCGGGCGAAGGATCAGCAGACCAGTGCTCAAGCCAAAAGCTCCTGCAGATGGTGATGGCCCTGAGGCCTCCGAAGATGAGGAAGAGGGACGTCCAGTAGCGCTTACCACCAGCGGCGCGGAAGATGAGGAAGTAGTGGTTTCGAGAGACGCGACCGACCTCTCGGTGCTCCTCTCGGTAGAGCTGGCGAGAGGCTCGGGGGATCTTAGAAACGTCTTGTGGTCGGGCCTGTTTGTCTGATTGTTTGACGGACAGTCTACGCTGAGGGTTGGAACGAGTATCTAGACTTTCGTCGTTGCTAGGGGATGTATGTGTCTCATCTAGCTCTAGCTCTCCGAGTTTCGCATCCGAGGTTGAACAGGCTTGGTCTACCTTGCCGTCTTTGGTGAGGGAGATAATGTATGCGGCAGCGGGGAGAACGAGTCGGACGTGGTGAGTGACGAGGATAGTGGTACGATTCTCAAGTAGATGACCTTGAAGACACTCGGCAAAGATATACTGAGCTGTATGCGCGTCGACGGCGGAGAGGATGTCGTCGAGGTAGATTGTGGAAGCTCGAGAATAGAGGCAGCGAGCGAGATTCACTCGGGCTTTCTGGCCACCACTCTACAATCGCGTCAGATCAGAGTCCCATATCTTCAGCACCAAGGACTCACCAAGGTTACACCATTCTCGCCAACCTCCGTCAAGTCGCCATAATCAAACATCTCCAGATCCGCCATCAGCGCCGCCTGCCCCATAGCCTCTCTATATCTCTCCTCCCACATCGGCTGACCAAACAGAATATTGTCTCTGATGGTACCATGTCGGATGAAGCTTTGCTGGGGGGCATACGCGACAGAGTCGTTGAGCCACATTTCGGTAGTCCATTGAATGCAGGTAGAATCTTCCTCAGAGAGGACGGGAGTGGCGTCGGGGAGTGACCGAGGTGCAAAGACGGTACCGGCCTCTACTTTGGCCTCGCCCAAGAAAGCTCTCAACTATGCCCCATCAGCTACCATCATTTCCGCCTGTCGCGCACTTACCAACAACGTTTTACCAGCCCCAAGCGGCCCACACAAAACACTCAACTTTCCCTCCGGCACCCTCAAATTCACATCCCTCAACTTGAACCTCCCACTCTCCTCCACCTGGACACCATCAGCCGCCGGCCAAGTGATAGTAGCGCCGTGGGCCGAGATACGGCGAGAAGCGTTTTGCCATCTGTCAGCATCGATTTCGGGCTGGCTGAGGAAGCGCGAGAGACGGCCGAGACAGACTCTGCTTGTGAGGATGTTTTGGAGGACTTGGGGGAAGGCTTGGAGGCCGTCTGTCTCTAGCGTCAGTATACGAAGCCGACAAGGTATCAGATGACGAACCCTTTACACGACCAAAGCTGATAAACAATGTCAGTCGGGAGTCAACCCAGATAAGTGCGTACTCACATGCTCAAGGCGACGAATGCAGTAGCAGCATCCAAAGAGTTTCCCATGACCTTCGTATGGAACCAAAAAGTAATCAGAAGAGAGAGGACAGGAAGCTGTTCTGCTAGAACGTTGAAAGCGGTACCGAGAGTGAACCTCCACCTCTGCCATCTGTCATTTCATCATTAGCTCGATCAATACCAATCAAAGAGAGTGACTCACTTGACTTCGTGTGCTCGTAGTTTGGCAACACGCGCACCGAAATAAGGCTCCCAAGCGTTAAGTTTGATCACTTTGATACCGAGAAGGAACTCTTTCAGAGCGCCGGTACGAGCATCTCTAGCTCGCATCCATTCTTTATCACACTCTATATCGCCATCAGCGATGCATAATTGAAAAAAGGGGACAAACGTACTATAGATCAACTTTGAAACCAGCCATGAAAGCGGGGTCGATAGAGGGACGCATACGATACCCGCAAATGCACTAACGCCGAACAGTTTGTAGAGCATTCCCGTACCGATAACCACTAACCCCCACCATCAGTTCTTCCTCACCCCACTGCGAGAACATCAAGAAAGGGACACTCACAAGTAGTCATCCCATTAGCGAAATCCCAAAGACGAGTGGCCAAAGAAGCAACAGTATTGGCATCTATAGAAAGCAAGTTCATGACCTGACTTCGGCCGCGGTTGTCTTGGGTTTTGTCGTCGGCGTCGACGTTGTGGGCTTCGAGGGCTTTGGCATCGGTGGTTCGGAGGATTTTGGCGAGGATCTAGATGGGCGTGTGATGTCAGTCATTGGCTGTGTGATTGTAGCGAGGGGAGAGGGGAGACTTGCCATTGAACTGAGAGACATCCGGACGGGTACGTGCAGCATGTAATTCTCTCTCACGCAACAGTACGCAGAGAGCAGTACTGCGAGATCCATAAGCTTTGCTCATTTCCCTTTCAGCCGATACGCACCATTGACCACTTGCCCAAAGAACAAAGCCCAACACATCAGATACGCATAACTCTTATCAGACCCGGCGGGCTGATTGAAAGAGTCGATGATCTCGTGCAAAGCCGCGATTTGGATGAAGCTGATCAAGTTTCTTGTCGTTTCCAAAGCAAACGCTAGTCACTCTCAGCTAGGTCTGAGACAGCGACACGAGGTGACTCACAGGTGAACACGGTCCAGCCCTTGCCTGCCCATAAGAGCTTGACCAGCTGCCAACTCCCTATCTTGTTCTCCGGGATGAACGCTTCATCTTTACGATCCGCGCTAAAGACTGAATCATCGATCCCGCTGTTGCGTGTCCTATCCTCAAGCAGCGGGAGATCAGATTGCTGCAGACTGTCGACATAGGCCGAGCGAACCGCGAGCGGGGCCATCTGCAAAAACCATCAGCCGGCAAAACAGGTAGGAATAAGCCTGACGTACATAACCAATCACGACAAAGACAAGCATAGCCGAATTGTCATAATCAAAGACATTACTCTCTGGCTCTGAAGGGATCGCATACTGCTGCTGGCCTATAGTGACCGCAGACGCCAAAGGGTCCGCCTCCTCCGCCGCTGGTGTCAACTTGATCACCACCCTCTCATCTTCCCCCGCTTCGTCCTCCTTCTCCTCCTTTTCGTTACTCAGCCCGAATCCCGTCCCCAAGCGAGGCGGGGGAAAGTAAAGCTTCGGTCCTCTGCGCATGAGGCCTACAGCCAGAAGCGTAGTTACAAGCGCAGCGGTACGCAGATGCCGGAGTAACGTACCATGGGTTGCAGAGAGGGTGGGAGAGGGGAGGTGGGTGATGATGGTGTATGCGATACCGGGTACGGCATGGAGGCCGATGAGGAATAAGGTGCTGATGAAGCCGAGCTGGCAGAGAGCGCGGTGGAGGGATGCGTGTTGGATTTCGGGAGTGAGGCTGAGGGTTCGGATGGTGATGGTTTTGAAGAGGGCTGGAACGTATAAGAGGGCCAAGCAAGTCTATAACGTATCAGTAAGATCCCAAAATAAAGACTGAAGTACTCACAATAGCTGCCGTCCCCAGGCCATCAATCCATACCTGCCCCGCTATCGCAGCCTTGATGGCCCGGTCACTCGTCTCCAGCCCAGCGAGCTCTCTGGACGACAAGACCAAGTTCCATATCTCCAGACCCAACGTCACAGGGAGAACCAAGCCGAGAGCAGCCTTGCAGATCTTGACGTTCCTCTTGAAGTCGTCGACTTTGACAGGCCTGTCCTGGTCTGCCGAGTCGAGGTGGTGGGAAAAGACCTCAGACGGTAGGAGCGTCTCCGTCTCTGATTGTGATGAAGACATCGTCGCGCTCCGAATATGAGCTATAATGAGGGAATCAGCTCAATATCCTTGAGGACGCTATATATGGCGGTACCCCGAGGGCGATGGGTGGTGGGTTGGTACACCGCTCTGGAATTCCTTTGTGATGATATTTCAGACGCACATTCTTGATCGAAAGGATATCATGCGCCTCTCCATTGGTGTTCTTTTCGCAAAGGGGTTCTGATGTTGGGCTTTGGTTGATCTATAAGTGACCGACTCGCTTTGAAGTTGGTGATGGCTCAAGAGACAACAAAAGACAGAGACGCGATCTAATCTCATGGATCTGATGCCCGACGGCTGAAGCGACAGGTGCTTATGTAACAGGCCATGGGGTATGAATTAGAAAAGGCATCCATAGTCATTACCGAAGCATACTTGAAGGGTATAAGAGTCATTAGATCAATTATGCCACCCACACAACAGTCCCCCATAGCTCATTACCAGAAGATACCCACCTCCACCCGATTCCCAAATAAAAGTCGTTCGCCAAATCTCTCGTCTCAAACCAATCCTCCTCACTTTTTCCCATTTTTCTTCCCTTTCCCCTTATTCTTCTTCCCCTTCTTTCCCTTACCCCCACCCCCACCCAGATTCCCCCCCGCAAACAGATTCTTCCTCACAACCTCGTCCCCCTCTGGCTTCAACGTCTCGCCCGACGCGCTGGACTGGATCTTGCCGTCCAGGGGGTTGGTGTCTGGCCTCTCCGGCGACGGGGAGGGCGGGCGAGAAGAGCCGATGGAGGAGGTTGATAACCGGCGGATAGGGGAAGACGTGCGGTTCTGAGGGGAAGTCGACACGGGGAGCATGTGACTGGTCCTCATATTTAGCATTTTTCACTTTGCATTATGACCTGCGCAGAGAAGGGATGGACGTACTTGCCGACCTGCCGTCCGATAGCAGCTATACGAGCCATTTGCTCATCGGTCAGACCCTGCTGCTCGGTGGCACCATAGTTTGCGAGACTGTCTGCCGAGACGATTGACTCGGGACGGGTTGGCGGCAAGAGGGTGGCGGTGTCCACAGCCTGAAGACGGGATCAGCGAGTACATCGAAGAAGTGGATAGGAAGGGGAGGGGCGTACCTCAGAATCCTTGAGTTTGTCTTTTCGAGGTCCACAGCAGGGTAGAAAGTCCAAGAAGCCCATCACGCCAGATAATCCAAACTTCGTTTGCCTTTGCTTTGTTTTGCGGTGTTGGTATGATTATAGGTGTGGTATAAGAGACCACGAGTACAAGACTACCGAGCGACTGATGCGATCTGTCGCTGGCGAAGAAAGATGGCTAGACGATACAAGACGAGGTGAAAGAAAAATCAAGAGCTTGAACCTGAAACCGGAAAAGAACAGGAACAACCGCGAAACAGCTAACGGGAATGTCCGGGTGCGGACAAGATTGCGGGGGCGGACACCAGTCAGACACCCAGATGTCTGACGCCCCGCATTCTTCTGGGGCAGTATACCACGGTGTAATGCATGCGAGTGTCATATGCAAGTACTTTTGTCAACAGCTCTAGTCACAATGATGGACAAAGCTTGTATGGCCTGAATCGATGCCGGACACGCTGGCACTCGGCCTTTCATAAGCTGGTCGATTATATCAGTTGGTTTAGATTGTGGACCTAATAATTCATACGAGTCATTAGTCCAAGGTCGGCAGTTCGATCCTGTCATCGATCATTCCTTTTTGTCCCCCTCCCCTCCTCCTCCTTCTCCTCTCTGCTATCTGTCTTCTTCATGCAAGCGCGGCTCTCCTATCGTGTGCTCTGTTGCAGCCTGCTTTTTTGGTTGATGGTGTTAGAGCTCGGTGCTTTTCGTCGTATCCTCGCTATCTTCCATGAGGGACAATCGCCAACGCTGTGAAGGCCTCTTCGGCAAACATACCGGGCTTACAGCTCTTGCTGTGTCTTCCCACATGCCAGACAAACACAACCAGATGCAGCACGCCACTTCGCGCAAACAAAACAGAGAAGAAATGTCATATCGTCAGAAGCTAATAGATGTAGGTACAATCACTTTTCTTCCCCTCCCTCTCTCTCTCTCCATTGTCCACCCTAAAAGCCACTCGCACCAGGAGCCTTATCGCCCTCTCTCCTCAGTGCCAACAAGATCTCCTTCATCCTCGCCAAATCAGAGCCCCCCGGAACACTGGGTCGGATGGTCTTGGACTGCGAGTTTTCGAGGCAGATGAGCTCCGAGACACGTTCCCAGGAAGTACCCTTGGCAACGGATTCCTGGAGCTTTTCCAGGAAAGCTGCTTCTTGCTCCCTACCACCCCCTATCAGCTTTGTCCCGGTTACAAAGAAGCATGGAAAGAAACGCACTTGTTCTCCCGGATATTCCTCTCCTTCTGCTTATTGTAATCCGCATAAAAGGCATCAATAGCACGCTCCGCAGCATTCTTAACTTCCTCCTTCTTCTTCTTATCCTTCTCATCCCTCAGCGCAATCTCCTCAGCCTGCTTGGCCTTCCACGCTTTGATAGGCTCCGAGTCTTCATCGGCGGTGGGGAGGATGTTGTTGAACTCGGGCGCGGGGAGGATGGAGTTGGCTGAGCGGGGGGCGGGGGCGGCGGTGGCGGGGTAGGGGGAGGCGCCGTATGGCTGGGGGGAGAGGGCGTTGAATACCGGTTTGGGCTATCTTCCCATCAGTCTCTATCACTCCCCTTCTCTCCCATTTTCATGGGATTGTACTTACCGCGACCTCACCACCAGTCTCCCCAGAAAGATCAGGGAAAGCACTCTCAAACTGCTCCCTGTCCGGGTCTTCACCCAAACCAGCGGTACCCGTCACCCGCACTTGGGTGCCGTCGAACCCGGGCGAGTCGAGGTCGGGGAACGCAGAGATACCTTGCGGTTGGGGGCTAGCCGCTTTGGCGGGGGGTTGCTCGGCCGCAGGAGAAGCTACCACACCGTCAACATTAGTTATGAGAGCCGATGGGATAAGGGGGCGACGTACAGAGGTCGGGGAAAGCGTCCAGGCCAGAAGGGGTAGGGGCTGAGGTGGTCGCGTCGGTGGAGAAGAAGTCGGCATCTTCACCGAGGGCAGCCTTCTCTCTGGCGAGGAAGTCGGCGGTGGCGTCGTCGGACATGGCGGTATAGGGGATGGAGGATAGATGAATGAAATGAAAGAGATGCATGGATAGAGGTCGGCGGTCCGTCGTGGTGACGCTGTGCACTCGTTAAATGGGGGACCGGCTAAGAATAATGAGTGGTGGGTCGTGTTGGCGGTGGTGAGAGTAGGAGTGTCTCTAGCATGCATACGATGCTCGGATGTCTTGATCAGCGCATTGGTCCGATGGACACTTTGGTATAAGCAACCCTTGACTCGGCCGAAAGTATAGCGTATGAATGATCTAGCGCTCCGCCGGAGACAACTCAACGTTGGCTCATCCTCTTTCTACTATTGTTCTGACTGATTTGTCGTGATCCATCCCGAGATACGTATGATCCCCATAGGATATCAATAGCCCCCCCTTGAGGTAGTCTCCAGATACCAACTATACGTACATGCTCTACAATTACAACATCATAACTGCAGCTATACCTTCCTCCACTTCTTCTTCTCCAGCTTCGCACTAACCCTCAACAACCCTTTCACGTCCCCCTGCTTTATCCTCGCCTTCGAACCCTCGTCTCCTCCTCCCAGTAACGCCGTCTTCTCCCACCAAGGAGAGGCTTCCCACGGCTGATGCCGGATAGGACACCACGTCAGATGTTCATCGAGTACGTCTAGAGATTTCGACGATGATGGGGGTGGCGGAGTAGGAGTAGAAGAGGAAGAGGGAGAAGGGGATTTGAAGTGCCATAGTCCGATGTGACGATGACACAGTCGACACGCCACCAATTCCGTCTCTTTCACCTCATTCTCCAATACCACGCGTATGCTAGGCTCGTTTGGGTGGTAAGGGTACCACCCGAACAGAGCCATCACAGCTGCTGATCCTTCAACATCATGTTCTTTCCCAGAGTGAGCAGAAAGGAGGGAGATGAGGTGTTTTGTTTGGGAGTCGGGGATGGGGGAGGAGGTTCTGATCGTTGGGAGGGCAGGACATTCTGATGAGAGTCGGTATGCCAGGGGGGAGAGGGAAGATGTTATTGGGGGGTGCGTGAGGTGACGAAGTTTGTCATACAGATCATCTATACCCCGATTAGCAGCACCCAAAACACAAGAGCGATAGGGCTTACCAGGACTCCGATTGATCCGCCACGGACAACTACTCCCATGCCGACTCTCAAGCCCCTTCTTTAACCGGCAAACCACCTCTCCCCTGATACCTTCCTCCTTGATATCTCCCAGGCCACCCAAGCCCCACTTGACTTTACACTCCTTACACTTTAACCCTTCTCGTCCTTCATTCACCCATCCATGCAAAGCAGCTTTCACCGGCGACAGCGCTGCTGGATGCGCGGGGGAGTAGGAGAAAGGCTGGAATGTGTTTAGTCGGGATAAGAGCGCGAGAGGGGAGAAGGGGGCGTAGGTAGAAGGAGAAGGTAGGTCGGGTATAGCTTGAGTCGAGGGGATGAATGATGGGATGGCAGGTGATGGGGGGTTGTATATCCGCTGCTTTTTCGTCCCCGGACCGCTGGAGAAGAGTGAATCCAAGGTAGACATCAGCCTCTTGCGCGTTATTCGGGCGCTGTAGAGCGTTTCTGGAGAGTGCTCGAGCTGGGCGTCCTCTGCGGGAGATTCTTGCTCGTCGTCGGAAGATGCCCAGTCGTCGTCTTGGGCGTCGTAGAGAAGCTTGAACGCATCCTTGAGGTCGCTGTCGACTTCGAGGGTCATAGTCGATATGAATGTGATGGATAGGGATAGAGGAAAGGGAAAGGGAATGTGAATTGCAAGAGGTGATGAGCGCACATTCGGCGTCACGTGCCTCCCTCCATGTCCTCTTTCTTTTGTTGACATTTCAGAATCCCTTTTCAAGCACTACAGCAAAATGTCGTTCGACCCATTCGAGACCCGGATTCGTTTCCTGCAAATACTCAAATCCCTCAACGCATCCCAGCAATCTATACATAAGGGCACGGCGTTCGCTATCAAGTACGGCTCGCGCTGTGGGGAAGATCTCTGGGAGTGTATATTAGAGCAGACTGGAAAGGTGAGACTCACTTGACACTTACCGTCTACGGGCTGATTTGGTCGATAGGGCACACTGAATACGCGCATCAACGTATTCTATTTCCTCGACTCTCTCCTGGCAGAATCCATCGCCCTAGGTCCCTCAGAAACGCCCTACCAAGAGCTCGTCACCAAAAACCTCCAACAGCTCATCGACAATGTCGTCCCCGATACTACGAGCGGTATACTCAACTTGAAGAGTGCGAAGCAGATTCTGGAGAGCTGGCGGTTAAGGAGGGTGATTGAGCCTGGGGTGGTGGAAGGGGTTTTGGAGGTTATGGAGGGGAGAAAGTACGAGTGAGTTTGTGCTTTTGGCTGCCTGAGGCCATAGAGTGGAGGAATGCTGATGAATGGGTGAAGGACTGTACCGAATAACAAGCGCAATCACGAGCATGCCTTCTCCCGGAACGAGATTGTCCGCCGTATGGAAGAAGACCGAGAACGCGTACGTTCTTCCGCCCCTTCCCTTTCTCCACCATCCCAAAACCTGACAGTGTACAGCACAAACGACTAAGAGAACGTATATGGATCCTCCCTATCCCATCCCTCGTCCCACCAAGATCATCCATCCCCCAAACATCCCCCGCAACACCCGCTTCCCCGCACCCTTCTTCGAGCGTTATGCCACCGCCTCCGATACCGCCAGCTGGTGATGGGGAGAACGGTTATGGACATCCAGGCGGAGGTGTAGCAGCAGGGGTGGAGAGTGCTTTGGATGTGGAGTTTGAGCAGGTCTGGGATAGGGCGGGGGAGCTGGATGAAGATGATTTGGACACGATGCGGAAGTGAGTCTTGCTGGCGTTTCTGCTGCTTCGGGATAAGGGTGTAATTGGCTGACATCTTATTCAGTAATGTAATCAGAGCTGGTCTACTACATCATGACCTTCCAAGCACTGCTGCCTCCGAAGCAGTCGATCTATGACCAACGCCCAGCCAAGATCTTGTGTGCCCCCAGAGTGTTGTACCATTACCGCATGCAATTGTAACCGACAAACACAAACGTCTTACAACACAACCAGGTTTCGAATGCAGATACATCTTGATATTGTGACTGTCTGTACAGAATAGGATATACACGGAGGACCGAACACAGGTAATGGGATTATGCCGTGTTGAATGAGGCGTCCTTACTGCAAATGAAAGGAATCGTGTATACAAAACTGGATATACATAGTAGAAAGATCTACACAGATGTGAGACTATACCGTGTTTGATGAGTCGTCATTACTGAGAAATACAGGGAATGCTAAACAAAGAAAGTCCTGGATCTACATCGCACTCTTCTTCTTCTTTCTCTTCTTTCGCTCCTCACTGTCAAGACAATCAAGACAATCAATCACCGCCCATAAGCCTCATGCCGCCCATAATTCTGCCCATTATACGTCCGCTCATCTACCCATCCACCTCCCTGTTGTTGTTGCGGATATCCTCCCTGCCCGTACCCTCCGCCATACCCATTCCCATACCCGTTTCCGTAATCATACCCTTGCTGCTGTCCATACCCCGCACCAACACCAGCGCCATTCATCCCACCAGCCGGCGGCGGGGGCGGCGCAGAAGCCATCATACCCGGCGGAGCCGGAGGCGGCGGGTACTGTGCCATAGTCGGAACTTGCTGCCCCTTGTACTGTTTCCCCGCTGCCCCTCTGTTCCCCGTACATCCCCTGGCAATACATCTGCAGATGGCAACCACCAACGCCAAGAAAAGTAGGCCGGCGACGACGGTGACGGGGATGGAGATTTGGAGGTTTTGTTTGTACCACGCAGCAGCGGTATCCTGCCATGACCCTTTTTCGCAGGTAGAGTTGTAGCAGTGGCCGGCGTAGCCGCATGAGGAACCGTCAATAAGAGGCGTTTGGAGCACCACACATTGGTTCCTATACAACAAGTCAGTTCTAGCATAGAAAGAGAAGAGGAGTAACGTACGTGGAATTGGGATCTTTACAGCTAACAACACAGCTCGTATCATCCTTCTGCCCACAAGCAGTCGTCAACCCCAAACTCCCCCCCGCACTCGCACACTGCTTATCCAAACTCGTACACACACCCCCAGCACACGCAAGCCCACCCGAACCACAAGATTTCCCATCGTCCGCCGTCTTGTCTTCCGGGCAATCGGCAGAGTCGCCAGGGCATGTTTCGGCATAGTCGCATGTGGCGTCGACGGCGGCGCGGCAGGTGGTGTTGGCGGCGGCGTATTGGCAGGAGGAGGTGCAGCATGCAGAGTTGGAGGGGTCGCATTTGGCGTTGGAGATGAATTTGCAAGCTGGTAGATGTTAGGTCTCATCAACGTGCAGAGGTGAGAGGTGGCGTACTGGAAGAATCGCAACAAGCACTCGTCGAGTTTCCTCCAGGATCACAATCCTCCCCATCCTCCACTATACCATTACCACATTGCTGCAGACTGATCACGGTCCTAGCTCCCGGAGTCTCGATACAGCTCGTCGTCACTTGGCGGTTACCAATGTTGGTGCAGATGTTGCCGAGAGTACAGCCGGAAAACGTTGTTTCGGAGGATGAAGTGGTGGGGTTCATGATGTATTGACCGTCGGCGTCGCAAGTGGATTTGGAGAGGGGGCAGCATGAGCCGGAGAGGGAGCAACCAGACGTACACTAGTTGCAGGTTAGCGCAGAACGACAACCAAGAGTAGGCGACGTACGTCGTGGATAGCGCCAAAACCGTGACCGATCTCGTGGGAGACAAGACTCCATTCAGTCTTAGTAGCTGTACTGATACCAGTACCCGATACCGTTTGCCCGCTTTGCGTCGAGCTGTCTGTCTGACACAACGTACCGAGCCAAGCAACCCCAACTTCGGAATCCTACTCCAACATCAGCTTGATCAAAGAATATGGGCATGACTTACAGTAGGACAAGCGCTCATCAAATGCCACAACCCCGCCCCATCGTCCCCCTTATTCCCTCTCCAATCACTGAACCGACTCAACCTCTCATCCAGGGTCACATTATCCGAGCAGCCCACATTCCACTCTTCCCCCGTCACCGCCGTCGTCGGGCACGTCATATTCTGCACCTGCAGCTCGATAATACCGATGGAGATGTTGAAAGTCTGCTTGTACAACGCAGAGACTTGGTTCCAGTCGTTCAGGACCTGAGTACGGGCAGCGTCGGTGGAGCCGTAAGAGGCAATGTAGGTGCAGTCGAGGGCGACGCCCATGTAGACGATCTTTTGGGTATCGGGACAGCCAGAGGTGGAGTTGATGGAATCGATATAGTTTGTAGAGACGTCCATGCCTCCGGCTGTGTCGTCGCGCGTCCAGAGATTGTCGAGAAGAGGTCCGAACAGCGACGGCGGGGTGAGAGGCGAAGACGGTCGAAAAAGAGGGTTGTGGTGGGGATCGTTGAAATCAAGATTGTCGTGCGAGCAGGAAGAGGACGTCACATTATCATGACGCATGTCGCTCTGCCTGAAAACAACCATCTCCCCCATCCCCTCCACCGCCACATCCTCCGTCGTCTTTATCCGATCGTACTTGTCCCTCGTCATGACATTGTACATCTCCCCGAGCACTTCAAAGCTCCCCTCCCAGACGGCGCCGTGGCCCGACAAGTCGCCAGGGTGGTGGACCATGACGCTCGCGCGGCCGAGGATGTTTTGTTTTTCAGACTCGGGGAGGTTGGCTGATATAGAGTGGAGGGTGGTGAGGCGGTCGACGTAGTAGGGAGCGATCACCGAGCCGGTATACAGCCGCCAGTCTTCTTGCCGTAACCGTTCTGACCCAAAAGAGCTCTGCCCGTAAGACACCTTGGCTTCTGGGTGGAATAGGTACTCGGAGGGGTGGACGAGCAGCTTGACCTCGAAAGGTAGCAAATCTGGCAGATCTAGCGATAGTATGAGACTATCAGAGTGCTTCAGGGTGGGGGGAGGTGGCGGCAGGGGCGTCGAGAATCGCGGCGATAGGTAGCCATTCTTCTTTGATGGTGGTGGGGGTTTACGAGGAAGGATAGAGAGGTGTGCCGATGTGGTTGTGATTCGGCGTAGGGGAGGAGGGTGCGGTGACCGAGCTGCATTGGGGTCAGTAGTTGGACAAACGAGCAAGACCGAGGACACTGACCATCTACGCCACTAGTCAGGAGTATCGCCAGGCCCAAGACGAGAAGAGCTAGAGGGCGCCATTGCGTCGAGCTCCCTATCATACCTCTTGTAGCTCTAGTCGATGCAAATGGCGGACGATGGACGGGAGATTATGAAGCAAGGCCAGTTGCCGCTGAAAGGTTAAGGACAAAGGGCGATCTGGATACACGCCTAGGGGCAGGTGTATTTGCGCAGCGAGCCAAGAGAGTCGAGGATACGTATGTACAGCGACCGGCGCTGGTATGCTGTGTCGAGGCTGGTATATGGAGGAGGTAGCAAGGGCTGGATATTTCGTGGGCCAAGCAAATGCTGTGCCCTAGATCTCCTAGTTCCGTCGCCAGGCGTTATTGTTCTCGTCGCGTGGTATTGCAGAGTCGGTTATTTGTGTCGTGAGTCGTCAGGTGTTGTCGTGAATGTATGGTATAGTCTATGGGCCTGAGTTTGCGATGTAGATGAAGAGGTCAAAGTCAACTGGATTCGACGCGTTCTTGGCGACAATAACGGAATTGTTTACTTTTGGTTTGGCCCATCCCGCGCATGCCCGAGTCAACGGTTAGAGTCTTCCATGTTGGCTTGCATCCGTTTCCATAAGCTTCATCCCTTCAAGGGGGATAGCTTCTGTTTTTGAACCACCGTGAAATCAATATTTTGCATGCATGGGTAGCCCAATGCTGCCCTAGTCGATCAGCGATAAATATTGCCGTTGACTGTTGTTAATAAAGGTGCTTTAGTCGTTGTGTCAAGGGTGTTGATGGATTCCTGCGTTCTTGCCGGCTGGATGGGATAGCATGGTTCAGAAGGGCGTACGTCAAGAGCAACACATATGCCTGTAGAGTTATGCAATATTTCCAACACCTTCATCAGTTATCCCAAAAACTCTGTTGACAGGGGTGCGGGTTCCTCCTAAGGCCCCTCTCATCAATGATTCTGTTGGGCAGTGGGCTTACGTCGATATCTCGGAGTTTAGCCGTATGGGAGATTCAATGAATGGCCGTGAAAGCCAAGCCACTACAATCGAAATTATGCATGCATGTTTGGTTCCAGGCTGCGCGATCCGCGATACGTCAACTGCGTACCTCGCCTGGTGGTTGAACGATGTGATCCGAACTTGAATGGAAGTAGACCACGGAGGCTCTGATACTGACCGAACGCGAATGGAGTGGGCTTCACATATTAGGACAGAACCTGACATCAATCATCGCGATTTAGACCAAGAGGGACGTGTCTTATCAGGAGATGGCGAACCATTGTCATCATCATACCGACAGCAACGTAAGTGCTGCCTCTTCAACACTCGCATCTTACAACAAGATCATCTCATGCTTTAGTTAATGCATCACTATCTGGCCACTCCTAGCATGGACCTTCCATGGGGAACAAAAAGCATAGGCAAGAGCAAAAAGATCAGGTTCTACTGGGGATCGAACCCAGATTTAGAGAAGACTGGAGGATGATCTCAGAATCTCTTGTACTAACCATTATACGATAAAACCGCGATGTTTTCCCTGAAGGTGCAACAAACTGGTGAAATGCTCTGACAATGTTGATTGATCTAAAGATGTGCTATGTGTATCAGCCTTTGAACCGGAAGCAATGATCGCTGCGGGATGTTGAATCGCGTCCTCGCCCTCAAAGGACCCGAAAACATCCTCCAAGCCAATCAAACTCCTTGACAAGCCTTAGGGATGATGTGTATACTCTATCGTTCAGCTGAACCTGACTTAATCCCATCACCCTTTCGTATCTCAGTCCTTTAGGGTTGAAGGGGCTACCTCAAAACAGAATGGTTGTCCAACAAAGGATACTGCCAATCTCCCTTTGGATGTTGCCGTAGCTCGATCCTGCGACACTTGATCGCAGATGGAGTCACCCATTGTCCTAATATCGTGATGTATATATATTGATCGCACGACTGCGGGCTGTCACTTCGGTCTATCCTCAGCAAGTGGCTTGAAGCTCTGACGACTGAAGATCTGCAAGGCAAAATCCTCCGCCAACTCTAAACACTCTCTTTACATCCATCGACTCACAATACAAGATGAGGCAGGGCCTCTTTCTCTCTATTCTTCCCTTCCTAGCACGAGGAGTTTTGGCAAATACCTGCAAGGCCCGAGGCGCTTCTTCTACGTCTGCTGCCGACGCAGCTGACGCGGCCTCTGTTGACGGAGACGCCTCTTCATCAGCCGCTGACATAGGCGGCGGTCTCTTCGCGAGTGGTGGCGCCAGTACTTCCGGAGATGCAGCAGCCTCCGTTACATCTGCAGAGGCAAGCGTTGTCACCAGTGCTGGCCAAACTGCTGCTAGCGGCGGCGCCAGTGGAGAAGCAGGCGACACCGATATAGCAGCGGCAGCCACATCTGCGACGCTCGCGTTGACTCTGGCTGCAAGTGACGCCGCCAACGCCACCTCGACTGTTTCTTCTGCAGCAACTAGGGGAAGCGCATCGGCATCCAGCTCCGCTACCTCATCCGCCGACGACCCCATGGGCACCCAAGTCGGTACCGATTTGGTCCTCGGCGAAGCCTCTGAAGACTGCAAATGCGGTTACAAGATCTCCTCACTAAACGATCAGTACTTCCCCTACCAGTTCTCATTCGCCTTCTCGTCGGTAGATGATGGTTCTGCAGACTCGTTGACTGATCAGAAGTGGGTGTTGAACGACGGAGACTACGTTGGAGGAGCGGCGAATGGCAATAGGTGTTACGGCAAGAAGGATAATCTCTATATCGATGGAGGGAATCTTGTTCTCAAAGTGCCGAAAGATCAGACTGCGAGCCCGAATATGGAGTGTGCGGAGATTGCTTTCGAGGAGACCAACATCACTGGAGGCATTTTCCAGACAACGGCGATGCTTAGCGGAGTCGATGGTACTTGCCAAGCTTTCGTGGGTCCAGCTTCGAGCCCAGAATCGCTTGAGACTGACGGATCTCCAGTGGCTCAACCATTCGATCGCGACGCAGTACGCTGATGAAGTCGACATTGAGGTCATTTCTTCTACTATCGACACTGATGGAATCTGGTACAGCAACTGGCCTGTGAGTAAAGCATGGCATCCAAAGTGGCCCGTCACTGATCAACCTCACTTTTTCTTCATAGCCAAACGGCGATGTAAGTCATGACTTGGTATCACTTCTTCTACCTATCACAAGTTTCTGATGCGTGATTGATAGCCTAACGACCCTGACAACTTGGTCTCTGCCCATACCAATGTCGCTGTGCCGGACATTGATAGCAGTGACCCAAGGAAGACTTATAACAACTATACGTGAGTGGCCAATATTGTCGTCCTTGAAGTTGTATGCTGACGATTATGGAGAATTGCCTGGCTCGACGATTCGACCAACCGATACTACAACGGCGCCAAGCAAGACTCTCCTACCGAGAATCGTACGTGCAGTGGCGAATACCGCCATGCATTTACTTCTAGAAGCTGACTCGTTTCGCAAATAGAGCCAGAGCATAGTATGATGTTCGTGATCAACAATTGGTCGAACGGAGGTTCCGGCTGGACTCTAGGCCCGCCCACGGGAGAAGATTCGCTTCTCAAAGGTGTGTCACCTGCCACCATGGGGCTTTCCCCAAAAATCCCAAGAAATGTACACGTATAGAAACTGACACGGATGGCCTTTTAGTCAAGAGCGTGTTGCTTTATTACAAGACCGCGAACAGTACCCAAATGAGCGATTTAGGAGGAGACTGTCAAGAGAGCGATGTGTGTACAGTTTGAGGTTTGATGTTGCAAAGCGCACGGCTTTTTATCAGAACGTAAGAGCACGACATGTACGAGATACAACGTACACACGTCCAAGAACGCATTATGTGCTGTACATACGATATCTGCCACTCATATCATCCAATCTGTAGCTGAACATTCGCGTCCAGTATTGTGACACGCTGCATTGAATCATGTATACCGTGAAAATATTTCTAGCTACAGTTTGAAGGGGAAGGAGAAGGAGGATTGGACAGCTTAGAGCGAGAGGAGGAGTTCCGTGAAGGTTGATCTAGTCCAAGCACCATATATGATTACTACATAACATACTTCCCTTGTTACTATTGATACTACTCGATACCTTTCATCATTGCGACTCGTGATAAAGAGACCGAGGAGAATAACCCAGCATGTGCCATAGACATTATAACGTGATGCAACGTTGCTATGTACCTGTACATAGTTGCGCAATAGCCGCACTCATAAAGAGACTGTCGCGGCAGACGACCAGGAGGTGCGTCTCCTTTTCCCGAGATTCCGCTGTCGGCCCTCATATTCCGTTGCCGAACGATTGTGAATTTGAAACACCGTTCGACATATTGATTCTTCCTGCAACTCTACCGATCCGAAATTCTTCCGGGATGCAGATACAGCACCCCCCTATACTCGCCAATTCGAATCAGCAGAAACAGGAGTGAGTGCCGCCAAGCCGCTTGAGGCTTCAAAGTCTCCATACATACTGACATTCTTGAAGCATGAAGTAGCTTCCTCTATGGAAGTCTGCGACTTTTGGAAAGGCTGCCCTGCCAGTGACTTCAGCTTCCACCGCTTGTGCCGTTCCACCCACCCGATCAGACGAATCAACATCCGCGGGTGAAAAATCCCTGTGGGAAGTCGCCCATATCGTACTCGACCGTGATCTCTTCGACATTGCTCCTGTCAAGTACCTCCAGATATCACGTTATCATTATGAGAAGGGCATCCGTCGTCTCTACCGGCATATCACAATCACCCCCAAAATCATCGAGCTTCTTCACGAGTCGTCACACCGTCCCGCAAGCAAATTCCTCGCCAACTTTGAGTTCACCGAGACCATTGCCTTGTACGAGTTTTCGCTGCTCTCATCTCTTCACGCCACGATCGAGCGGCTTCAAAATGCGGAGAGCGTCATTCGCAAGGCGAACACGGGATGGTGGGGAAGAAGAACATCGTCAAGCCGCCACAAGGACTGGACGCTGCCTCTGTTCCCGACAGCGCACTCTTTCAAGATGCCTCTGTCAAGCTTCTTTCGGGCTGGAGAGGCACTGTCCAGCGAGTCTTCTGGCTCTTTTTCGGTTTCGAGACCTGAGCGCGAAATCAGGCTTGGCTCTTCACTCGGAATGCTTTTCAGCAATCGCATGACCCAATTTATTACCGATGCGGACGAACCGTACTCGCTGGTGTGCATCCCTGTCATCTCTCTCGCTGAAATCAATTTTTTGCTTGGCGGAAACCTGCGAACGTACACTAGTCTACTTCCCAGCAAAAGTCCACCGAAGGATGCCCCGGAGCACTTCAAGAATGCTTCAATGACAGGATCGATTATATCATCATCTCTCCGGCAGACGAGTGGCACTTCTTTCGCACCGCCAGCCAATACAATTCATTTCCGAGCCATCCGTAACGATCCTCCGAAAACTGTACGCTCTAAGAAGTATTGGGAGGTAATTCAAGGTGACATCTTGGCCTGTACATCTATTGCGCAAAACACAGATCTTCAGGTGAGATACACATATGAAATTCATCTATATCAAGCAGAGAAGGCGAGGAATGAGATTGTTGGCTTGCAGGGAGGCATAACCCACTCGCTGCTGGATGATCGACAGGTTCGATTCATCGAGGTGGACTATGACGCATTTGGGTCGGTATAGTAGAGAAAAAGAACGGGCGTGAAGGGCAAGAGAAAAGCAAGGAGTAGGGCGCGTAGCTGGTGAACGTCGTGGCATCTGCTCAATAGGATTGTCTGTATGTATCGAGTATCGCTCGTTGAGTTTACATTGTATATTTGAGCGCATCTCTTCTGAGTTCCCTGTGATCATCGCACGATCGCCGATGTGTGCACTGCCGTGATGTCTAGACCTGCGGAATACGCACTGTCCGATATTCCTTTTAGGGGACAAAAGAGGCGGCGGTCGGCGAGTACGTATGTACCAGATCCCTTTCATCAGTATTCCGCTATCATTTTCAAGTCTTCCTTTCTTGTATGATGCTGAACAGCCGCTGTAACACTGTCATCCGTCCACGGTCGTGATCATGACTTTATATCCTGTATCGCCGAAGGAGAGACTTGAGGAGGAGTTAGAACGTCTGTCAACCTTCGCTGACGTGAGGCGTCGGCGGAAAGAAGAGTGGGTCCCAGTCGCCAGGTTGTTCCTCATCACCGTGCTGATGATGATGATAGCTCAATAGATGAACCATCTCCGAAGCTTGAGCTCCTGAGTCCGGAAGCCCCTCCCCTGTCTACCACACCCACCCCTCCGCCGGCCGCCATTCCACCAAAAGCAACATCATCCTCTTCCACAGGCAAATCCCTCTGGGAAGTAGCTCACATCATCCTCGACCGCGACCTATACCCCCTCGACCCCATCAAATACCTCCAAATATCTCCCCACCACTACCGACTCGGCGTCCGTCGTCTCTACCAACATGTCACCATCACGCCGGAGCTCATCGACTTGCTTCATGAGTGCTCGGAACGTCCCGCTAGGTCGAGGTTCCTTGATAATTTTCGGTATACGGAGACTATAGTCGTGAACAATTTCTGGCTGCTCTCGTCGCTCCGCAACTCTATCGCATCACTCGAAAAAGCCGAGGAGATCATCCATCAGGCCAATCCGACAGATAGCGAAAGGCACAGCGAAAAGACCTGGAAACTCCCACTCTTCCCAAACGCCCGCTCCATAACAATGCCCAGATCAAGCTTCCACCGCGCCGGCGAACAACTCCTCTACTACTCCGTCCCTCCCCTCATCGGCAATACCAACAAACTCTGCGGCCTCGGTATCAACTTTTCCCTCGGCCCGCTCTTCAATCCTCGGAAGATGACAGAGTTTATCGAATACGCCGATGAAAGTTATTCGGAGCAGTGTATCCCCGTCATCTACCTTGCTGAGATCAACCTCCTCCTTGGGGGTAACCTGAAGACGTTTACGAGTGTACTTTGTAGTAGGAGAGTACCTACTTGGGATACCCCCATTCCTCAGGGGAAAGAACCTGCCAATGCCCTGCATTTGGACGTGTATCTCCGACGTCATGGGCCAAGACTGCCGGCTAATACGATCACCATCCGGACGATCTACAACGACCCTCCCGGCACTGTACGTTTCCCAAAGTATTGGCAGTCCATCGAACAGACGGTCTTGAGCTGGTCGAGTATCGTCACAAGCGCTCCTCACGTGAAGCATGTGAATGAGATCCATATCTACCAAGCGGCCAAGGCGAAGGAGGAGGTCCTCAAGTTGCGAGGAGGCGTGACGGAGGAGCTGCTGGAAGCGAAGCCGTTTGAGTTTGTCGAGGTGGACTATGAGGCCTTTCCGCCAGCAGATCGGGATGCTGAAGGTGGTGAGTTGTTTTGGAAGGAGGCACGCTGGTTTACGCGGAGTGCTTTGACGAGGCGGTACTCCTGGCCGATCGCTTATACGGCTGAGGAGGATGTATGGTGAGCACAGTGATGTAGGCTAGGGAAGGCAGTAGGGGTCGAGAAGTGTCTAGTAAAATGCATCTAGAACCATCATATCTTGCTTTGATTTTGTACCCAAAGATGTAAAGGAGACAAATATGCTTTAACGTATCTCCCCTCAGCATGCTACCCAACATCTCTCCCCTCTCGGCGCTTGACCCCACCCCATCCCACCCACCCTTCCTAACGCCGAGCCCCACCTCCCGCCGAACCAGTGACAAGACAAGAGAGGACACGACTTATTCCTCGTCAGAGTCAGAGTCGTCGTCGCCTGCCTGGTCAATGTTGGCAGCTTCGAACTGTTCCATGAGTTTCTTGAGCTCCAAGTCGTCGGTCTCGGACACAACCTTGGGCTACAATCACCGTCAGCCTTGGGCTTACCGCCATCCACAAGAAGAAGAGACGCACCTTCATCTTGATAGTGATATCCCCCTTATCCGCCTTGATACTCTCACTAATAACGTCCACCGCCTTCTCCATCAACTCGATCGCCCCATTCTTATCCGTACTCGTCGTGCTCATCACATAAAGCGGCGGCGCCACCAACCTCACTTTGATTGGCACCTCGGCCGTGGAGACGGCCTCGCCGGCGGTGAGGGCGCGCTTGATGGCGTCGATACCGGCGTAGGAGAAGCATTTGACTTCGATGTCGGCGCGGACTTTGACGGGCTTGGGGGTGAGGCGGCGGGCGATGCCGGCGCGGAGGTCGGTGAGGGTTTCGTCGTCGAGGCCGAGGGGGCCAAAGACCACGTCGGGTTCGCTAGACCCAAACATTAGTTCTCAAGCTCGGGCGGCGAAGAAAGGAAGGAGGAGGAGGGAGAGGGGGACGTACGAGATGGAGAGTTTGAAAGCTTCATAAGCATGCCCGTATTGTCGGTGCAAAGGCCAAGCGATCTTTTCATACAACGATTCCGGGGTGACGCCGCCCTTCTTGGCGACTTGGGTGACAATAGAGTCGACGGCCTTGCCTTTTTCGTACTGCTCCTCGCACTTGACGACTTCCTCCGCAGACACCCTTCGCTTGGAAAGATCAATGTAACCTGTAGTTCTTTAACACACGTCACGTATAAGGGAAGAGGTGGGCTTACCCTTGTCGGGGTCCACACGCATGACGACGACGACTTCATTCCGGCCCACACGGATGAGTTTTTGGACTGAACGGATACGTCTTCGAGAAAGCTCGGAAAGGAGAATCATTCCTTCGATGTTGTCGTATTCGAGCTACAGATAGTCAGATATGGTACATGGCATGCAGGGGGAGACTTACAAGCTTGACATAAGCACCCATGTCTTCGATAGACTGCACCTGGACCATGACCAATTGGTCGACCTATATCGCGGAGAAACGCCAAGTCAGCCTCCGTCCCGTCCTCCAAAACCAGTAGACTCTTTGCGCACCTCGGGGTACTTGTTTTCGTAGAATCTAGGCATGTTGAAAGGTAGTAATCAGGAAAGGGGGCGGGGTTCGAGATTTGCTTTGCGGCTGGTCGATGGGTCGCAGAGCGGTTAATACTGATTCGTTTCCGCTGAGGTTGTTTTCAAAGCCGATTGTCCTGGTGTTCCGGATGCGAGTCTGCTGTCGTCCGAGGAGCGTCGGGTTACGGTTTTACGCGGAATGGGAGGATGCAGGGAGTATAGAGGAATCGAGAATGTGAGTCGGAGAACAATACAGTGCGCTAGAGGTGTGCGCATTTAAAAGCTGAGTTTTTTCCACGAGATATTTACGTAATCCCGCGTATTGTCTCTAACCGGCGGCGTACCGAGGGATGACCTATCCATCTGTGATCTGGGAACTATTATATATCCTGTTTTGTCATTCAACATGCTCTCCCGCACCCTCCTCAGAGCAACCATCGCCCCGGGCAGACTCACCCTCCGCTCCATGTCCACCAGCGCAGAGCCCCTCGTCATCCCCTCCCGCTCAGCCACCAACAACGTCGCCATCCTCACTCTCAACCGCCCCAAAGCCCTCAACGCTCTCAACACTCCTCTCTTCAATGAGCTGAACACGGAACTGACCAAGGCGGAGAATGATAAGAGTGTGCGGGCGATTGTGATTACTGGGGGTGATAAGGTGTTTGCGGCTGGGGCCGATATCAAGGAGATGAAGGATAAAGAGTGTAAGTGGGCTATGCATGGTCGAAGCTGGTGCTGATCTGATGCAGTCGCGGATGCATATACAAGCAACTTTCTTGGGTCTTGGGCCGATGTTGCGACCGCCCGCAAGCCCATCGTCGGTGCCGTCGCCGGATACGCCGTACGCCCTTTTCCCCTTGCTCAAAAACCGAAGCTAACATGTGGGTAGCTCGGCGGAGGCTGCGAGCTCGCCATGATTTGCGACATCCTCATCGCCTCCCCCACCGCCGTCTTTGGCCAGCCCGAGATCACCCTCGGCATCATCCCCGGCATGGGCGGCTCCCAGCGCCTCACCTCCCTCATCGGCAAAGCCCGCGCCATGGACATGGTCCTCACCGGCCGCAAGATTGATGCGCAGACGGCGGAGAGGTGGGGGCTGGTTAGTAGGGTGACGGGGGAGGGGGAGAGTGTGACGGAGGAGGCGGTTAAGGTGGCGGAGGTGCTTGGGAAGTTTGGGAAGGTGGCTGTGCAGGCAGGGAAGGAGGCTGTCAATGGAGGTATGCTCTTCTGTATCGTAGTCGAGGGATACATACTGATAGGATTAGCGCTCGAACTTCCTCTAGACCAAGGTCTCCGTCTCGAGCGACGTCTCTTCCAACAGCTCTTTGCGACCAAAGACCAGAAGGAGGGGATGGCTGCTTTCGCCGAGAAGCGCAAGCCCGTCTGGGAGGACAAATAGGCCTCTCAATCAGTCATAGGTGAATTCATCAGGAGAAGAGAAATGCCGACAGAAGAAACATGTATCGATCAATCGTCCTACCAAGCCAATCGACAAACATGATGTGCAGCACTTTCATTTGTCACGAGAGCTGTTCAGGGCGTACAAAGTTGCCCACGAAGGCTCTACTGATAAGGTTGCCTCGAATCAAATTGGCCATCCAAGGTTCCTCTAGTGGAAGTCTTCTTTACACGCCTCCAGCTCCTCAAAATAACGTACCTATGGCGAAGTCGATGGATTCACAAACTTGTTCCTCACAAACAGCCAAGCTGTCTATAGATCGTCAAGACTCGAGAAGGCATCGTCCCAATGGGCTATACATCTCACAATCCAGCTCTGCTCCTCCACCAAGCCGACTGGCCCTCTACAAAAGCTTCATCGACATCCTCCATCTTGTACCCCTCACAGTTCGCGAACATCTCCATCTGCAGCTGTCTATGCCGAGCTTCACGATCTATCCCTTCTCCCCAGGGTTGGAAGAACTCATCATCACTCGCTTCCTTGTCTGAAGATACCCATACGTCCACATCCGACTCTTCCTCATTAGACTCTCCCTCATCCGACGACTCTCCTCCATCCGATTCCTCATCACAAGTTCCCATCCTCGATCCAAAACAGCACAATCCAAAACAGTTTGAGAAGTATGAACGGTCGCCACCCAAGAATAACTTCCTCCACAACTTCAGAGTGCGATTCAAACTCTTCTCTGAAAGGTTGAGCAACATGTCCTCCTTGAATCCTGTTTCCCGTATCACTTGCTGCCTCAGTTTCCGCATTTGCGTCGAAGGTCTCACAAAGTTGGTATAATACCTCTCTTCTTCCTTGGACCAGATACCGCTCCAGAGATTACGGTCGAAGAATTCACTCGCGGTGTGGAAGGTGATTGGGAGGGGTTGATCAGGAAGGGTTTCAGCTTTTGTCAAGCCCTGGGCCCGTTGACGACGACGGTGGATGCCTCGTTGAACAAATTGGTCGATGTGAGATGTTCTCTCGCTTAGCTGAGCGCCCGCCCACCCAGCTGGATCGCGCTTCTCGCGCGACAAAGCTGTATTGAGGTTGTACAAGTGCAAAGACTTGGTACAGCTCCAAAATCCGCAAATCTTCATGAGAGCTTCCTCTGATATTTCTTTCACTTCTTGCCCTTGTACTTCTTGTACTTGTACATGATGATATGCCGTAAACTCCTCCTCCGAAATCTCTCTGCTGGGAGGTGCTGTAGTGCGCTTCTTGTGCATTTGAAGCAGCGCAGACGGGCTAGTAGGATAGCTAAATTCTTCCCAGATATATATAAGGAGCTCTGTAAAGCTGGAGCAACTCTTGGACCGGATGTAGGGCTCCAGAAGAGTGGCAGCGCTGTCATACTCCTGAGCGTTGATGGACAGGCAGACTATTTGGAGGCGAGGAAGGAGAGGAATGTAGATCTGAGAGTCGCCGAAAGTGTCGTAGCTGTAATTATAAGGCCCCATGTGTAGCTTCGTAGCCATCTTGCACAATTCCTTCACAAAGTCGATGGAAGGCGGAGAGGACTGGGACCAGAGCGGGTCCTTGGGAAGGTTCTGTACGATCACAGAGTGGACGTTGGGAAGAGGGTAGCAGGGGCAATCGAAATCCCAGTAGTCTTGGGCGTGGCCTGGGGCGAATTGAGTGTACTCAAGGTACACCTTCTGGACGAGCAGAAGCAGCATGTCCTTGCTGTAAGGCGACACAGTCTCCAATCTCGCTTTGGCGCCCGCGCGAGTTTTAGAAGCGCCTTTGAGAGGGTTGCAAGCGTGGGAAATAAGGAGTGTATGGTAGAGTGCGGGGGCGGCTGCCTGAAAGAAGGTTGAAGACGTGAGGAGGCAGTGATACATGTCGCGGGATGCCAGATCTCCCACTGCGAAGATATGGGCAATAACGTCGAGTGTACTGCCCACTCGGGATGCCGGAGTGATAGACATGTTCGAGCCCTATCTATCATTTCGGTTAGTATATGAGGTCAAGAGTTTATAGAGAGACAAATACCGTTGTGGATCAGACCCCAAAAGTAACGCTGTTCCGACCGCTGATGGAAGGGCAAGAGGAGTCGCTTCTCTCTGTCGTTTGGTTGCGCGGATGGGCAGTTTACGCTGAACCTACGTTCTGTTGCTGGAGTTTCGCCTGTCGATGTACTTGAGGACAAGGACTTGATTATGTTTGGCGTCAAAAGACAGCTGAACGAAACTCCCATCAGAGTTTATCATTCGGGGTTCCCGCCGTGCCTGAGGCGTCAACCACCCGCTCTAGATGTACATCTTCCACCATCACAACATATACATAGGCTTTCTACAGAACATCCGGGCTCAGAAGGTCACTGTCTCGATAAGCGTTACATTTCACCATCAAGCTGCACTTCGCCTCAAAGCCCAATGACTCTCCACATATTGTCCATCAACGTTCTCCATCTCATACCCGTCGGTCGTCGCCGGGCCCATCTTGTTTCCGCCGAGGAGTGATGATACTGCCACGTTGGTTGACTTTACAGTGTGGCGATGTAATATTTGGCCCCAAGAAGATAATAGAAGAGCGAAGGTGAAAATACATCCTCGTTACAAAACACAACACCCTCTAGATACACTTGCCCTGCGCCCATCCTCCTATTCCGTTCATCCTCAACATACTCTTCATCAAAATCCTCCATCTCGTACCCCTCATAGTCCAAATCATTCTCCTCTCCCTTCAAGTCCTCCGCCCGTGTTATAAAGTCCAATACTACTTCCCATTCATCCCAAGGCTTCATAAGTCATCATCGCTAGCCTCTCTGTCCGAGCTACATTCGCTATCCGAGATGGGGTTTGTGGGATACATCACCTTTTCCCACAATATGTCTTCCCTTTACTTTGGCAGCAAAATTCTCTCTCTCTCACTGGTGGGTTCTTCCAAAGCTCGACAACTTGCTGCAGCTCAGCGCAGGAGAGGGTGAGGAACGTCTCAACAGGATGACCCGTTTCTTCCGCCGCTTCCTCCCTCAAAACCTTCATCTCCTCTCCAGGCTTGACGATATATGCATAGTACCGCTCTTCCCCCGGCGCCCACATACCCGTCCAATTCTTGTCGTAGTGCTCGGTAGCAGAGTGGAAGGTGATAGGCGTAGTCTGAGCAGGAAGAGAAGTAGCGTCGGCGCCTTGTGTAGTTTTTCGACCTCTCGCGCCGTTTTGGATAGGGGTGGTGATGAATGCATCTTCTTCTGAGGATCGGAATCGCCCGCCAACGCTGGTAGCAGACTCGTACCGAGCCAGCGTCTCGTGAAGACCGTACAAATGTACGCCCTTATCCCAGCTCCAGTACCCGCACTGTTCCAAGAATCCTGCTAGTTTCTTTCTCCAGAACTCGGGGAGAATGTTGCACATCATCTGCATCCTCAGCGACTCGAGATTGGCTGCCCCGAAGCTGGTATAGGAGGGGTCGAGAGAGAGGGGATCGTTGACGAAAGTGATATCGTCCCGGAGATAGATATGCAGTTCTTCAAAAATGGCAACACGTTGATAATCGAGGTAGCGTCGAAGAAAGCAGGTGGCGCTGTCGATTTCGTCGAGAGGGACAGACATATAGATTGTGTAGAGGTTGGGCAGGGGAGGGAGGTAGATTCGATAGTTGCCCGGGGACGTGTAGCTATAGTCGTACGGCCCTATATAAGCGCGCGTGGCCTTATGGCACAGCCTCGCGACAAAGGGCCATGAAGGCAGAGACAATTGAGAGCAGAGAGGGTTGCAGGGAAGTGTCTGGACGATGACGGCTTCAACGTTGGGGAGGGGGAGGCATTTGTGGTTGACATCCCAGTAGGCGTCGGTATATCCTGGAACAATTTGGGTATACTCGAGGTAGACCCTGCGGACATTGAGGAGAAGATTGTCTTTGCGGTACGGCGACGGGAGCGAGGCGGGTGTTGGTAGTAGGGCGTAGAAGCGCCCATGAGAGGGTTGCAATCGTGGGAGATGGGGAGGGTGTGGTACAGCACCGGACCAGTAGCTTAAAAGAAGGTCGAAGATGTCAGCAGGCAGTTGACAAGTTCGCTGGAGGAAAAGTCTCCCTCGGCGATGATGTTTTCGACAATGTCGAGCGTGTCGCCCACTCGTGTTGAAGCACTTGTTGACATGGTGAGGATAGACGATGTGCCTCTTCTGTATCTGACTTTTGTATGAGCATATGTGGTCTATCAATCAAAGGGCGACGTACCGACCTAGCTATGCGGATGACCTCCTGAAGGGCGGCTGTGTCTTGAGCGCTTGTATGACTTTTCGGCACGCTTTGGATGTGACTGCACTTGATATATCCCTTTACGATGCAAACAGAAAATCAGCTGGTTGTCCATGGTGACCGTCGTGTTCACACTGCCTATCTGCAACCTGTCTGCCGCCTGAGCCTGCGTGCAACAATATCTGGGTGATCGGACATCGCCGCGTCTCGTGAACAGCTGATCTATAATAAGTGTGTCAGCCTCCACATTGCATTGCCGGCCTCCACCACATCCACTCCCATAAAGTACTTGCCTTCTCATAGACAACCGCCCGACAATAATCACCCATCAGGACGGCTAGATAGTTGAACGAGATGGCTTCTTCCATAGACCCAGAACTCGAGCTATTCGGCCTCGTCACAAAGCCGCAAGATCCCTCGCCCAATTTCTCGCCCTTTGTATGGATGACCAAAGTTGACCTTGCGTGAGTATCTCTGCCTTTCTGTATGAGACCAATCCTCACCATGCGACTCTGCAGGATCCTCGGCGTTCCGTACAAGACGAACGATAAGAGCTTTTATGAAATCCGTAACGACCTCGCCGAGCTGGTCGGGGATCCAGAGGTGTCCGTACCGACGCTCAAGGTCGGTGATACGTATCTCCAGGATTCCTTCAACATCGCTCTCTGGGTGCGTATCCTTTCCTCGGTCCCTCCATGTGGTACTGACGCGGAAGATAGCTGGATGAAAAGTACGGCAAGGATAACACCCTCTTTGGTCCATCCCAAAACACCAAAGCCCATAGCAAGTTCCTCGAGCAATGGGCCCTATGGACACTCGCCGTCCCTATCCAGGCTCTGAACAGGTCCATGGTAAGGCTCCCTATGATCATCAAGAAAAGCGCCTACTAACTCGTGATCAAGATGTACTTTCGCCTTGACCCAGACTCCGCCGCCTACTACCTCCGCTCCCGATACAACAACAACATCCCCGCCCTCGAGCGGCGCGTTAAGGAAGTATCCGATCCCGGTTATATCGCTTCCCAATGGGCCCTTCTACGCTCTCACTTGAAGCCGCTCAATATCTTGCTTGGGGAGCATAAAGCCGAGGGGAAGAGGTTGTTCTTTGATGGTGAGGGCCCGACGCATGCGGATGCTGTCGTATTTGGGTGGTATGCGTTTACTAGGGAGAATACGGGGTGGAGGGAAGGATGGGAGAATGAGGAGATTGGGTATGTGAAGAAATGGCTGGGGAATATGATTGAGCTCGTAGGCGGGGAGAAGGAGCTGCCGGGGCGATGATCAATGTCGTGTATGCAAACGTTCTCAGTCGTAATCCGTGTCGGCGATATATATGTATGTTGTCTACAAAGCTTCCCGCAGAAAGTGTATTGGAAGGGCCTTGATGATACTCAGAAGGGACCAAACATTGCGGTGATATGGGGGCGGCGGTGTCCGGTGATTGGGGCGCAGGATAACAATAATGCTGAGATACCGACGGGAGATGCGGAAGATAAGCATGAAGTGATCCATCATCCACGTGAATCTTCTTTTCTGCTGCATGTGTCAGTATCAGCCAGCGATCCGAGATCATCTACGCCTTTTATAATCAACCACATCTACCTCGGCCCCTGCGAGCCCCCTCGAGCGCTCAACACAGCGGACATACCGCGAGCCAAGTTTGTGCTCTTGCTTCCAAGATCAGCGCCATATACTGATCCTGCAACAGATCCTGAAACATTGACCCGCCCGTCCTCATCATGTCGACCGGCGCAGCTACCAGAGCGGGTACAAACCTCGACGTCCTCATGAACATCATGGCCGTCGGAAACCTATCCTCTCCCGACCTGTTCCACTGCCTCCTCACCTCCTCGACCTTCTTCCACGCTGCCGCCCCCGCCTTATACCACACTCTCCCCATTTCCCACGCTTGCTTCCCCCTGGAGGGCGCTACAAAGTTTACCAAAACCTCCCGCGCCCGACCCCCCAGCACCGTCACCTCGCCTCACTCGCCTTACTGTAAAGACAAACTCCTCCAACTCGTGCGCAAAGTCTTGCTCGAATACACCCGCTTCTCCCCAGGGCATACCAAGCAGTACTGGGATACTGGGTTTCTGTGCTATCCGCTCCCGAATGTGTGGGCTGTCATCGTCGAGCCCCAGGACACCAACCCGCTTTTCACGCAGTCGTCGCCGCTTTCGTGGCCGCTTGTGATGTGCTTGTGCATGGGGGCGACGCATATCTTTATGGGGCCGTATACGTATAGCCGCGACTCTTTCGGCGATGCGGAGATTTACATCCCTCCCCTGCCCATGCTCAAGACTGTCTGCCTGTCTGTACCGGTCGACGAAGCCGACAACGCCGCGGCGCTTTTGGAACACTGCATAGAGTCTCAATCTTCCCATACATTCACAGAGCTCCATCTCTACCTCTGGGACGACATCACCTTCATCGACGATCCCCTGTCCCTCTCCCCCGAATACACCTCCTTCTCCACCGCCAGCCTCGAGTCTCTCAAGCTCCAAACGACGCAGAACATCCTACCCTTCGCGTCTTGGTCTGAGGAACTGGCAAGTCTGCTGTCAGTGTGCGGGTACTGGACTTGGACCAAGTCTGTTTCTGTGTACGGCCTGCCCGAGATAGTTGAGCGCTACAAGGCAATAACAGCATCGGACGAGCGTTTCACAAAGATCGACCTCAATTTCTTCGATACCTTTATCAAGAAGGCTGCTGATGACCGGAAGGCAGCAAGCGGGTCGGATGCGGCCTCACTTCCTGAGCGGCCCACGCCCCTGGCTTTCCATTCGGCGGAGGAAATGTATAAGAAGAATTGGAGTGGGGTGTGGGCGGAGGGGGAGGAGAGGTATTATGAGCATGTTGTCAAGCCGTCAGATGAGTTGGTGGCGCTGAGGGAGATAGCGGCAGAAACGACAGGCCAGCCGGTTGTCACTTTCCTCACCCTCTGTCTCTCCGAACTCCGACACGTCCTCTACCTTACCGAAAACCCCCCTTCAGAGATGGAAGGCGGTTCCCTCCCTCCCAAAGGATGGGACCAACTTCACTGGGACGACGACGACCTCAATCTCCCGGTCGAAGATGAGAGCGATCCGAGCTCGGACGAGGAAGCGAGTGAAGATGAGTTTTTGAAGCCGTGGGCGAAGGGAGTGCCGTGGACGGCGAGGTCGGCCGAGTTGCAGGTGGAGGGGATGGATTTGGATTATGAGGGGTATGAGATGGAGGATGTTGATGGGGTATATGTGGAGGAGGAGAGGAACATGAGGGTTGGGGAGATGGGGTAGGCGTGGGTGCAGGGGCAGGGGCAAGGTGGGGCGCAAAGGGTGGCTTGTAGTTACAGTGGAGATGCATCTCGATTAGCTGGACTCTTCCGATTCGTCGAGAGCAGCAACACAGGCAGACCTATATGAACAACCTGCCATACTGGAGTACCGAACCTGGACTCAGGCCGCGATGTGCCAAGTGCCTCTCTGCGTGCACATGATCAACAACATCTCGGCGGACCGAGGCGGGTATGAAATGGTGTCTCTTCCGCTGGCTTCATGAGCCAATCACGGGGCTTGTATAGCACCACACGAGCGGGTCAGAGTCTTATATGAATGCGCTACATACATGGCTGGAAGCATTCAAGGGGTCGAACAGGAAAGTAGCGAGCCGAAGAGATAGCTTGTGAGTTGCCCGCGATTTCCGAGGATTGACGTTGAAGCCGCCGCTGACCTATGAGCAGATCATGCAAAAACAGTGTACGTGGGTGCTCCTCTTCAACGCTAGCCCAGACTCATACCGTACAGCCACGACCCTCTTCGAGCCAGAATCGAAGGCGTCCACCCGCTTTGCCCACCATTTCGACATCATATCCTACTTTGTCGCCACTCCCTTCTTGTCCAAAGCCGACCTCTTCCATCTCTTGCTCTCATCACCGATATTCTTCCCCACCGCCGGTCAAGCACTGTACCATCGTCTACCAATATCGGTCAAGTGCAATCCCCTGATCGGAGCCACCGCTATCGCTTCTCCAAGGGATCCGTCAGCACAATCACCATACGGCAAAGACGTTTTATTGCGCTACGTCAAAGAAGTCCACTTTGAAAGATCTTCCTCGTCTCCCAGGAAAGAATGCTGGAGTCACAACTGGCCCTGCTCCCCCCTCCCCTACCTCCAACACATCATCATCTCCCTCCCCCCCACCGGCACATTCAAATCCACCTCCGCACCTCTTTCGGGCGGCCTCGTCCCCGACGACAGATTCCTCCGCTCCCTCTGCTCTCGCGCCACTTCCTTGCATATCCATTCTCGGGCTTGGGACTTTGCGTGGACGCTTTATGATGTGATTAGTGTGTTACCGCACTTGAGGAGGGTGTGTATCAAGTTGAGGTTGTGGGATGTGAGGGGTCTTTGGAAGGCGTTTCAGCGGTTAGCAAAGCTTGTGCCGGAGACGAAGTTGGAGAAAGTGTGTATCTACTTGTGGGACGAACCCGACATGCTTGAGCTCTTCTCTCAATCTCCAAGCTCTTCGCCTACGGCTGTACCGACCACCTCGCACCTTCGGACATCGATGATCTGGGCAGGAGGCGGTATGCGGACGTTGCTGGAAACGCTGGCAGAGCTAGAGTCGGTGAAGTGGGTGGAGGTGTTCAATTATGATGAAGTGAGGGGTGTTTATGAGAGGGAGGAGCTGGTGGAGAGTAGGTTTTGGGAGGATAGGCAGATGATCTGGGGTCTTGGGTTCTCGCAGGATACAGGTTGGTTCCTATTGCTTGTCGGACATCTGTGAGCGGTGGGTGACACAGAGTATAGATTGTTCAACAACAGGTGGTAAAGCGATATCATTCCCGCCCGGTATCGACTACTATACCACTCTTTGGGATGGAAGCTGGATAATGGATGAGGAGCGGTATTTTGAAGAGGTGGTTCGTGCCCAACGCGGTACAGTAACCATATTAGAGAATGAGGAAGATGGAGAGTTGGCAAAGCGGTTGAATCAGACCCGGCTGTAAGATTTTTAAGTGTCGTTGTAGTATGGCTCTTGGAGAATGGCGAGTAGTTTGCAGCTGACTGAGACATGTTTGATAGATGATGTCATTGAAGCAACATGTTGTAAGATATGCCAGATGTATACCATGTACCGCTTACCCAACGCTAATCCCATCATCTTCACCCGGCACTAAAAACCTTTAGAACAAAGACCGCTCGGCAACGAAACCTTGACTTCGTTGATTCTTCTTCAGCTTTGTCCGCGTCGCTCAAAGGCGTGCCCAGGGGAGTAAAGCGAAAAGATGACCTTGCGTGGGCATAGACAAACCGGGACTTGTGCAGAATACATAAGAAGGGTACAACCTTTTTGCCTCTATTTACAATCGCACCTCTATGCGAGTATTCATCCACATCCTCCAATATCTCGTATAAACTCGCCGCCTCAACATCAGAGGGCCAGCTTGTCGAATCCTGAAGGAACCTGCCATCCCTAGAAAAAAGACCATCAGCAAAGACGACAAGCAACAAAGAGGGATGAAGACATACATGGTCTGTTGCAACGCGCTTGTATGCGCTGATGGATTCTTGCATGCCGTAGGGGATGTTCCAATGTTGAGGATCCAGTTCAGCGGGAGGCGTCGCTTCTGTCATGTTTACCTGTGTTCCTAGCTCAGTATCATACAGTCAGGCATGAGACAAGAACTCACCATGACATCCCTAATACCGAAGCCCTCGAGTGGGGGGAGACTGGTCTGTGCCTGGCTCAGTTTCCGCCGAGTTTTGACGGGTGTGAGTTCCTTTTCCTGTGCTCTTCTCCCTCTCCTATACAGGTTCGAATTGTCTTCTTCCAGTCTGCGTGTTTGGCAGGGACGGTGGGGGCTGTTGGACGGTAGACGATGGAGAAATGAAGGGAAACAGTACGAGTACACCGCGGAACGCCGACGGTCAAGTCGGTGCCTTGAAGTATCGGCCAGAGTGCGCGAGACAGATGCTGGAAGCTCACATATACTTGAGTCATGGATATTGAGGTTTATTATGTACATGTGAATCAAGATCCGAACCTGAAAAGCTCGGCCTTCACGCCACCTTGCCACAAAAACAGACCGTTTCCTCATCTTCTCCATGGAGTCTATACTTCTGCCGCCCAGCCACGCGTATCTTGTCTTGAGGACGAAGAAGAGGCCGCATTTCGTACAGGATTTCATCATAGATGTCTGGAAACTCTTTGCGGTGACCGTTGCGCAATGGACTATACTCCCGAATCAGCGTGTAGACGAAGAAACTTCAAGGAAGGTGACTCACGCGTTGTATCGCAGCATGTTGAAGGCCTCTTGAACACACTTGCTCAACGTATCAATGACATAAGTAGGGTACAAGGGGGATAGATCAATCATGTCGAAAGAAACGGACGCTAAACGCCTTGTTGGATCGAGATTTTCCGAGGCGGGGTAGGAGGACAAGTCGATAGGCCGGCAGTTGTGCAATATGAAAGACTTGCTAGATGAAACAAGAAGACGATTTCCAAACCCGGCCCAAATACGGGAGAAGCTTCGTTATTTGCAGGCAGGTCCAAACAGACGTACGGCCGTCCAGCCCATACGTAGCCAGTCATCATTTGAGACATGTGCTGAGTAGGCGAGAACCCTATTAGTCCGTGACTCCGTGTTGCTATTAGTGCCAATTCCTGACTCATATCACGCCGACTGACTGGCTTCTTCATGCATTCCTTCGATTGATGATGGAGAACTGAGTTTCGAATGAGACACAGCTGGAAATGCTGCATCGAAACCAAGTAACGAGGAGGACGCGAAACGAGGCGGATGAGCCAACTCTCTCTCGACGTATCATGTTTTTGACGTTCATTGAGTGATGACAGTCAGATTACAATACATATATGCAGACCGAGTACATGATGTGGGAGGCTTGAGCTCCCAGCTCACTCCCAAATCCTCTCTGGTCTTCCCGGGCCAGCTTATGCCTTTGTCGCCCGGTAACACTTGACGCTCTGTTCTTGAAGGCGGAGAAGACCCCCCAATCGGAATCGGGGAACGGGAACTTCACTGATTTTCTCAAACTCGAAGCTGTGACGTTCAGGTGATGAACTTGACTCACTGTCAGCGTTGTACAGGCTGTCAATATTGCAGAGACAGGCTCACCCTTTGACTCGATGTCCTTGAACGGCCTTCTGGACGCACTCAGTCACCATACTCTCCAGATGAGGAACAAGATAGATGGGCGCATACGCCGCATTGAAGGCGACCGAAGCTAGACGCTTTTCTGGATGGAAATCGGCAGAGGCTGGGTAAGAGGACAAGTCGATTGGAGGATAATTATGCAGTGTGAAAACTCTGCTAATTGACAGAATAGTCTGCAAGACGGTATACAAATCAGGTACCAAGAGTGCACAACTTTCGCCGACGGGCGGCAAATCCAAGCACACATAAGGCCGTTTAGCCCAGGCGTAGCCGAATGCCCCTGGAGACATGTGCGTCCTCGGCGAAAAACCATCAGGGTCGGTGCAGAGGGGCTGAATGGAAGCCCAGGTGAAGGATAGGTAGACCTCACAGTGGAAGATGTAAAGACGGGATCGCTGTGGCTGCGCTTGGGTTGCAGTTCCGAGGACCTTGTAGACATGGTTGGCGAGGAGCTGAAGCCGTCCGCCCGCGGTGTCGGTGTTGTCTATCGCAGCCAGGTCGAGCATGGAGATGTGATCGACCTCCCAGCATAGACGGATCTTGTTGAGAAGACTTTGTCCTGGCTGAAAGACGTGAGGACCCAGCTGCGTACCTTGCTCCCTCCCTCCTCTGCCTGCTAGCCTTTTCCACTGCTCCTCATGCTCCCCCACATTAACCTCGAAAGACTCCAAGATCTCTCGGTAGAAAAGGTGAGCGTTGTCCTTGTGGAGCTTGACGGTGCGGTAAAGCCTGTGGACGTGTTGCTGGTAAAGTTCGCGCGAAAGACAGATGAGGGAGATGAGCGCCGAGCCGGAGCATGTGGATTGGTAGATGTCGAAGGTTGACGTGAGTAGTTCTGGTGGGAGAGGGCAAAGTGGGAATGAGCTGATTGTGGGCATGGTGGTAGAGATGCAATGCAGAAAAGAACAATGATTAGAAGTTGCATTTCATTGTTGATTTTGATTGTTTCAAGTGATAGTTACTGTATCCGCATCGTTATTCTCCTGTTCCTGGCTCATCTCCGGCCGGCGTTCCGGAAGGGCTTGTGTCGAGCCAGCCGGCGTCCCCGGTATTTACATCTGCGTCCTTGCTCTGTTCTGTGACACGATTCCTTGATTTGACCACTCACCACACACTAGGGTATGCATGACAACCGCGCAGAATCGAGGCCGTCACGCGCTCTTGCCACATCCACAGACAGTTTTCTGATTTCTCCAACCAAGCGTATAATCTTGTTCACCATTTATGCTTGACGGTTCTGCAAATCGCAGGAGACTTCGGAGAATGGGTAGAATACGTTGAGGTATGTCACTGAACCTGTAAAGCAAGCATGGTTTGCAAAACTTCGACCTACAGTCGTATATCAGTATACAAAGAGCGAATACTTCAAAATATAGACTGACGCAAAAGGTCGCTGTTTCTCCATCACCGCTTCGATGGCCTCGGCCAAGACCCAAGCCAGAGGTTCCGAAGCTTGACTACAATCCAAACCGCGGGAGCAGACAGAGACAGAACGTCCATGCGTTGGATGATCGACCGGCGCGGTGTAGATACCCTCGGGCAGGCAAAGGCGGGCAGTCGTGTATCGTGAAGACCTTGCTGGTTTGAATAAGCTTTTGCATGACGATCCGCAGGTACGGCTGATGAATGATAGCAGTGTTATCGGGAAGCTGTGATTCCAAGCCACAACAGGCGAGCCCGCCCAAACAGAGCTGTATGTCCATTCGGACATATAGGCCTCCGGCGGGCGTGCTCTGTATGCTACCGCCCGAATGACGCCTTTCATTTCCATGTTCAGTCACTACATATGAGAGGTATGCATACCAAACGTGCAGAGTTTAAACCCACGCTCCAACTACCCAAACATCTCACGCACCCCCGCCACACCCACGACCGTTTTCTGATCTCTCCAATAAGCCATATCCTTCTGCCAATCGATTGTACCGGGGTGATCTTTGTAGTTTTTAGGGGGGAGGATACGCTGCAGATCGGGGACTGTAGACTCGGGTGGGTCCCAGAAGTATAGGACAGGTTTGCCAAACATTTACCTAAGGACGTATATCAGCGTGGATTTTGACACCTGCAGAGAGAAAACTCACTGCCCCTCCGTCGACTCGGCCAACATCCGAGCAAGGCCCTTCACAGAGCCAAAGCCGGCTTTCGCCTTCACATACGCGACAGAACGCCCACACGTCCGAAGATCAACAGAGGCGAGGTAAGAGTACACGTCCAAAGGCGGAGAGTCATGTAACGGGAAAACTCTGCTATGTCGGAGAAGTTTTGCGAGGGTGGTAGTCACGAATGGCTGATGGAGGATGCAAACTAGCTTTGGGGTAGACGGTGGGTTCACGCACACAAGAGAGCGGCTGCCCAAGCGGAGCAGTACGTCTACCCGGGCCAGGGAAGACTGAAGCCGGGGTATGGAGACATGTGGTCATTGCGAAATTCACAAATCGACTTGATAGCTCCGTATCTGTAGCCTATAATGACGGCATGGTGGAATAAGGGAAGTTGATCGGGAGGAGCCGGTTTTTCGGTGGTGGTTTTGGTGATCCCTGTAAGGACATGGTAGGCAAGATCAAGAAGTGAATCATCGGCTTCGTCAGTATCATCGATTGCATCGGCGTCGGCCATGGTGAGGTGATCAACCTCCCGGTAGAGACAAAGCTTGTTGAGAAGACTCTTGCCCGGGCGAAGGTCGTGAGGACCGAGTCGTGTATCGGGCTCTCTTCCGCCGTTGACCATCCCGGCCCACCTCTTCCACAGCTCTTCGTCCTGCGCGATTCTGAGATCCTCGAGGGGCTCGAGTTTAAGGATCTCTCGGTAGAAGAGAAAGGCGTTGTCCCCATGGAGGGTGACAGTGCGGTAGAATCTGTGGACGTGTTGCTTGTAGAGGTCGCGCGAGAGGGAGATGAGGGTGATGAGCGCCGAGCCGGAGCATGAAGCTTGGTAGTACTCGAAAATTGGTGGAGTACTTCTTGGGGAAGGATGATGTGAGGAGGTGGGAAGTCTGGCGCAGAGGAGTGGGCTAACAGCGAAGGAGAGGGGACTGGCGAAGACGAGTAGACCGGCGAAGGCGAAAAGACTGGCGCGGGCGAACACACTGTGGGAAGAGATTCGCCTGATGAAGGAGAGCAGGACGAGGGCGATGGCATTGTGGTAGAGATGTAGTATACAAAGAAAAGGAAGAGAGATAAGAGCGACATCCTCAACAAAGCCTCTCCACGTCACGACGAGCGGCATATTGACTTTGACGGTTACGTAACCGACGCGTTCAAGATGTAAATAAACAAAACATCGCTGCCTTGTCGCGCTTTTCTGCATTTCTTCCCTCCACGCATCCGCTTTCAATCTCACATTTCTGCTCGGCACCGGCAATGCCGTCGCAACAGCTACGCCAATAACGATACTACACACGAAATAACTGCCGCAAACGACGCAATATCGACCGAGATCGACTAATGTTCGCCCCCAATCCACACCGCACTCCCACGCCCTCCTCTCTCTTGACCTCCAGCCCTCCCCTATCCTATACCTGGTCAGACACCGACACAGAGCTGCCGCCTGGCACTGAAGGCATGCACAGAGGCGGGCCGAGTACCCGTACGAGCGTATGGAGTGACGAAGGGACGGCTGTCCCGCGCCCGGCCTCTGGAGGCGTCAAAGTGGGAAAATTGATCGACTATGAGGATGAGCCGAAGAAGGAGACGCCCGGGGATAAGCTGAAGGAGCTGTTGAGGCAGATGGATCAGGAAGTGAAGAGGGCGCAGCCGAGGTCGACGACGCCCCCGCCAGCGAGAGAAACGTACACTCGCCCGTCGGGGGTGCCGAGCGCTCAGCAGAGATTAGGAGCTCTCGCTCGTTCGCCTCCTATTGAGCCACCTCGGGAAGAATATTCGGAAGAAGAGTATGAGGATGAAGTCGAAGCTGGGCCATCGAGCCGGGAAGTTTCGCCGGTGAGGTCTCAACGGTCCCATGAGGCTTCCGAACAAGAGTCCAGCCCACCTTCGCCTCCTCCACGTTTCGGCAATCCTTACAACAGCCGGAGAGTATTTGGGGAAAGGGAGCGAAGTATCAAGTCAGGAAGGGTACCATCGCGGGCCGCGGTTTTACAGGGTACGTCTAGCAAACTGCAGACGTGATTTATGCTGATGATTTATAGGTGCATCACGCTCTTTTTCGCCAGAACCTGAACCGTCTTATGACCCCGAGCCGGAAAGCTCAAACTCTCGTGAAAGATCTGAGCGGTCAGAACGGTCATCTCAGCTGCGAGCATACATCGCTTCACATACTCAGCGACCATCATTATCCGCCTCGCAAACTCTTTCAGATCCTTCCTCATCGCGTACGATCCACAATCAGCAATCGCTACATCGCTCGAGAAATTCTCTGGAACGGTCGTTCAACCATTCTACAGGCTCGAGAGGGTCCATGGGAAAAGAACGAGGGTCCTTCGAAGCTCCATCCCCACCCAGAAGAACTTACTCCCAACCATCCCGCCGCGAACCCCCCACCCCACAATCTCGTTCGATCCACCCCATACCAACCACACATGACGAGTTCGCTTCAGGCTTGGAAGTAAGCGCGTCAGAGATGGAGCTGGACATTGACGAAGGCGTGTCGAGAGTTGGGTGGGAGGATAGTCAGAGTTCGGTGGCTTTTACGCAGGAGGATGAGGAAACTGAGATGAGAGAGGGGCGGGCTGGGACTGTGCGGCCTGAGCTTTATGAGAGGGAACGGTCAAGGTCGAGGTCACGGTCACGGTCGAGATCGAGGTCTTTTGCGGAAGGAAATTCGCATCGTTCACGGTCCACTCCACAATCCAGTCGCAACCAGTCCCTCAAAGACTCCTACTCCCGATTACATATCTCTAGGCTGCCCCGCTCGCCGTCGCCACCACCGCTACCGGCTCTTCCCGACATGTCACAATCATCATCTTCATCCGAGACTGAAGCTTACAGCTCGAGAAGAGCTACGCTATTCCGGAGCGGTAGCAAAAGCACGAGCCAGAGTAGAAGCTTGGGTGAAGAGTCGAAGGTACTCAGAGGGAGTTTGCATAGTAGCGGGAGGGTGTCGCCTAGGGTTGGAGGAGGAGCGAGTATGAGGCAGTCGGTTTCGAGGCAAGAGGTGGAGGTGGAAGAAGAACCGCAGGAGATACCATCAGAACCTCTCGAATTGGCTGTGGAAGAAGAGCTGTCTCCTCCTAGACGGTCCAGTCTTCGGACTTCGTATACGTCTCCGCCTAATCCCACGCCTCCACGACGCGATACGCCTCTCAGTACAACGCCTTCTCCGAAAGTTAATCGCTCGCCGAGATTCTCTACACCACAAGCCGAACCCCCATCCCACACTCCCTCCCCCGCTGGGAGACTACACACCCCGGCAAGGCAGGCAGATACTACCCTGCCTACGCCGAAAGCTCCTGGCGCTTGGAACCCATCTGCAAGAGTCCAAACGCCCATCCGGGCCGAAGGCAACACCAGCCTCGGCAACACCACCATTGGCGTCACGCCGAAACCCCCAGGGGCTTGGAACGGTACGCCCGTTCACCGGGTTAGATTTTCGCCCTTGAGGTATACTCTTGGCGCTGGGTCCGATGGTAAGGAGAATGGTGGGGAAGTGAGGAAGAGGTCGCCTTTGACGAATGAGGTTTCTATCAGCATGGAAGATGAACTGGAGGAGGATCGGAGGGAGGAGGAAGAAGGAAGGGAAGAGGCGGAAGTGTCAATTGTGAGGTTGAAGATGTCGCCTCGACGGTCGCCCGGAAGGAGGGTTGTGGAGGAAGAGGCGGGGGATGTGAGTTGGCTTGAGGGTTTCACCAGGAGTATGCGAAGGTACGTCTCTTACACATCATACATTGAGCTATGCTGACCTGCGCTAGCCGACTCATGACGCCCGTCAAAGTCCCGCCAAGGTCTACAACATACACCACCCACCTTCCATCTCTCCGCTCTGCCTCCGAAGAAACGTCTTCCAAAGAGGTCGCCCTCCGAGAAGCCCGTTCTTCCTGGTTATCCTCCCTCAACTCTCTCCCTGCACTACCTGCCGCACCATCGCTAGCATCCTCAACCCAACACCTTAAGCGGAGTATTCGCAAAGGCGCGCGCTGGTCTACTTGGTTATGGATGGTCTTGGTGGAGATGGTGCTGCTATGGGCGGTATTTAGGGTGACTCTGGACTATGCTGGTTCTGGGATGAACTTGAGTTGGGTGGATCCTTTTTCGCCTCTTGCTCGGCCTTTGGGATTAGACCCTGTCGTCCCGACCGTCCGCTCCCCATCTCTCGGATCTGCAGAAGGGGGCACCGACAATCAAGCCACATGGCTCTCAGCCCCCAAGTATCTCAACCTCCATATTCCCATTCCCTCATCCCTAAGGACACTCGTGGGCAACTCAGAGTACCAGCACCCCTATAGCGCTTATCTCGGCGTATTGGGCGGCTCGGCAAACTTTTTCGACCTGATAGAGCAGTGGGAGACGTGGAAGGCGCTTGTGGGTGATGGGACAGAAGGGTTTGTGGATGGGTGGAGAGGTGGGGTGCCAACGTAGAGATGTAGAAGTGTCTTGTTCTTCTCGACCCCGTCTTGGGTGTACCCGATAAATCGGATAATAGTTGTACTCGTTTGTGGTCTTGGGTGTGCCACTATATACATAGTCTATACTTGATGAATAGCTCGTAGGACGCACTTCATCTGGTGATAAGTGTCGTGGCAGTGGTGTTACATACTCGTACAGTCCCAAAATCCCAAAATTGTCACTGTAATAAAACGGTACAGGAAGCCCATCAAACCCATCTATCCTCCTTCCTATATCCCTTCAGAGGCGCTTCCTCGACGGCATTCCCAGCTCCCCACTCTGGCACCCCTTGCGGTCTGGGAACACGCACAGGCTCATAGTCGTCTTGCGAAACGGCTGCCATTGAGAACTTCTTCCGCGACGGTTTGGCGGTAGATCTGGCGTCTAGAGAGGATAATGATGGTTCTGCAGATGCACCGTAAGTGGATGGGAGAGCGTCGGGGTTATTGAGTCTCTGCAAAGCCGTCAGCATTCTTCCTGAACTATGGCAAGTTCCACGGCAAAAGAAGCCCAATAGGAAAACCCACATAGTATTCTTCTCGCAAATCCACCTTTCTCCTGTCCGACTTCATCCCCAGCTCCGACTCTTTTTCTATTGTCTTCACCTTTGTCTGATGGTAGTCATAGCGAGTTTGAGTGAACGCTTGGAGCGCGAAGGACGCGCCGACGATGATGCCGACGAAGGGCAGTCCGAAGAAGATAAAGGGGTGTTTCCGGACTTGTTGGACCAGGGGATTGGGGCGAGCATTGAGTGGGCGTGCTGGGAAGGCGGGCATAGTGGGATTGAGATGTGGAAGAGCGAAAGAGGACAAAGCTGGAAAGCATAAATGGAAAGTCTCAGCTCGCCAATTCGTTGAAACTCGGTGACCTCCGGATTAGACGACCTCCACCGGGGCGCGGGGGACTTTGCGAGCTGACTGCTTTGGGACATGTGAAGGCTGGGCTTTATCATCTTTCCGCATATTAATGCGCGCCCTCTTTTTGCTCATACATCGCCTTGCTATAGCGTACATGATGTCTCACTGGTCGTGTAGCCGAATGGACGCTCCTCATTAGCTTTCAGGAAGCGAGGAGCGCGGCTTGACTTTGACTATTCTATTGTTTGGTTCGAGTACAGTCGCCGTTTTGTGAGCGTGCTGCCGAATAATGAAATCTTCTGTGCTGTTGGACAAGCTCTCCACTGCATGGTACAAAACCTATACGTGCAATGAATGGTGCACACGAGTTGGCTTCCAGCGGTATACGTCAGCCAACAGCTATGCGTCATCCGCAAGAAGGAAACCGCGAAACGTAGCACCCCCAGCAGAAATCTTGCATACCATAGTGTTCGAAGGTAGTGGAAAGAAAGCTGTGTGCTGCCATCACGCACGGGACAGCGCCCATTGAAGTCCAGAACCGAGAGTCGCACTAATACGAAATTGTCGATGAGGGCATTCCGCATAAGCGGATCCTGTACAGTACATCTGCACCGGAATGAATCCTCAAAGAACTATATACAGCTCATACATTACTGCTTCTTCTTTCACATCTTCCACCCTCACTCGTCCCAGAGAAAGTATGTCCACGATGGCAAAAACGAACCCCTTCGCAGATCCCAAGAATCCCGTCTTCACCGACACGAACAGCACTGGATATCCTCTGTCTACTTTCAGCACTAACAACTCTGGTCACTGGAACCATTCATCGACCAGTAAGCTTGTGAAACCATCATGCACCGACGCCTCGTCTCTTCCCTCTCGCAATGACAAATCGAAGCCCAGTGTCAAGACTGCAACCAAGTTCGGGGTAACTCTGATGATCTTTATCTTTCTCGGTTAGTCAGCCTCCTACTATTCCATTCCGTTTGCTGACCTCTTCTTTTTCGTACTCTGCAGCATTCACCTGCTGTTATGCAGCTCGCGAATTGAAATATGACACAGTTTCGTGTGGTGACACGATTCCTCGGGCTGTGACTATCGTTTCTGGCTGGGTTGCTTCAGTGGACCGAAACAAGATGGCCAACATAACTGGAGCACAGATCGTGTATGGTCTCCGAAATGCTTGCACCACCTTTGGCAACGGGCAAGTCGCTTTCTGTCTATCATGTCGAGGAACAGAATCTGACGGGCTCGGGACGATCATTAAAGGTGCTACTGCGATACTGAGACACTTTCACGCCCTAATTTGACATACTTCGGTATACTGGAGGACTTGCGACTCATCAAGAAGCCATTTCTGTTTCCTGTAGACCCCCCTCCACCGCTTACCGGCGCGATGCGACTCAATATGCCGAGCATGGTCACCGCCGCGTTCGCTTTGCTGTCGGTGATTGTTTGTGTGACTCTCGTAAGTCATTATGTTATGTCCTGGACCGGTTGAATGCTAACAGGAGTATGAAGGAAGGGTATGGATACTGGTGGCTGCTCTCCATTCTCCCCGCTATTGGCTGCATCCCGATGATGATCTTTTGGGTTCACAAAACGGTCAAGCCCGTCAATGACTACTTTCACTCCCTCAATGACGCTCTCGGCACACTCTACAAAGGAATGAGTGTACAGTATGCGACAGATGTGGGACTAGTTGGCATGGTGGGTGAAATTGGCTTTGACGTTCTTCATGGTTGCTGATCGTTGGGCTTTTGGGGTACCATGCGTTCAGCGGTGTCTGCACTGGGGTCTGTGTCTCGGTTGTCATTGTAGTGTCTTGGATCAAGATGAAGGAACGATCATCAAAAAAGCGTAACTCTAAGTAGCCTGTTTCTGGAAGTAACTGTGGAAGGAGAAAATACTTGGGCGGTAATGCGATGGCGGCCCGTCTTTGTATGAGTCTTGACTAATGGCAAAGGGTGTCTCCACTATGAATGACAGTCAATGCACAAGAGTAGCTTCTTTCCGGTCCCTTAAGTGCATCTGTAGACAGCTACATATACTTCGCCGCACGAGTATGTACCACACTACCAACCTCACTTACTCAGTACTACCGTCACTTTTCCCCAAAATACTAAGTAGCCTGCTGCGTCTGCTACGACGAGAACCTGCCATCCGCTCACCGAACTGCCTCCACCGGTACTGTCAGCACCTATTTTGGTGAACTGGTGAGTGTGTCATTACTTGTGGGTGCCAAGTGCGAGACGCCATACTGCGATGCCTATCTAGTACCAGACGAGATGGCGGCAGCAGCAGTGGGTTGTCCCAAGGAAATAGTGTCGTTATCCTCGTAGCCAGCTGGCTACTTTTTACTCGGACCTTCTCTCGGTTTTGGGCGGTCAATGTGTTCGCTTGGGAATACTGAAATGCTGGAGGAGCCCAAGCCTGATGTGATGGAGGTAGTGAATCCTGTCTCCACCAGCTCTATGGTATCGCCATACGAGGGTGGTGGTGCCTCACCTTCAACTCTTGTCCCAGTTCCCGTGTGAGCAGCCAAACGCTGCTCGGCATCTTCCAAGACATGTTCATTCGTATGAGGTGGGCCATGCAAACTGCTAGCCTCAATCGATCCGGTCTTGTGGGAGCAATATGGTTGGGTGCCTCGTCATGATGGGTACATACTACAAGGAATAAGTAATTTGTCCCCCTTTGTGTACCATTCAAAAAGTCTGGTCCAAGTCTTGCCAACATATGAGTAGTTAACAGTCCACATATTTTAGCCAAGCTTCTTTGAGCTATCCAAGATACATTATATTCATCAATCCGTAGAGAACAGCTATATGCTGCAATACTACTTTCACTCATTAGAGCTCTCATCACTGTTCCCACAAAAGCTAAGTAGCCTGCTGCGTCTGCGACGTCGAGTACCGCCAGGCGATCTATCATCCCCGCCCACACGCGTGATATTGGTGATAGCTTCGCGGCCTGAAGGCGACAAGTGTGAGACGCCATACTGCGATGCCTGCCTAGTACCAGCAGACGAGTTGGCGGCGGCGGTGGGCTGTCCCAAGAGAATATCGTCATCATCATTGTAGCCAACTGGCTCCTTTTTGCTCGCACCTCTCGGTTGTGGGTGATTGATTCGTTCGCTTGGGAAAGCCGAAGCGCTGGAGGATCCGACGCCTGATGGATTCAAGACAAAACCCGTGTTTCGTTCAATGACATCGCCATAAGATGGAGGAGGTGCTTCGCCTTCTTCTCTTCTACCCGATTCCGTGAGAGTAGCCAAGCGCTGCTCGGTGTCGTCCAAAATATCGTCAATCGCATAAGGTGGGCCATGCAAGCTGCTAGCTTCAATCCATCCAGTCTTGAGGGCTTCATCCCAAGCATACTTGCTAGGCACAGAGACGTAGGGTGGTATATGAGATCCATTTGGGGTGCTGTTCCTCATATGCTGTTCGTCTAACGTACGGCAGACCGAGGCAGAGACATATCTAGATCGTGCTGTGGCCCGGCGGTCGGAATCATGCCTGCCAACCTGGTAACCTTGATTGTGGTAAGGGAAGATACTTTTCTCGATTATTGTCGAGTGATTGCGATCTTTGTCGAACAGATCGAAAGCCTTCCCGGCGTTCTTGATTGTTTGCTGCATGTACGCGGTGGCTTCCTCGTCGGTCCCATCGCACAGTGATCGTGCTTCCGTAGACAGTTTGTCCAGATCTTCAAGGTTAGCAGGGTAGGCCAGGACCGATGATGTGCTTGGAATGAATGAAGGGGAGTACTCGGTACGGATGAGGACGTGTGAGCTACCTCTTGCTGCTCCGTTCCCTCGGTCCCAACTATTTCCTTCTTTGACCCGAATTATTACGTTTTCGAGATCAGGTTGCAATCTCTCATTCAGGGTGATCGTGGTCTTAGGAGCAGGATCCGGCTTGTCACCATAGTGATACGGCTTTGATGTGAGTGCAGTGCTGACATCATCTTTGCTGATGATAGTTGCGTGGGGGCGAATGCCACCGCTGTAACCGCGGTAATGGCTGCTTCTATTCTTGTCCAGCGCATCTTCAAAGTCTGGTCTTACGATTGATGACCACATGGACAAGACTTTCTGCGCCTGCTCGTCGTCCTTGATGAGGTTTCCGTCTTGATCTGTAATCCGTTTCTCCTCGCCTTCGGCTGTTGGGGGTTGCTGCAAGTGTCAAAGTAAGCTATCATGCTCATAGAGCTAGCTGAAGGGAAGGACACACCATGCCCCCATCCTCCCTAAACTTGATGAACCACTCGGTCGACTTTTTCATTTGCTCATCCCACCACGAAGGATGCGACGGTTCATGATCCATGTATCCGATCTCATGACGGTTTCTTCTACGCTTAGAATGCAATGTCTGATAGACTAGCTTCCCATCTTCGCTCAATCCTGGCACGATGAGGTGATGCGCTTCCGAGCCGTAGCCTATAGAGTAATCGGTGCTTTTGACTCTGCTCATGTGTTGAAACATCCACTCGTCATGTTGGTCTTCAAGATCAGAAGGGTCGGCAGGGCCCCCGGAGAGGGCATCCACCCATGCAGGCTCTGTTTTTCCGTAAGATTTGGGCGGAGGGGGATTGTGGATGGAGAGCCGGGGCGGGCCTGCGAGGGCGGTCACTCGAAAAGACGGCTGGGTTTCTTTACTTCCCCAAACAGGTGAGTGATGTGTTGGTCAATGAGGATGTCAGAGACTTACCCTTTGCCTTTATCAGACTGCATAATGGAGAAAGATTCGGCTTTTGATGATGGACTCGAAAGGTGGTGGGAGAATACTTGGAGAGAGGAAACCTTGGGGAAAAGTGGCGACAGCAAGTGTCTGCATTTCAACATGTAGCTGTAGCATGACTAAAACAGACTTCGAGGTCCTTTGTGGTATATCTCTCTCTATCTTTGAAAAAGCATTTTGACTCTCCACTCCCTTTATTGGGCGTTTCCAGCACAGCCAGCCCTTTCATCCTCCCCATCCGCCAGACGTAGTCCGATATGAAACCTTTGGTCAACGTGGAAGCTTCCCATTCCCAATCAGACCGTAGTAGTAAGCTTTGGAACACGAATCCCTTATTGTGCCCTTCTTTTTGCGCTTGAGGCTGTTCTTTCGAAATAGTTGAGCAAGCATCGTTGAATGAAGTGAGCATGCACGTGACAGCCACGTGGCTCGACCGTGGTCGGCGGTCCCCGCCTCCACTGTCGTCAGCGTTTCGCGTCGCGCACCCTACTTACGACGTACTCGTAGTGTACGAGTGAACCGTCAATCCGCATCTCTGCAACAGACAGATCATACAACTACATTAAAGATGGGAGACCGACAGCAGCTTTTGGATATGGGCTTCGAAGCCGACCGGGTAGACTGTACGTCCCCCTCTTCCCTCCCTATTCCGCTTCCGACCAGGCAAGCTGACACCAAGTCTATAGGGGCCCTTCGCGCCACGAGAAATGCCGGTTTGCAACCCGCCATGGACCACCTACTCAACAACTCTGACAAGCCCATACCCGCCGCTGCGACAGAGGAAGTGGATGAAGATGATGAAGATGCTGTCAAGGCGCATATTGAGAAACTCGGCGGGACGGTAGATGATTCCGACGCTGTTGCGAAGGTAAGTACATATTCGGGAACGAGTCAATGGGGAGAAGATGCGGCAAGGGTACGAAGCTGATGTGTGGCTATAGTCAATCAAATGTACAGAATGCGGCAAGACATTCCGGTCCTCCGCTACCGCCTCCTTCCACGCCGAAAAGAGCGGCCACGACCAATTCGAAGAATCCACCGAAGAGATCAAGCCCTTAACGGAAGAGGAGAAGGCGGCGAAATTGAAGGAATTGAGGGCAAAGCTGGCGATCAAGAGGAAGGCGCAGGAGAAGGAGAGTGCGGCGGCTGATAAGGCTAATGAGGTGAGCCTTTTGTCTTTTGGGGATTGCGAGAAGCAGAGCTGACCCCGAGTTAGGCTATTAGGAGAAAGGCGGGACAGGATACAGGCAAGATCAGGGAGGAGATGAAGATCAAGGAGATGCAGAAGGATGTAGAGAGGAAGAAGCGGGAGAAGTTGGAAGATGCCAAGGCGAGAGCTGCTATCAAGGCTCAGATTGAGGTACGCATTGTCTTTTCTTCTTTCTTGTTAGATTGGGACACAGCTGATCTGTGAGACAGGCGGATAAGAAAGAACGAGCCGAAAAATCCGCCCGAGAAAAAGCACTCCGAGATGGGACTTCCGCCCCTGCCCCTGCCCCCGCTGCTGCTGCCCCGGCACGCCCGGCTTCGAATGTTAAGAGCAGTGAGAACCCCGAGACGCGGCTGCAGGTTAGGATGCACACTGGTGGTGCGCCTATCACCAAGACGTTCCCTAGTGAAAGCAGTATGTCCCCTCCTCTTCCAACTCCTTCCCTACGTTCGAAAGGCGGATAAAATGCTGACTGGGCTCGGTAGAACTGCGAGAAGTGGCAGAATGGATCGCCTCGGAGAACCTGGCTTATGATGTAGACACCGTGACTTTGTCTATGACTTTCCCTCGGTATGTCTATTTGAACTCCCTTCTCTTTCCTTTTCTGCCATGTAGCGCATGCTGATCATGAGCGGTATTCCGCTTTGTAGGAAGAAGTTCACCAGCGCGGATATGAGCAAGACGCTGAAGGAGAATGGGCTGACACCGTCTGCTGTCATCATGGCCAACTAGGCGATGGGGCGTGTTTCTAAGGCTTACTCTCTGGGTTATTGGCGGGCGTTTATGGGACTGTGAAGCATTGGATGTTGTGTATATATGCATTGATGGAAATATCAGTCGTGATACTTGAGGAGGTTCAGAATTGTGCCGCGGCTGTTCTTGGCCTCTCGCAGTTCGCTGTATGTCCCGTTTGACTGTCTAATGCTCCGCTCCGACTCGCCTCATCCCAATACATTCCCAAACCCCGATCACTCGCCCTCCCATCGCTTCAACGCACGCTCAAGAAGTAAAGTAAGAAGCGGATGACCGAAAAAGGCGGTGAGCGCCGCCCTGTCATCGTCGTCACGTCGGTCTTGACTTTTTCAAGTTTCTCTTTGAGGTCGCGTACAGTCAATAGATACTTGTTGTCTTGAGATCAGCTTCCAGATAGGCAAGCGAGCAGCATCCAGGTTACTTTCTGGAGCAGGAAAGGAAGACGACTGGGAATTGTGAGTACAAAGACTGGAGATGGGGACCAGCTGACAGAAGGTGCTAGACAACAGCCTCGGTGGCCTACTGGGAAACATCGAATACCAGGGGTTGGAAAGAAAGATAGGCTAGAGGAGCATATTAGAAAGAAAATAAGCTGCTGTGAGCATATATGACTGGGCCAGCAGTCACTCTCTGACAGGCTCTTCAGATGTCTTTGAAAAGCACAGCTGCCCAAGCGGCCAACACTTTCGACATTGTCACCCACATCGTCAGCTACATCGACACCCCCCACGATCTCGCTTCCCTCCTCCGCACCTCCCCTACCTTCTTCCAAGCAGCAGGCCCCAAGCTCTACCGCAGAATCACAATTTCCAACGAGCGCAATCCCCTCCTAGGCGCAGACCAAGAGTACGATCCAGATTACGCGGAAGACTATGGGCCTTATGACAAGGATGTGCTGCTGTGGCATGTGCGGGAGGTGTACATTGAGCGGACGGAGCTTTGGTTCTGGGAGTTGCCGTGGTGCGAAAGGGTGAATGCGTATCCGCTGCCGAATCTGACGACGGTGACAGTCGAGCCGGTGTCTTACGCCAAGCTACCGCATAGCACGTACGACAGCGTCGAAAACGATTTTTCACTCCCATGTCCTCATCTCATCCATGGCCTTTGTGCCAATGCGACACGCCTCTGCCTCTCGTCCCTCTCGCAGAAAGGGTTTGTCAACCTCATCGTCGGGCTGATCAGCCTCTTGCACGAGGTGACCACGCTCGACTTGAAAGTCCGGGTCCAAGATCTACGCGATCTGGCGTCTATACGCCCACTATTGGACGCGCAAGAGGTGGAAGAGGTCAATCTCTATATCTGGGACGAAATCTTTCCAACGCGCGAGGTCATCCCCACCGACGACGACGACCTGAGCGACCACATCGTCTGGCTCGGTCTCCGCAATTTCGCAATGCTCTCCGACATCGGCGAAATCATCCTCAAATTCCTCGACATCCCCTCCCTCTTCTCCCTCCAAATATACAACCTCCGCCAAGTCGTGGGCCGGTACACCTCAGAAGTTGAGGAGAGTTTCAACACAGGCCCAGGGTTTCCGGGCGGAGCAAGAGACGCGTTGATGGAGCTCGCAGGGTTCTTTGAGCAGGTCGAGAAGGAGCCGACGATGTTGAGTGAGCATGCGAACCCGGAATTGGAGCTTTCTTATCCCTCGGCGAAGGAGTGGTATGATGATGAAGCTTGGGATGGACGGTGGGCGCCAGGGGAGCAGGAGTATTATGAGAGGGTTATCAATCCGTCTGAGAAGATGCTGGATCTGAGACAGAAGTTGGGGAGGAGAATGGGAAGGAAGGAAAAGTGTTTTGTGTATCTGTCGGAGGAGCAGCTGGAGAGAATTTGGGATGTGTACGTCGTTCATTATTTCAGATAGTCAGGAAGCTGATGATATTTTAGGGTCACCGCCAAATCGCCCATTCATCCCCTCGACCGAGCTGTGTTTACACCCCGCGAATATCGAGAACGAACGTTCATCAGTGATATGTGGATGCACCTTACCGACTCGTTGCTCGACCTGAGGAGAGTTGATCGGTATCGATGAGGGAAGGAGGGAAGCGGCGCTTTGGATGGGCAGGGTGAAGAGGCCAGCTGGACTGTTGGCAGGTTCGTTGCTGGACATAATGTATGGTCAGGGGACTGAAGGACGGATGATGTTATTACATAGAGTCGAAGAGGCAATCCAACAGCCGTCGTGAACTTGATGTAGAAGATGATACAAGAAGATGCGTGAAAACCACAAAGCATGATACGCGAGAAGCCCCTGCCCGTACTGTCAGAGTCGCACTCATGGAAGCAACGAGGAGACTCATTAGTAACCGAGCTATTGTAAACTTGATCCACTCTGCATCGAGAACCCTTGACTCCGCCTCTTCAACACCAGCTCCGCCGGACCCACCGGTGTATTGAATGGAAAGTAGTACCGTCGATACTCGACCTTATCCGGCTTCAGCTCATCCCAAAGATCAAACTCCTTGACTTCAATTCCCTCCTCGTGCATCTTCAGGATCTTCTTTGCATACAAATGTACGCATGAGAAAACGGGGCTTTAGCCCAAGCGTCCATGGGGTTGCAGCTGTATAAGTTGGAAGGGGGATTGGGGGCATGGGCGATGAATGTTTTCGATAGCCGGTTCATTGTTTTGTTCCCTTTCCCATCTGGGGGCGTCTTTGACACGAATGATGACGTTTTCAGGAGCAGGTGTTTCCATTGAAGGATAGTGTTGCATCTGGAGGCTTTGGTCCATCGCCATAATAATACGGCTTCGATGTTAGAGCAGTGGTGACATCGTCTTGAGTGATAATGGAGGCGTGGGGTCGACTGCCGCCGCGATGGTGGCTCCCCGTCTTGTCCAGCGCCTCGTCCAAGTCTGGTCCTACGATGGATGACCACATAGACAAGACTTTTCGCACCGGCTCATCGTCCTTGATGAGATTTCCATCTTGGTCTCTTGTCGTCTTCAATTCGCCTTCCGCTGTCGGTGGTTGCTACTGAAGTCAAAATCAGCCATTGTGATGATGAGCTATTAGCTGCAGGAAAGAACGTACCGTACCCCCATCCTCCCTGAACTTGATGAACCACTCGGTCGACTTTTTCATTTGCTCATCCCACCACGAAGGATGCGACGGTTCATTATCCATGAACTCGATATCATAATGGTTTCTACTTCGCTTAGAATGCAATGTCTGATAGACCAGCTTCCCATCTTCGCTTAATCCTGGCACGATGAGGTGATGCGCTTCCGAGCCGTAGCCTATAGAGTAATCAGTGCTTTTGACTCTATTCATGTGTCGAAACATAGTCTCGTCATGTTCAGATGGATCGGCAGGGCCCCCGGAGAGGGCATCCACCCATGCAGGCTCTGTTTTTCCGTAATATTCGGGCGGAGGGGGATTGTGGATGGAGAGCCGGGGCGGGCCTGCGAGGGCTGTCACTCGAAAAGACGGCTGGGTTTCTTTACTACCTCATACAAGTGAGTGATGCGTTGGTCAATGATGATTCCAGAGACTTACATTTTGCCTTTATCAGACTGCATGATGGGGAAAGATTCGGCTTCTGATGATGGACTGGTAAAGTGGTGAGAGAATATTTGGAGAGAGGGAATTTGGGGAATAGTGGCGACAGCAAGTGTCTACATTCCAATATGTAGCTGTAGCATGTCTAAATTGGACTTCGAGGTCCTTTGTGGCATCTCTCTTTCTCTTTTAAGAGGTGTTCTAACTCTCCACTCCCTTCACTGAGCGTTTGCAGCACAGCCAGCCCTTTCATTCTCCCAAGCGTCAGTCCGATATGAAAACTTCTGTCAACGTGGAAGCTTCTCATATCGTACGTCCTCTCCAACTCCCATGATTTACTGGACAGTGATATGTCACGAGCGACGGCTTACAAAGCGTACAGTGCTGATGTAGGGACAAACGTAGCGCCTGGTAAAGCCCCACTTTTCACAACAAGACCCTCGTGTTCCCTCGCGCCCCCCTCCCCCGTTCTCTGGTCATCAGCCTCCGGGCGGTAAGTACGCTTCTCTACATGTGTTTACAAAAGCGAGACGCTGACCATTTATTTTAGAAGGCACGAGCGTCTTGTCAATGTCACCACGTCATCCTTACCATTATTTCTGTCTCTGCTGAAAGCATGCTGACGGAAAGAATAGCATCAGCTCCACCAAGCTGCTCAGCGAGGAGGATGTTGCGTCTCTCCTTCCGGCCGCCTGCTTCGACGATAAGGACGATGGGATGGGACGTATGTGAGGGTTTGGGTTGGGTGAATGATGGGGCGAGGTGGCAATGCGGTGGTAGAGTGAAAACACTCTGGTGTGGCACCATACACGGTGTACCAGATACGAGAAACATGGCGATGAAGTACCAATGGTTTGTTGAAGGAACTAGAGACTATTGCCCTTCTACCGCTTACATCCATCATTCGGCTGCCCACCACTTGAACAACAACGTCTTCCACACCCCGTATATGAGCTTTTCATGGCGCTCCCGCTCCTACGGTAGGAGAGGCGTAGTATCAGTATAGGTACGGCCGGGCCATGATCATCCCCCGAAGCTGCAAGTATGGCGTAAGCACAGCGTTTTCAAGCACACTACCCCTCGAAATCCTCCATCCAACGCTGTTCATCGACAGACCCATCGCCGTCGGCCATCTGCGCGTACGTAATCTGTCCAACACTGTGCGCGCAGCAGCCATTAATATGCGAGCGACGGACAAATTCATAAGGAACTCCTTGTCTCTCTGAAACGCAATAGCCCTTGAGTGCCGCGATAGGTGAGATAGATGCCCACTCAGCTGGCTAAGCTCTGGACGCTCACGAAGACCACAGCAAAGGCTTGAAGCTGCCGCCGGAAGGCCTCGACTACTTACGACTAAAGCTGTGTCAAGTGCCGGGATATCTCCGAGTCGTCCGTTCTTTCTGGTTAAGTGTATTCCGCGACTATATATGATACCGCTGACAGTCTGTGCAGAAATACACCATGTCACTCTCTCCTGCCCAGACCATCGCATCTCTCCACGAGATTGTGACCTGTATCGTCGCTTCGACTTCATCTCCCGCCGACCTGGCGGCTCTGATGCAAACGTCGACGTTATTCTTCCACTTGGCAGCGCCCAAGCTTTATCACTCCATCCCCATTAGCTACACCTGCAACCCTCTTGTGGGCGCTTCGACCACAAAGCCAGATCGGGACGAGGTCCTGGCGAAACCGTTTGCCAAAGACGCGCTCTTGACTTTTGTCGAGATCGTCCGTTTGGAGAGATGTGATGTTTCAGATTGGACGCCGGAGATATCGAAGAGATCGGACCAGGGGGATGCGGGATCTACATCCAAGAGAAAGAAGGCATGGTACGACAGCCTGCAGCCATATCCCCTTCCGCGCCTTCGGACCGTCGACATTCAGCCCCATCCCACCATCATCGAAAACACGGATACCTCCCCCAGCACCACTTCTTCCTACCATCACTACAGCTACATCTCGCACCCGTCTTTCTCAACACTCTGCGAAAGAGCCACCCACCTGCACCTCTCTACCCAAGATGTACACACCTACGGGCACGACGAAGAAAACCTCCCTTTTCTTCCTCTTCCTCGCGTCCGCACCGTGACTATCAAAGCACGCATGTCCCAAATTGAGACTCTGATTACTATGACGAGCCGACTGGGGATCGTATTCGATGCGTCGCATCTGCCTAATCTGGAGCTCAACATCTATGTCTGGGACGACGTCTGCCTCGTCGACAATGCCCGACCGACGTTGGGTCAGGGCGAGGAGGTGCGCCTAGATGGGCAGTTCCTCAAAGACCTCGGTCTCCACACCTGCCGTCACCTCCAGACCCCCGACTTCAAAAGCATCCTCAACTCCCTCGTCGCCTACCTCTCCATCCAAACATCCTTCCACACCATCCGGTTCCTCAATCTCCCCTCCATGCTCGAGCGCTACGCCGAAAACCTGGGGGAGAGCGTGGAGAGTATAGAGAGCATGTTGGTGGAGTGTTTTGGGCAGGTTAGGGATTTGCAGAAGCAGTTGTATGGGTGGAAGGAGGAGGAGGTGGTGGGCATGGTTTTTGAGGGGGGAGGGGAGTACTATGAGAAGTATTGGAATGGAAGGTGGGTGGAGGAGTATGTGCCGCCGGGGATGATGGCGAGTGAGGAGGTGTACTATCGTCTGATGGTGGATCCGTCGGTAGCGTTGGTCGATCTACGGACGAGGATGGCCAAGGACGCAGACATTCCCGCGTCATGGCTATCTTCGCTTCGTGAAGATGACTTGGAGCGCTTGATGGAAGGGTACGATTCGTCGAATCAAGATCTTTCGAGGGGTCCATAGAGCACTGATATGCATCTTGTAAACTCTTTCACGGAACAACGCCTTCTTTCGAGACTTTATACTATAATCCGCCAATGTACTTCTTCTTGTTCTTCCATTTGTCCTAAGTCGTTCTCAAATCTGAACGACACCATATACAACACCCCCAGTCACGAGATCCAAATCCCCACCCCACTGCTCGCCTATCCAATCCCACATATCCGTCAACACCACCGTCGCGGGCTTGCCGGTGCCGCCCCCTGGATGAGGTGTGGTGAAGGGGTTCATCTGCGAGACGTCTACTTTCTCATCAGTACACATCCAACTTCAAGGGCTCAGCGGGACGGGGAAGGAAGGAGACGTACCGAAAGCGCTCCAATGTACACCTAGCTTTTCCTGCCCTGGCTCTTCCACCTTGTACCTCAACTTTAGCGTCGTCAAAGGCGAATCGACAGAGTTGGCGAATTTGATGTGGTGTTGCATGTACTCGGCGGGCGGGGCGGGTGCGGGGAAGGACCAAGAGAGGACGTGCGCGTGGAATGAGAGGACTGGCCAGACCAGGTCGGTCTTCAAAAAAAGTCAGTTCAAGCCAGAGGAAGCAAGGGAAGGGAGGGGAAAACAAGGGAGAAGGAAGGGGAGAAGGGGCGTACAAAGTTGAAAGTGATCTCCACATCCCTAAACCCATCCCCTCCCTTCTCTTTGACACTCCACCCCATCTCCGGCCATTCAAAGTTCTCGACACCTTCAACCCCTCCCCATCCTCCCTTCTCCTTCTCCTTCTCCTGCCCTTCCAGCCTTTGTGCGGAGCCTTGTCCAGAGATGTCAAGCTCAAACTTGTAAGTATCCAAAAATGTCGATACCGGATAGATAGCATCCCAATCATGGTCCTCATCCTCCAGGTCTTTGTGGATAAGAGGCGAAGAGGGGAGGGCGTAGCGGGCGTGGAGAGAGGAGGGGATGGTGCCGATGGGACCGAGGTCCATGAATGCTATGTGGATGATGTGGGATTGGTCGGTGTGCTTTTTGGGGGCGTGTTAGTACTTTAGATGCCGGGTCTGAGGAGAAGAGGGGCAGGGGCAGGGGACGGGGGCGGTGAAGGAGGAGGAGAAGGGGAGAGAGGACGTACGTTGTAGTTGTAATTCAACCCAACCCTCTTCGGATGCTCCCCATCATAAACCCACCCCAACCCCCTCCCCGCACCTCCTCCTCCTTCTCCCTTCCTCCCCTTCCAAATTACCCCCACCCCTCCCCCCGCACCGACCGTCCCCAAATACGCCACCACACCTGCCACCCAAATCTTGAGCACCAACACCACTTTACGCTGGGTTTGGCGGGGGAGACGGTGGAATAGTGGGGTGAGGGTGGGGAAGAGGGCGAGGCCGCAGGTGGCTGTGAGGGTTGCTATGACGTGTTCGGCGGGGGCGGATTTGCCCATACGCCCTGTGAGGGGAGTGAATATGTCTAATGCCTGTTTTGTCGTTCATCAGCTTGAAGTTTGAGATTGAGAAAGGAGGAGGGAGGAGGGGAGGACGTACGGCGGTGATGGCTTCGACGAAGAAGGCGATAAGGCCGATGGAGGGGAGGAGGTATGTCGCCTTAAAGTTCATCCCTTCCCTCTCTTTACCCCACACCCTGACCGCCCCGTCGCCCAAAGCACCAATGAGCAAGAAAAGCGTGATACCGGCAGGCAAATACGCCGACCGAACTCTCACCGCCTGAAGCGCCAGCATCATCCACGAACTCCACACCATCTGTACTGCATAATGCACCGCCTCCAGCTTTGTGCGCTCGACGGGGGAGAGAAAGTGGGTGAAGAAGAGGTGGATGGAGAGGGAAGAGAGGAAGGCGGTGGGGATGTAGATGAGGGCTGCGAGGTGTTCGTGCGTGAACCAGAGCAGCGGTTTACCTAGTTTTGTTAGGGTGAAAGCTAGGAGGTTTGGGCCGATGAAGCCGCCAGCGAGGCCCGAGATGGTGGCGAGAGAAGCGGTGGTGATGACTTTCCATCCCTCCCCCTTCAGTCTCCTCACAGCCATAACGCCAGAGACGGCGGCTAGGGCAGTGTACCACCGGTCTGCCGCTTTCATATCCCAGTACAAAAACACCTTGTCAAACAGCCCAAAATAGACCTTGTCGGGTGGGGACCAAGGGAGGGTGGAGGAGAGGGGGGAGGAGGAGGAGAGGAGGTGGGAGACGACGGCGTGGATGTTGGATGTAAAGTGTTGGGCGGAGCCGGGTTGGATGGAGGAGAGGGTGTCGTGGTGGGTGTGGTAAAAGTAGGAGTGGCCGACGATTGCCATCTTGTCCAGCGTCAGTCTCTTGTCCATAAGCTGGGGAGGGGAATACTCACGTCTAGGCCGGAAACGCCGAGATACTTTTCGAACTGCCCAAAGTCTGTACTGTCGCAGCGTCAGACCATTTCTAAGATTAAACACAAGGGGGACGTACTCGGACATGATGATCCCAGAGGAAAACACATCCGCCGCAATGACAGTCCCCTTCGGATACGGCACCTTCCCATAAGCCTCAATCATCTCCCCGCTCGTCGCCTGGAACAACAACGCCCCGCCCTTGCTTCCTGCCGCTTCGAGGTTGATCACAGCTTTGACCTGGGTACGGGTGGAGTGTTCGATAGAGTAGAGGTGGGAGCCGTCTTGGAGGGTTTCTTCGGCGCCGTTGAAGAGGAAGATGATGGAGTTGTCGAATGGGTTGTTTTGGTGGATGAGGGTGCGGGCGAGGTCGAGCATGACGCCGACGCCTATTGCGTCGCTACGAGGCGTCAGATGGGGTCAAGCGGAGATATATGGGGGGCTTACTCCGCAGCACCAGGGGAGGGGAAGGTAGAGTCGATATGAGCACCGAGGAGGATGGCGTCTTTGTCGGGTTTCGGGTTGTGGATGTCATAGGAAGGTGGATGGAATGCAGAGATTTTGAGGATGATGTTGGAAATGCCGGTGTAGGATTTCAAGACTTCGTGATCGAGAATCTCGAACCTGCCAACGTATCAGCTCTTTCACAGCTTTCTGGGGAATGACGTACGCATGAAGACCGTCGCCTTTCTGATGCCACCATTCACAATTAAGCACATTCCTCGCGTTACACTGCTCGACGAGCTCCAAAACTTGGTCCAGCACGTACTGCTCCCCTGCAAGAGCTGCAGGTGTACCGACGATTCGATAGCCGATATCTTCGAGGGCTTGGATGTGGGAGCGTACCACCTCTTCGGATGGTTGTGGGATACCGTCAGCATCGCTAGTGTATCATCAGCAACGGTCGTAGAGTACTTGAGGTTGGAATGACGTACAGCGGAGGTAATGGTTCAGGCAGCGCATAATGCATCCTCCCAAACACCCACGGCAGTATAGCGAATATCAGGCCCAAGAGTGTCCAGCTGAGTTTTCCAGCTTTCTGAAGAGGCAAGTGGACTGGAGCTGTGGCGACGACATGGTGGTGCTTCTGCTGCTGCTTCGACTGCTTGGCTTGCTCTCCCGGGCTTGCGGGTGTGCTTGCGATGGGCTGCTTCCCGCGCCTCATGCCCCTGCGCTGTCTGGGTGTTGAGGGGCTCTTTGGGGGCATCCTCGGGGTCAGATGGAGGAGATGGAGAATGACTTGCGTGGGTCACTAACTGTAACTGGATTCACGAACTCAATCCCCGGCCGCCGGAAAGGGGGCGGAGATGACCGCGCACCAAAATTCCCGCCCATCTCCTCTTTCATCTGCCATCTGGCTATATGCTGCCCACCCCACTCCGCCTCGTCCCAAAGCGCAAGATGTCCAAATACGCCAGCTGGTCAAAGGATCAGCTCCTCCAAAAGCTCGTAGCGCTCGAAGACGCCAGCAACCCTCCCCCTCCGGCGGTTGAGAAGGAACCGACAAAAGCATTTGTGAAGGCGAAGAAGAAGGACAAACCCTTCCATTTCCCCTCCCACCCCACGCGACACATATCCCTCCTCATCTCCTACACCGGCTGGCCATACTCCGGCCTCGCCCTCCAAGCACCCCCCACCCCGCACCCAAACTACCCCCCAAAAAGCGCGCTGCCCGACGAGATCACTACAGTCGAAGGCGAGTTGTTGAAAGCGCTAGAAAAGACGAGGTTGATAGAAGAAGGCAAAGGGTGGGAGGGGTGTGAGTTTGCGAGGTGTGGGAGGACGGATCGGGGGGTGAGTGGGGATGGGCAGGTGGTGGATCTTTGGGTTAGGAGTAATAGGGCGGAAGGGGATGGGGGTGGTGAGCTGGGGGATGGGTGGAGGCCTGCCAGAGAGCCTGCCCCTCCTAAACCCCCTGTTGCTGAAGAAGAAAAAGAAGTAGAAGGGAAGGAGAGCAAGAAGGCGAAGCAAAAGCCAGAGCCCAAGGCGCCGAACGAATTCCCCTACCCCAAACTGCTCAACTCGCTCCTGCCCCCCGGTATACGCGTCCTCGGCTGGTCCCCCCTCCCCGCCGCCTTCTCCTCCCGCTTCTCCTGCACCCAGCGGCACTACCGCTACGCCTTCCACCGTCTTCCCACCCCTACCTCCCCGCCGCTCGACCTGGAGCTCATGCGCCAGGGCGCTGCTCTCCTCAAAGGGGAGCATGATTTCAGGAATTTCTGTAAACTGGACGGGAGCAAGCAGATCGAAAATCATTCACGCCGGGTGCTCGACGCTTGGTTTGCGGAGGAAGAGCAAGGCATGGGGAAAGAGTGGGTAGTGTTCAACTTGGTTGGGACGGCGTTTCTATGGCATCAAGTCCGGCACATCATCGCCATCCTCTTCATCATCGGCTCTAAACTCGAACCACCCTCCCTCGTATCTTCCCTCCTCGACACCGAGAAGTTCCCGGGGAAACCGAGTTATGCGATGGGCCATCCCCTGCCTTTAACGCTCTTTGAGTGCGGCTATGCAGAGGGGGATGTGGATTGGCGGTTTGGGACGTACGATGGCCCTTGGAGGGGTTTGTCAGAGGAAGAGAAGAAGGGGCTCTATGAAAGCGCGATGGGGGGGAGGGAAGGGCTTGAGAGGCAGTTGGCTGTCGCGCACCAAGAAGCAGAGCTGAAAGCGTGGCACATTGCCGCTCCCTTACGCAAACTCCACTCGCTCTACGGGCCGGTATTGGCAGAGAAGGCGGTAAAGGCAGAGGAGAAGAATGGGAAGGGGAAGGAGCAGAAAGTGTGGCCCGTGGGCGGGGGGGAGTATGGGCAGACCGGGAAATGGGTGCCGGTGTTGGAGCGAACGCAGGGGGCGACGCCGGAGGAAGTTAATGAAAAGTATAGAGAGACGAAGGGGAAGGCGAGGGCGGAACGGAAGGCGGTGGAGGGTGAGGAGTAGAGCATCAGCATTGTATGCACGTTGTGTCCATAGAACGAGTGCAAGAGAAGAGGCGCGATAAGTAGTACATTTGTGAATAGAGCACATTCTACGCTCCAAGCATCCGCATCCTGTCAGGATGTATCCCCGTGCCACTTCCCTGCGGCACTCCCTCCGCCGGCGTGAACCCTCCCTGCGCTCCTTGCCCCTGCCCCTGCTGCTGTCCCTGCTGAGCCACAAACGCCGGCGGCGCACCATAGGCACCAGCACTTGCATTCGGCGTCCCATACTGCGGTGGTGTCATACCCGCGCCGGGTGGAGGGAAGGGGGGGAGGGAGGTGGGTGTACCGGTTGGAGGGAATGGGGGGCGGAAGGGTGGGGTGCCGGTTTGGCCGGGAGGAGGGAAGGAGGGGAAGGTTTGGGGAGGGGGGAAGCCTGCTTCCATGTTAGTGGATGTATTCAGTTTAAGAGAGAAAGGGAGAGGATGGAGGGAAGAAGAGGGAGAAGAGACCTACCACCAGGGACCCCAACAGGATTCATAAACCCGGCTCCCAACCTCATCCCCGTTCCTCCCAGCCCTCCCATCGCGCCCATCCCCCGCCCAACCCCACTCTCATGTTGCTGAATAATCTGGTCAATCAAACTCTGCGCCTGATTATGCCCCAGCCCAGCGAAATAGTCGCGGACGTTGGCGATATGGTTTCTGCCGGTGTTGTGTGCTTTGCGGGCATTCATGGAGTCGTGGGTGAGGTAGATGTCGCAGTAGTCGCAGTAGTATTTGCCCATCTTGACTGAGGGGGGTGGGGGATAAGAGGGGAAGAGGAGAAGGGGTGGGTAAGAGAAGAGGGTAAAAGGAAAGAGAAGACGAGCGCAGAGAGAAACGGGATCAAATTCGTAGGCGCTGACTTCTGCTCGCGCCTATCGTCACTCAACCGAGTATCACAAAATACCAAACGTTGCATATTCTATTCTATGCATGACATGTACAAGTTTGCTCGTTGGAGAGCAATGCTACGAAAAGGACACGTAGTCTGCGATAGATAACGACTGTGAGAATGCTCCACGTCTGTGGGCTCTTTCCTCGACGGCACAACATGCTATTTCAGATCAAAGAGAAAAGCTCATTGCCGCCACAAGAAAGACGGCACTGAAAGCCCCTATATCAACGGCCTGTCAATCATAATCAGCCCCCAGCCTCTTCATTCGGTAGGCAGCGCAAGAAAGACTGTACTCACAAAGATCATCCATTCCAGGCGACGACTCAAGCCGGAAAAGACGAATGTGCGGTTCGACAGCAGCTTGAGCGAGTTTTCGAGATTGTTCCTGTATTGATCGATGGCGCGGACGGGGAGGCGATTCTGGATGCTGAGAGGGATCAGACAGAGCGCTGACAAGAAGATGGAGCCATCTTGGCAAGAATGGCTTTTGCGCCGCCCATCGTTGGCAAATATACGAAACTTACGGTCAGTGCAATGGATGTCCCCACGACAGCAGTGCCGAGCATAAAGGTTGTTGCTGGCACATGATACGTTTCGTACGTTGGTGGGCGCAGCGATTGGGAAGGCGAGTCTGCTGGTATTCCGGCTCTGGTTGATGTGGAGAAAAGTCAAGGTTGAACGACTAGTGTTGTCGTTGAGTGTTGATATGCCTTGTATGCTCACGAGAGAAGATGTTGCATAAACGACTCGTCTGACTACTAACTTCTCAATAGATATTATAAACTCCTACCCGGATCCTCCTAACCTAGAGCGGTCGCTTATCAATAGTGTTGCGACTCTGAAGGGAGATGTCGTCGTTTGACTGGTGACCTCGGAATTCGATATGGTTGCCAGCACTGGCCCTCGCCTTTGCTGTCCTATTTCGGCGCCCAAAGAGTACCAGCCCGACGTAATACGCAGCACCGAAAGCCAGTGCGGCGACCGCAAGAGTCACACAAGCACCAATCCAACCGGCTGCCAACTGCAGAAGCCCATCAGCTGAATGTCTTGCGATGTAGGACCAGCTAGTACATACCGGACTGACTTTGCCTGACGAGCTCGCGGTGACTGTCACTGTCGATGCTCCAGATGTGGTAGATGAGTCGGAATCGCTCCCTAGGAGGAGTCAGTCACCTCATTCTCTGCGGGAGAAATTGAGACTTACAGATGGTACTCGTATTCGTACAAGTGTAGGCGGGAGCTTCGTAGGTATGAGCTGAAACCAGTTCGATGTCGGCACATTGGTATTGCTTGTTTGAAGCTATAACCAAGTCAGTGGACCGCCTCGCTGATTTAGCCTCCCGACTGGATAGAACTCACCGCTGCCATCTACAGCATAAGCAATCTGGATTGTGAGCTTGTCACCAAAAGTCAGACCCATGCCATCTGTCAACGTATGTCAGCTGGGCGGTAGCAATATTCGAACCAGCTCAACTCACCGAAATCAGGCAAAGGCACACACATGTCACCAGCGGTCAGGCCGGTCATGGCCATTCCGAGGGTCGTAAAGTCCGCCTGCGCCGTAGGGTTTTCGTTATCGGCGTAATTGAGTTGGATGTTTTCCACCTTAGTTTGCGAGAGAAGCCAAATATTGCCCCCATCTGTGTTTGTAAGCTTTCCGTACCCCATCCATGATTCGTCGCTCACTCAAGGGGATGTATTGTCTCGTTGAACTGACAAATGCTGCACCACAAGGTCGTGTCGTTGCGACGCTAGCATTGTAGTCTCGAGGGGGTGGGTACTGAAAGAAGGGTCAGAATCATTTCAAATGGTGAAATACAGCGGCGTCTTGACTCACGATGAACCCCAAAGCACCCGGAGATGCCCAGACGTCCCGTTTGATGACAAGTGCATCTGCCGTCGTGGCTGAGCCAAGGATGTAGGACCCAGCAGCGAGGATGGGCAAGGTCACACCGAACACCATTTCGAGTTGATATCGATGAGTGATGAGAATGAGATAGCGTTGAGTGAAAAAAAGAGTCTTCCATTACAGACTTTGCGCTTTATGTCCAATCGGATTATCCGCCCACGGAAATCATCGTCTAACTTCGCCGCAGAGAACACATCGTCATTGGCCAGGTGCGGCATACATACGAGCTCAAGGGCTGCCCGCGTGACTTTGGGCATTTCATTCAACCATCATTGACGCCACAATCCCTCAGTATCGGCCGACTTTATTTGGTTGGATCACAATCATGAACATCTCAAGTTCCCGGGATGAGATTGCGTTGGCCGGTTCTCGGTTATCGGGACCTGTTAGTCCAGGGCAGAATTGGGGGCGGAGTCCAGAGTGACGATCATGTAGGGTTATCAGATATTGATACATGAATGCGGATAGGAGATAAGTGGGTGGGGAAAGGTTATAATAGGCCGGCACACGTATCCTCTTCGTTGGACATCTTCGTCCCGCGTGGCTTTCTTGCAGCATGCACAAGCGAATTCGAAAAAGGCAGAGAACAGCGAGCTCAGCGAGTACTTGGCAGACTCCTGATGCACCGGAGCCGATAGTCCTCGCGAGGATTCGTGGGTTGAGATTGGACGAAAATTCGACTGAGGAAGGTCTTGACTCATAGAGTCGTCGGCCGATGTGGCTGTCAGTACCGACTCCCATGCCTTGTTGCCGGCTGAGGACGCCTCGGAATGATACAAAAGCCCCATGCTTTGACAGAGTCGCTTGATCACCATCAAATCTCCCAATCACCAAAATCAGCCCTTCCAACCAGACCTTCCAACCGATCACCCACACACTCTCTCACGATGAAGTTCGCCTACACCCTTTCCGCCATTGCTGGTTTGACCATGGTTTTGGCCGCCGACAGGTAAGCATAATGGATTTATTGCTTTTCACTAGTACTGACTCTTTTTCTAGCTCTTCCTCTTTGACTGATTGCCAGACCACTTGTTCCGACTCTGTTTTGGCTAGCAACAGCACTTGCGGATCTTCCTTGTGAGTACCCTCCAAAGATGCTCATTCTACTGAATGCTAATCACCATCTTCTTCCCTAGCTCTGCTTGCGCTTGTGACAATGTCTATGTCCAGAACGTCAAGATTTGTCTTTATAAGTCAGTACCGAGATGGCATGATTTCAGAGTCTTCAGCTGACCCTCTCACCTACAGGGGCTCTTGCTCCACCGACGTCTCCACCTGGTTCGACACTGCCTCCGCCGCCTGTGAAGCCACTGGCGCCGAGGCCAACTACACTTCCACCCACGAGTCCAACTACACCTGGTCTTCTGACTCTGCCAGCGGTTCCGCCACTTCCTCCCCTGTCTCTTCTGCCTCTGCCTCTGCTTCTTCTTCTTCTTCCAGCAGCAGTGGTGCCCTCCCCGCCCAGCGGATTGGTGCCGCCGCTTTGGCCTTCGTGGGCGCTGTCGTTGGATCCGCCATGCTCTTTTAAATAGTTTATCAAGTAGCTCGACTTTTTTGTCGTCTGTCTGGGTCTTTGGGATTGAGCGGCTAGGTCTACGGGAGCGTCTTCTATAATCTCCATGTCATGCACTATTGCCACTCTTTACTGCACGCTAGCAACGACATCCACGTCTCATGCTGCAGCCTAATAGTGCCAGTACTTACCAGTGTAACGGGTAGTAGTACACACTTGAACAAGATTATGGGAATGTCGCTCTCCACAGTGCCTGCGTCGTCACGTTATAACATCTGCTTTATCTTTCGTTATCGTTCGGAGAAGATACTGATGATACTCCCATAGCGAACCCAATGATAACCATCTCATCATCATGGCGAATGTCCGCAAACATTCGTCTCGCTTTCCAGCTTTCCCCTGCGCAGACAGGCGGTATCTATCACCTGATCTCAAATGTTGTTCATCAGAAGCATGAAGTATTCGTAAAGCATGTACGCCTGCTACCGTCCTTCAATCTCACTCTCAGTCTGAAGGCCGGGTCGAACAGATACAGCCTCCCCGGACAAATCTCCATTGATCTTGGTACGCTCTCCTCGTCACCTTATGCCCCCAGTGCCGAAATTGAGAGGGAGCACCATTCGTCGTTTCTGCCACTACGTCTTTGTCCGCACCGTCATCTGCTCCCCAGCATCCTTCACACAGTACCCAATATCAGAGAAAAGTTACCGTGTGCCCTGCCAATAACTGTTGCCTACATCGTGGGGAAAAATGCAACTGATATGCTATATATACACGGACAACCAAGAACTAACCCCGACTAGAAGCACGGTTTGCGAGTTGGGAGTCTATCTCACATCGTTCTGCCGAGACGCTACCGTCATTCCATTAAGTGATACCCCGTCCCTCTTTGCTGTCTTCCTTACACTAATCAATGTATCATATGAATAACGAAGACTCTCGCATCGTGCCTTGGTTCCATACTGGTCTAACCCGCCGACAAGGTACAGCCGGCACAATCACTGTTGCATAACCTCACAATGGCAAGGACGTTTTTTCAAACCATATCTTGTAGAGAGGATGAAAAAGAGGAGCACCAAAGCTGTAAGAGGTACGGAGTGCTGGAGGAAAGATACTGTTATGGAAGAGTACTTCTGATGATATGAACTTAGTAGGAAAGACTGCTACCACGCGACGCAAGCCACAGCCCGCGAAATGTGGATAGCCAGAACGGTGACGATCATTTCTTTGGATTGTAAGCCGCACCGGCAATTTCACTCCCCTAAAAACTGTCAGAACGAGGAAGATCTCATTCTCTTTCATGGTCCCACCAGAACGTGGGCAAAGAGACGAGTATAGCATGAGATTCTTGATTGGGCGAGTGACCCCTTGCAGGTGATCTGAGGAGGTCGGCGGCCGGCAGTCGGCGGTGTACGCACATGTATTTCTATGCTCGTAGCATGCATTGTGTCCTGTGACTGTTATGTGAGCCACTAGGTGTAGGTTTCCCCACCACCATGCCTCAACGGATGACCAGAAAAGAGTCCAGCAGCTCCGGCGAGAACAATCACCGACGCCTCTGCGCAGTCTTTGCGCAGTATCTGCGCAGTCTTTACCGAGAGATTGAAGGTACTTTACCGCTGCTCGGGAAAATCCGTGTATCCGGAACTCAGGTACAGAGGCACATCACAAATGAAAGGTTATCAGATCAGATAAAGAGTTGGCTGAATGGCTGACACGCATCAGTAGCCAGGGCAGGACAAAGAATGTCCGGCTCCGACCTCTATGATGCGCCATTTTTTTTTTTCACGAGGACCTTCGGCCTACACGGAGACCATGATTACTGGGTCAAGTGCAGCGGAAGGCAAGCGCTCAACGAGTCCCACTTGCCAGATACCGGACCCGATTGCCCCCGCTGCTCGTCGGGACTTAACCCGACATTGGGCGAAATCACAATTGGAGAGGGTTGGATCTCGTCTCAACCCCGTGCTACATATGTCGGCCGACCTGGCAACTTTTGGGATGTAGACCTTCTATCAACTACATCTGCTGTTTGATATAAAAAAGCCCCACGCTACGGCGTAGTAGCGTATCTCCCACCACTCCCAAATCAAACACCAAAAAACACCCCGCCATGAAGATCTCCTACGTCCTCTATGCTATCACGGGCTTGACCCTCGTCTTGGCTGCCGACAAGTAAGTCTGATTGACTTGTGATTGATGACTATTACTCATATCTCCCAGCTCCTCCACCACCTTGACTGAGTGCCAGACCAACTGTTCCGACACCACCTTGGCGAGCAACAGCACTTGTGGCTCTTCATTGTGAGTAGGTTTGCAGATCACTCGATCTAATGCTGACCTTTTTCTTTCTCCAATAGCTCCGAGTGCGCGTGTGACAACATCTACGCACAGGCCGTTAAAGCCTGTCTTTACGGGTCAGTTATATGTTGTCCTCGCTCTAGATTTACAAACTGACCCTCTCCATCTTCATTTAGAGCCGGTTGCAAGACCGACGTATCCACATGGTTCGACTCGGCCACTTCAGCCTGTGAGGCAATTGGTGGGGATCCCAGCTATTCTTCCACTTCCAGCTGGTCCGGTTCCTCGTCCAACTCCAGCTGGTCTCATGGTTCATCTAGTTCTGCCAGCGCTTCCGAGACCGCTTCCGGGACTGCTTCCTCTACCGACTCTGCCGCTGCTTCCTCTGGAGATGCTTCCTCCTCGGAAGCCGCTTCCTCCTCTGCTTCTGCCTCTTCTTCCTCTAGCAGTAGTGGTGCCAGCGCTGCTCAGCAGGTCGGAGCGGCTGCCTTGGCTATGATGGGCGTTGTCGTTGGTACCACCGTGCTTCTCTAAAATAGCTTACATAGTTTTGCGTCTGCTCAATGATTCTTTCTTGTTGTGAGCGGCCAACTCGACTCGCGCGTCTTCTTTATATTCTCCATGCTATTCACTACTGTCACCCTCCACGCTTTTACTTTGGCTCTACGGTCATCCGTTCTCCCCGAAAAGCAGATCACAGCAAACTTCCAAGTCATCTTAACCCCTCGAGCTTCTCGTCAATCTCCTTCCTCCAATGCTCCATCAACGACTACGCTTCTATCTCATCATCCACATATGAGTCTCATTCGCTAATGCAAAAATGACATATTGACAAGGCTTTACTATAGGATGGCACGAATGCATTGTTGCACAAGAGGACGAGACGAAGATCGGAGAGCGCCATAGCAGTCCTCGATGCATCATCGATCTTTGAGCCGCGATGCCCCTGAGATCAATGCCAGAGAAAAAAATGAGGAAGGAAAGTCATGATACCAACGAACGCTGCCAAACAAAAGATCTCAACCAAAAGTTGTATATCTCAAGAACAACGCTCCACCATCGGACACGGTTCATTGTCAAGCTCAGATGGAGCATCCGGCGATCAATCGTGCCCGTCGGGCTCTGTCGAACGCGAAGGCACCATGGAAATCAAGAAGGCAATGAGCGATTGATGAGCGAAGTACCAAATGCCCACACAAATGCCGCCGTGGCAAAACACTGTACAATGTCAGCATGCTAATCCGCTCCTTGGTCGCTTATAGCAAGAGAAGACAGCTCACATGGGCCAGCAAATCATTCGGATACTTGCTTGTCAAAGAGAGTGATGGATATGACAGCTTTGAACATCGTTCAAGGGCGTCCCGATACTTCCATACAGCTCTCCCAGATCGATGACTACACGTGACCAGAGGCATGGGGAGGCTGGACACGATAAGAGGAGTCCATGCTGCACAGAAAGGCTTAGAGAAATTGCACATCAACATCAAAACACGCCGTCGTCGTCTAGTGAATGAAGACTCACAGCAGACATCATTTCAATAGCCGTTAATAGCAGTCGACGCCAGCAACAAGATCCATGGAACAAAGTATTTCGAGTACTCGGGGACGCCGTCGATCAGAAAGGGAAGCTCGTTCGCGTTATCGCTCTGGTTGATATGTAGAAAGTTGAAGTCGGGTCGAGTGAGGGTTCGTTCACCGCAACAACACCTTGTAACGCGTCATCATCCAGCATGTCAAGACTTGCTAGCAAAAAGAAGATAAGTCATGCTCACTCGCTCCCATAGGTCGTATAGGCATTCGTCATTCCGTACACAATCCTGCCAAAACGGACCTCGGGATATCCCTCGTTGCCGATAGTCGCAATCTATCCCGTCACCTGATACAGCCCAGACGAGTCCATACAGCTTACAAATGACTTGTTAAACATCAAATCAAGGCAAGATAGAAGACCGATGCCTGAGAAGAAAAGTCAGAGAAAAGTTCACAGTATCCTCGCTACCATATAGGCGCGCCACCGCGCGCGCAGCAGTAATCGACTGTACAGGGCGAGTGAGGCTCCCAAAAAAATCCGTATAGTATATGTATCAATTATAGCATAGGTTACATGCAGTGACCATGGTGTGAACACAAAAAGCCAAAAGAATGATCCCGGGCGGGATCGAACCGCCGACCTCCTGTGAAGAGCAAGACAAGCTTGTTAGACAGGTATGGTGACCAACTCCATCACGTGACCAATTTGTTAATAGTATGGTGTTGTAGTCGGTTGAGTCCGTTGTGATGATCAAGTGATCGATCCTCATGTGGATGTCTTTTGCCGTTCCACTGCCAACCACCACCTCGCACGTCTGTTCTATCGCGAAAACGTGCATGCCTTCAATCTCATCTATACCACTACTGAACCCCCTAGTCATCTCCCTTCTCCAACCTCACCGCCGGCCTCTTCTTGACCTGGTCCAAATCCGTCTTGTGCCCGACCAAAGTCCTGATATCTTGGATCTTGTACTTGATCATCGTAGGGCGTTCGAGAGACATTCCCCAGCCGAGGACACGGACGCCCTTGGGGAGACCCATCGGTTCGAGCATTTCGGGGCGGAAGATACCAGACTGTGATAAGAGTTAGACTGGGTTTGAGGAAGAGGTATGAGGACGTACGTTGGCAATTTCAATCCATTTACCAAGACCATCGTGCCAAGAGAACACCTCCATACTGGGCTAAGACAAAAATCAACGACAGCTCCAACATCCGAAGACAACAGACATACCTCGGTGTAGGGGTTGTAAGCGGGCTTGAACCTCAGCTTGGTGTTGCCGGTCTTGCCAAAGAATTCTTGCATGAAAGCGATCAAGTGACCGAGGGTGATGTCGTAGTCGGCGACGAGACCTTCGACCTGGTGGAACTCGGCCAAATGCGTAGCATCGGCAGTCTCATTTCTATCCACCGCATCAGCGCTCTCCTCCTAGATCTCACAAAGCAGACTCACCTGAAAACTCGGTCGATAGAGAACATCTTGGCAGGCTTGAAACCTCCCGGCTGGTTGGCGAGCTTGTAAAGCATGTCGGTTGTGACGGCGGTGGTGTGCGTACGCAAAAGAAGCTTCTCTGACTCGTCCTGGTTGAAGGGGGCTCGGTAGCCGATGGAGCCGAAACCGCCTTCTTCGTGGATCTTGCGGACGCGTTCGTAGTACTCCGAGTCGGGCTTGAGGGCCTTCACAGGGTCTGCATATCGTCAGTACCGATATTTGGGGTGAGAAAGGGGACTCACTTTTGACGTAGAAGGTATCTTGCATCTCTCTAGCAGGGTGCTGCTGCGGCACAAACATGGCGTCAAAATTCCAGAACGCAGACTCGACAAACCTGTTGGTAGGCATCTCGGTGAAACCCATGTCGAAGAAGATCTTCTGGAACTCTTCTCGGACTTTGAGGAGGGGGTGGAGGGCACCTCCGTCGGTGGGGACACCGGTGGCGGCAAAGTTGTATTGTTTAAAGTCGGAAGACTTCCAGGCGCCGCTAGAAAGGTATAAGCTTGAGCCGTCAAAAGTCGAAAGAGACGCACGATTGGAGCATCTCAACAGTAAGGTCGGTTTCGAGCTGCTTGACTTCGGTAGAGAACTGGGGACCCTTGCCGATGGAGTAGTGGATTTGTTTTCTGATACATGATCAGCCTTGGTCTTGCGCGAGTATACAGGGACATACTTGGGGGTGATGAGCTTTCGCTTCTGCAACTCCTTCGCGGCAGCCTCTCCTCCGGGGACAACACCCGTCTCCTTGATCTCCTTGATCACATTCAATGTCTCGTCCACAGGAGCCTCGGCCTGTATTTCATCAGCATTCCAGCACCATCCAAGCTTCAAACGACGCACCGCTCGAACAAAACCAGCTCCGTCCTTTGCTATCCACTTGTTCTTGAACGCCCTCATTTGTCCGACCTTGGTGGTTTCATCTCCCAGCAGTTTCTACTTTTTATTAGCTCCTGATCTCGACGGTCCAAGAGGCAGATAACGCACTTTGAGGTCGGGGACGCCGACAGGCTCGCCTTGGCCCTTGACGGGAAGAACTTGCCACACTCTGTATTCGTGGGAACCATTTGATACGATGCCGTCGCCTTCTTCTGTCAAAGAGTAGCTGGTGGTGGTGATTTGCTTGTATTCGACCATCTAGACGTTTTCGTGAGCTCGAGATTCTCCAGACCATGCGCCGGGTCCTCCTCCTCTCCTCTTTTATATGGAACACATCAATCCCCTTCGTCTACTGCCCCTTCATCCATATATGCCTGTAAACAATAACTCACGTCCTTGCTTGCCAGACTATCAAGAGCAGCCCTGACGACGGCTTGCTCCTCGGCGGTTTTCAGCAACTTGCCATCCCAGGCAAGCTCCCTAGAGTCGGGGATTTCGGCAGATTTGTCGAGGGTCTGGAGGATGACGTCTCGAAGAGAATCGGGGGAGAGTGCGGACATCTTTGAGGGGACAATGTATGGTTCAAGGAAAGCCGAATTGTTGCTTGAATTGTTGTCGAAATGTAACTTTCCCGAGTCGCGCGATAGGCGCGGGGTATTTCGCAAACGGGAAGGCGCGCCCACTGTCCGGCGGTCTCAGCGTCTTGCTAGTTCTCTGTGAAGGGGTCTTCTCCCATTGACTCTTAGCCTTGTATCATATTTGACATACAAACACGGAACCAAACTCGAACTCAGCTCGAATTCGTTCTTGGGCGGTCTCTATATTTTTTTACCTCGCTGTCTTCCAGATACCCAGCCTTCTACATTTACGACCATCGCCTCGCTAGCCCTCGCGTCATCGGATTCTCTGACCAAGCGGCCACTCTTCGCCTTGTCGCTGCCGCCAGCGCCGAGACGTCCCAAGGACGTCCCCGAGGATCCCAGGTGTGTTTAGTCCTTCGCCAGCAAAGACCTCGCATCCTTCCTGCGGGTTTCTCCCCTCTTCTTTCACATTGCCGGCCGCAAGCTCTACTCTAAACTTCCCATCTCCAATGCACTCAATCCTTTCTCCAGCTCGAGTCGTGGAGGCGACCGATGGGGCGGCTGTGGACCGTACGGCAAAGGGCAGTTCTTCCCGTATGTCCGGACGGTGGTAGTCGAAAGGGCGCCGGTTCCCGAACGTCCTATCTGGGCGGGATGGGAGGAGCTACCTCCCCTCGCTTCTGTCGAGGATGTCACCTTCCAGCCCCCCGACGCCTCGTCCCTACTGAGAAAGACCCTACTGGGAGAGGGAGGAGACACCGATCTGTCCGACAGTCCCGACAGTGCCCTCATCGAAAGACTCTGCTGTTCTGCTACCCGAATTCACATCGCTACCCCTTGCTATACCAACAGCGGAGATTGTCTCCAGCCTATCCCTCTCCTCCCGAACGTACACACCGTTGTGTTGAGGGTACATGCTGCCGAACTGGCAGCTTTTGAAGATGTCGCTATCGCGGATGCACTCCACATCTTGTGGTCGAGGTGCTCCAAAATCCGCGAACTGCATCTACTTCTGTGGGGCGACATCGAGCTTCCTTCGGGGGTCTTTGGCTCCATCGGTTGGCCTAGAAAGGGCAGGATACGATACGAGCAGTTGATGAACCTCGTCGACCGTTCTTACGTTCTGATGGAGGATCTCTATCATCACCTTTGCTCTGCTGTCGAGGAGCTGGAATTGAAAGATTTGGAGGTCTTGCAGTTGTATAATGTTGAGGCGGTGTTGGAGAGGTTTGTCAAGATGGACGACGGCAGGAGGTGGCTGACCGGAGAGACAACGGAGAGCCTGTTGAAAGGGGTAGAGAAGGCGTTTCGCTGGGAGCCAGACGATTCGAGTGTAGATGAGACGAGCGAAGAAGAGGTGCCGGCGGTGGTGTCTTTTCACCCTGCGGTGGCCTTCTTCGATGCCTTCGGCTCATACGGAGTCGAGAAGGAGGATGCATGGTATAGGTCGTCAGTCATCGAACCCTCGGCAAAGCTCAGTGCTCTCAGACAGCAGTTGGCGGATAGGACGAAGCAGATAGCTGACCAATTTATTGGCCTGAACGAGAAGGAAATCGAAGAAATCCTTGAAGACCTATCAGGGCTAGGACTGGATGTCGTTCGCGGCAGGGAGAGAAGGGGCCAGCAAAGAAGGCGCCCCGTCCAAACTCTCCCGCTCGCCGAGGGCATTTTACGGCAAAGCAGCGAGGGATCGGAAGTTGAGCTGCAAGTAGGGTCGGAGGATGGAACAGTCTAAGCAAAACATAGCAGAACCCTTTGTCCTCTATATCATCCCCTACCAGTATCGAAGGCATGTAACCCTTCCATGAGACCGCACTTCTGGGCGAGGATGGCGATGGGCCAGGTAAGGCTTGCGGGAAAGCTAAGCTGATGCGGCCCATCTGGGGGGTGGTTCACGAAAGAGCATTACCCATCGACCAATTGGTATGGGCAACCTAGTCTGATTCTCTCGGTACCAGTTGAACGAAGTTGCATCTCATGCTTATGTAACACGGAACCAAACAGAAGGGTGAGCAGCGCGCCCATCAGTTGACGATCCATCTTTCTTCCATCTTTCTTCAATCTTTCTTCCATCTTTCTTCCCTCGATGTATTCCACTTTCACATCTCCAAGCATCTCCCTCAGCAACCATCATGCCACCACGTCCCCTACCCGAGCGGCGACTGTCCCTCTTCCCGCTGCCGCCGTTGCCGAGCGAGTCGCTTCCCACGGCCTCCAGGTATGTACGATCCTCCGCGATGAACGATATCTGACCCGTTTTCTCAGCATGAAAGACTCCGACCATAGCCAAGGCATGTCTGCTGCCGCCCGAGTGGCTACCACCTCGGACATCCTCGACCAAATCCTCTCCCACCCCTTCGGTAACAGAGACCTCGCCTCTCTCCTACGCGTATCTCCCCTCTTCTTTCATATCGCCGGCCGCAAGGTCTACTCTACGCTGCCCATATCCAACGCTCTCAACACTGTCTCCCTCTCGGGCCCTAGTGGGGGATCGAGCGGCTCTGGCTCCTACGGCAAAGGGCAGTTCTTCCCGTATGTCCGAACGGTGGTAGTCGAAAGGGCGCCGATTCCCAAACGTACTATCTGGGCGGGATGGGAAGAACTGCCTCCCCTTCCATCTGTCGAGAACGTCATCATCTAACCCGCCGACGCCTCTGCTCGACAGAAAGGGGGTCAAGATACCTCCCTCCCGAGCAACGCCCTCATCGAAAGACTCTGTCCTTCCGCCACTCGACTCCACCTTGCCACACGGCGCTATATCCGCGGTGCAAAGAGCATGCAGCCCATCCCTTCCCTCCCGAATGTGCACACTCTTGTGCTGAAGGTTCGAGCTCCCGACATTAGCACTCTCTGGCGCGTGCTGGGAGATAGCGAGAAGTCGTCGCTGCCGTGCCCCAATATTCGCCAGGTGCATCTGCTGCTCTGGGGCGACGTGGCGTATCCTTCCAAGGCGTTTTGCCGTATACCATAGCCAAGCAAAACCGGCGTCAGTGATCGTGATCTGACGGATCTCACCGTGGCTTCTTACGGCCCCTCTAGAAGCATGTCCCACGCCCAACTGTGCGCCGATATCAAGCACTTGGGAGATAGGGAGCATGTGAAGGTCTTGCATTTGTACAATGTGGAGTCAGTGCTGAAGAGGTACGCAGAGTGGGCTGATAGTATGGGGCTGGGGACAGAAGGGACGGTGGAGGATAAGTTGAGGGAGATGAAGGAGGCGTTTTGCCGGGAGACAGAAGGGGCATGCGATGGGGACGAGGTATCGATTGTTTCTTTCAACCCTGCGAAGACGTTCTACGACACATTCGGCTTGTATGGAGGTGATAAAGAGGAGGCATGGTACATATCGGCAGTCATCAAACCATCGGCAAGACTCACAGCTCTCAGGCAGCAGTTGGCGGATCGGACGGGGAAGCCTGCGGATCACTATTTGGGGCTGAAGGAGCATGATGTGCGGACGGTATTGGATTACTACAAGGAATAATGTTTGGTGGTGATCATTCCATGAAGGCGAAGAGGTGAGTGAAGGTCTCGTCGATGGCTCTTGTGCTCGACTGAAGTGAGATATGGGCAGCTTTCCGCTTCTTCGACGCCGACGAGCTGTTGTCTGTGTTTGATAATCAGCTCTTTACCGTCATATACTATTGTGGCTACCTCTATGTATTCTCCTTATGAGTTGAAGCCACATGTACAAGTGCAAAAGAACAGATGCAACCGCATCATTTAAGGCGGCCTCGGATACACAGCGGAGGAGAATTACAATCTTATCAGTTGTGCTTACGTTTCTTGTATTATCGCGCTGTCATCATCTCTTTTTACTCGGACATTCTGCTACGGATCCCCTGCTGACGGCACTTCGTTGTCCCACGATACACCTATTACTGTCACACTCAGTAAATCCCTGAGGTGGCATTGGCGCTGAGTTGTGTGGGTGGTTGAAGGACTCTCGGTGTACATACTCAATTCACATCTTATTGTTCTACTCTTTCCATGCGATAATATTGAAAAGGTCTTTTCCCCTCTTTGAAGCCCTTCCCTAGTCACCTCCCTGCTGCGTTCCAGCTAGGCCGTGACACCTGCTCCAGCTCCTGCAACAGACCCCAGAAACCGCTCGCATCGTCAAAAGCTGGACTTCTTCCTGAAGGTGCGTCTAGCTCTACTACCAGCAATGGTTTCGATGCTGATTTCATCTTGTTAAGGTACCTCCAAACGACCATGTCTTCCGCCTCCGAAGTGGCCCACACGACAGACATACTCCACATCATCTTCTCCCACCTCTCCGCCGACAACGACCTCACATCTCTCCTGCGCACATCTCCCCTCTTCTTCAGTCTCATCGCTCAAAACTCCATCGATCGCTACCAATATCGAACGTCTGTAATCCCCTCTCGGGCGTGGATACCGGCGAGCGAGGCGGACCCTACGGAAAGACCAAGCTGTTGGAGCTCGTACAGACGGTGGTCGTAGAGCGCGCACCGCTGCCCGTCGATCATCCAGTATGGGCAAACTGGTACAAGCTCCCCCCTCTCCCTGCTGTCGAAACCGTCATCATCTACCCCGCCGAAAGGAACACCCGACAAAAGAGCGGTAAAAATACCACCTTGCCAGACGAGGCCCTCATCGAGCGACTTTGCCCCACTGCTACTCGGCTGAACCTCTCGACACCTTGCTTTACAGCCGGCGCAAAGGGTGTTCAGTCTTTGCCTTCTTTGCCTTGTGTAGAGACACTTGTGTTGAAGGTGAACGCGGAGGAGATTATGGAGCTCAAGTACTTCGTTCGGAAGCTCAATTACGGGCTCTGGAAACACGGCCAGAAGGAGCGCCCGCTTTGCCTCAATATCAAGGCTGTCCATTTACTGCTTTGGGGCGAATTAGTATATCCTGAGGCGAAATTTCTGATCTCTGATTGGGACAAGGATTGCGTCGACGAGCTGGCAATCGTGGAGCTCACTTTCTCAACAAACGTAAAGCTCAGAGACAAGATCTTCCACAACCTCTGCGAGATCGCCGAACGACTCGGTACGCGGTTCTCTATCGACGAGCTTTGGCTGTACAATGCCGATACGCTGTTGGAAAGGTTGAGTAGATGGACGAAATTTCGGAAGGTGGATAATATGAAGGCAAAGGTGGAAAGGGAATTTGTGGAGGAGATGAAGCTGTCGGCAAAGTACTTGGGCATGCCGGAGGAGGCGGCGGAGGCTCAAGTCTTTTGGAGGACGGGTCAGGAGTTTTACGAGGCTTTCGGCGATGTGTCAGCACGAGATGAGACGGAAGAGTGGTACCATACAGCGGTCCTCACGCCCTCCCCGAATCTCGTCTCGCTCAGAGATAGACTGGCAGCCAAGACAAAGTTTCCTGCTGATACGTTCGTGGGCTTGACGGAACGAGAGGCTGAGTGGACGTTGGCAACTTTTCAATGTAAGTGAATGCACAAGTGGCGAGACATAATGCTGATTACTATGCGATAGCGAACTAGATATACTCCTGTACGAGTAGATAATGATGGACCATGAAAGAATATGCAATATATGTTGTTGAAGAAAAAAGTGCAAAACAAGGATCCTCCTCGCCAAGTTGAGGCAAAGCGTCAAGATAAAAAAAATCCTCCTACTCCACCCCTCTACCGCATCAACTCCTTCTCCACCGCCGCCCTCGTCCTCCTATACTCCTTCTCCTCATACCTCACCCCCTCACACGCCTTCATAAAGTTCTCCGGCAACATCAGACTATCCTGCGGCAGATTCTGCAGATACGCGAGCACCGAATCGTGGTCCTGCGGCAGGCGGAGGAGGCGGTCGCGGGAGAGGGAGAGGATGGTGAGGGAGGCGATGAGGAGGAAGCGGGTACCTTCGCATACGACGGCGTCGATGACGCGGAGGACGGTGGGCCAGGGGAGGTGGCGGATGAAGAGCTGGCCAAACCATTTGTCGAGATACTCGCGAGCTTTTCGTGCTTCATGAGCCGCGTGTTCAAAGAGGAAGGGATGATAACGCACGATGAAGGCCGAACTCTCTAAACGCCTTTGCCAACTTGCCATCCTTCTCACCCAACAATTTCGCAAACACCTCCGCCTCCACCCCCAACCCGACCTGCCCCTCCCCATAAAAGTCTTTTAACACCGAATTCACCAGCCCACTTAGAAGCCAGAACGAATCCTCCGCCACGCAGTGGATGAGGAGACACCCGGCTATGAGCGACATTTCTCGGCGATAGCCTGCGGGGGCGAAATTGGAGTAGGCGCGGAGGATGGAGCGGAGGTCTTGTTGGCCTGCAGAGTTGGGGTCGGCGAATATGGAATGGTCCGGGTATGCACTTTTGTAAACCATCAGCCTTTTTTTTCTCCACCATGAATGGGAGGTACGTACGAAACGACATCCCGCTCGATCCGATCATCTTCCAACCCCTTATCATGCTCCAACAACTCCCCATACAACCCCGGTACCCTCGCCGAAAGCGTCCCAGCCATGAACCATGCCCAAACCCGTCCTCTGAGCGAATTCGGGACGCCAGACTCGATGACGAGTTTACGGACCTTCTTTCCCGGCTGGGCGCCGTTCAGAGGGGTACTGATGATGGACAACTATCCCTTGAATTAGTATGATGTGCGGTGAAAGGAGAAGGTGGGGAGACTTACCCATTTGCCTTCGATAGCTCTATACTCGCCCGGCGCATTCCTCGACATGAAAATCTCTGGCGTCGGGCTTCGGTCCTTCAAGAACCCCCACTCATCCGTCTCTGCCATCACCTTCAGCCCGCCCGCAGAAGTACCAGACCGTATACTCCCCTCCAACGTCTTGCCTTCATCCCCACTGCCCCCTCCCGCACTCGTAAGGTCCGACGAATCAAAAGACATTGACGTCGTCGACGTCGGGCTGAAGAGCGCCGGAGGTTTCCGCGGTTGGACGAGCTCGAAATCCATCCCATCCGCCTTTACAGTTTCTTCCAAGAAATCTTTATGGCTTACCGGACTCGGCAAAGGTCTAGATGTCTTTCTTGCCGCGCCTTTCGATGATTTGGAGGAAGGGAAGGAGAATGACGCAGAGGTTGCCGAAGGGGGAGGGAGGGGGAGAGAGAGGACGGAATCGTTATTGCCCGAAGCTCTCGAGAGCGTCGATTTCGCAGGAGAGTGGGGTGGGGTCGATTGGGCGGTGGTGGGGGCGAGGGATGATTTGGAGAGGAATGTTTTCTTGAGCGTCGCAGACTGGGGTTGTTGTTGAGGGAGAGGTGAAGGGAGAGTAGAGCGCTCGTTCGCCGAGCTGATGGAAAGAGCGCTCGGCGTCGAGGCTTTCCGCCCTACACCCAAAGTCCTAGCTACAGAAGACGAAAAGCTCCTCGACCTCGGTCTTGCCCCAGCCGCGGGTATCGTCGGCGACGACTCGAGCTCCTTGTCGATCCCTGTCGCCTGCCTCGACTGTGCCCGAGAAGCAGGTTGGGAGTTGGACTGCTGCTGCTGCTGCGCCTGGTACGTTTTCGGCTGCTGTGGCTGTGGAGTGGGTACGGGCGTGATGGGCGCGGTGACGCTTCTTACCGGAGGCATGGGGTGGGCAGGGAACGTTGGTGTCTCGACATTCGTCGGTGAAGCCAGCGGCGAGCTCGCCCGCCTCTCTGGCTCCTGCCCCTGCCCCTGCCCTAGGTGTCCGTGTCCCGGCAAGCCGAGCCCGATCCCTTCTCGACTTGTACCATTCATCCCCGGGCCAGGTACGGCCGTCCCCGGTGTTCCCGGTGTACTCGGTGTCCCCGGCGTTGGCGTCGGCAAAGGCGAAGGCGGTATGGGAAAGCCTTCACCATTCACCAAAAACGTAATCGGTACAGGCCCCTGAGCAGCGCGCAAGTCATTGTCCATCCTCCCCACCAACGTCAGACCCCTGGGCCGCTTGCCGTTCCCGTCCCGCTTGGCGTCCCGGGATTTGACAACCGCCGTACGCGTCGCGTCGATACTGTGCGGCGAGGACGGCGAGTCGGGGGACCAAGGGACGACAGGCGACGCGTGTGGCGAAGGTGAAGGGTTAAGGTTGGGGTTGGGTGAAGAACAGTGGCCGGGCGAGTAGAATGGTGATTTCGTCGTCGGCGAGAAATTCGGATGGCGCGGGGTCGAGCTTACGCGGGGAGTTGGGAAAAGGTCGGAATGGGACGAATGGCCTGAAGCTGAAGAGCTGGGGACGTCTTCTATAGGGAGAGGCGAGGCGAGGAGGGTGTGGCTGCCTTCGCTGGAGGATTTTGTCATCTCTGGCGTTTGCTCGCTTGCGCTAGCAGGCCCTTCTTCAGTGTTGGCGGCGGTATGGAACGAGTCGATCGACGCGGTGATGGATGTGTCGGGTTCGGAGGGCGTGATGAGCTTGGTATCTGGTATAGGCGACGAAACGCGCGACGAATCGCCATCGTTCAACAGCTTTAAACGGAGCTCGGTGGCTGTCATCGGTGCTGGCGCTTTGACGTCGACGCCGAAAGCAGGTGTGATCGGTGAAGGGTAATGAGAGTCGCCTTTCGGCGTGTTTTGCTCCTCCCCGCCTTTGGGAATCAGTTCGCCCTCCGGTGTCCGCTCTTCTTGCCTCCCTTGAGCACCTTGCAAAGCAGCCCACGTCCTGCCTCTCGCCGTCCCCTCATCCCCAGCGTCCCCCTCACTGCCACTCCCATCCCCATCCCCACTCCCGCTGCTCCACCTCCTCGGCTTCCCTTTCGGCAGACCAAGCACCGCCGTCCCAGCCGCCATCCTCGCCGAATGCCTCGCAAGGTTGCCCAGAGGGCCATACATGCTTTCCCTTGCATAGTCGTCGTAAATGTCCCAGGACCGGTCCGACTCGCCGTCGTCTTCTGATGAGGATGGAGATGGGGATGGGCGGTGGGCTAGGAGGTCGGGGGAGGAGGAGCGGGAGGGGAGGAGGATGGAAGGTGTTTGAGGGGTGGTTGTGTCTGTTGGGGATGTGTTAGATGGGGGAGAGAGTTGGAAGAAGGGGGGAGGGGGACGTACGGGTTGGGGCGGGGAGAGAGGTGGGTATCTCTTCGTCTGGGCTGGTACCCCCATTTCGTGCGCTCATCATGAACCCTCCAATACCTTCATAACCCCCACTACTCGCCTCTGAACTACCCGCCACGCTCCCCAACCTCAACCTCGACTTGGGCGGCCTCGGCGGCAAGTCGAAAGCCTCCCCCTTCTCTTCTTTGGCAAAGGATGAATACAAGTCAGGGGAAGGCTGGGGCGAGTCTGTCTCGAGCTCGAAGGGGCCGGAGGTACCGGAATCCCGGCGGACAGTGTCGTCGCGGGCGGGTCCTTCGAGTCCGAGTCCGAGGCCCGCTATGGTCGCTTGTAAAGGCTGTTGGAATTGTTCTACGTGCGCTGGGGGCGGGGAAGGGGCGGTGAGCGTGGTGGTCGGGGGGACTTCGGCGGAGGCGGGAACGGGGAGTGAAGGAGAGGTAGGGGCGCTCCCGCTAGCGAGTTTGACCTCCGCGAGATCCCCCCGCCTCGCCCAGCCTATGACCCCCTCACACGAAGCCAGCAGCACTTCGCCGAGGTCGCGCAGGAGGACGAGGTGGTCGCCCTGGATGAACATGAGCTGGTCGGGCTGCTCGGCGACGCAGTCGGTGTTGCTTTGGGGTGTCAGTGGGGCAGGGAGATGGAGGAGGGGCGTACGCTGTGGCTTGGCCGATGCCGCCCCTGTCTGCGAGGTGTATGAGCTGGGTGAGCTCCCGCAGGTCGAGGTAGGCCATGGGCATAGGAGGTGGGTATAAGATAGAAGTAAAGATAGAAGGTATAGACAAGACTGCCAGTGACTGCTGCTGAAACACTCGACGCGTTCGCCCTTACGTAACGGTACTATGGTATGGAAAAGCAGCAGCAGCAATCAATAATGTTACTTTGGCCCGTCACTCACCTCCTCGCCTTCATGGAATACCAAACGTTATTCCTTGTAGTAATCCAATACCGTGTGTACATCATGCTACTCCAGTCCCAAAAAGTGATCCGCCGACTGCTGCCCCAGAGCTGTGAGGCTTGTTTCAACTTGGCGAGGAGGATCCTTGTTTTGCACTTTTTTCTTCACAAAAAACATAGATTGCATCTTCTTTCATGGTCCATCATTATTTACTCGTACAGGAGTATATCTAGTTCGCTATTGCATAGTAATCAGCGTTATGTATCGTCACTTGTGCATGCACTCACACTTGAAAGTTTCCAACGCCCGCTCGGCATCTTGTTCCGTCAAGCCCACAAACGTATCAGCAGGAAACTTGGTCTTGGCTGCCAGTCTATCTCTGAGCGAGACGAGCTTCGCGGAGGGCGCGAGGACCGCTGTATGATACCACTCTTCCGTCTTATCCCGTGCCGACAGATCGCCGAAAGCCTCGTAAAACTCCCGACCCGTCCTCCAAAAGACTTGAGACCCCGCCCCAAACCCCGCCAAAAATCGCTTTTCAACCCTTGCCTTAAAAGTATCCACCTTTGCACTCTTGCCCCTCTTCCAGCTCAACCTCTCCAACGCCCTATCGGCATTGTACAGCCAAAGCTTCTTGGTGTTGAACCGCGCGCCGAGTCGCAGGGCGAGCTCGCAGAGTTTGTGGAAGATCTTGCTTTCGAGGTTGGCGTTCGTTGCGACGGCGAGCCGATGCAGCCGATCCTCGTCCCAAGCAGGGCTTTCAAGTTCCTCCTCAGGATATACCAAATCGCCCCAAAGCAGTATATGGACCGCCTCGATATTGAAGCAAGGCGGGTGCGCCTCATGGCTGCAATCCCAGGTGTAATGGAAATCTCCAACAACGTACGTGAGCTGCCCAATCTCCCCCGCGTTCGCCATCATCACAAGCGTCTCTACACAAGGCAAAGAAGGCATAGTCGCCAAAGTCTCAATACCCTTGGCGCCGGCTGTAATGTAAGGCGTCGAGAGGTGTAGCCGAGTAGCATCGGAGCAAAGATGCCGGATGAGGGCCTTGTACGGCAAGGTCAGATCGTAACCGCTTTCTTGTCGGGCCTTCCTATCGGCGGGGTGGATGATGACGGTTTCGGCAGTTAGGAGAGGGGGGTATTCGTACCAGTCTTCCCATACGGATCGACGGGCGGCGGTTCGCGCTCTACGACCACCGTCCGTACGAGCTCCAACAGCTTGGCCTTTCCATAGGGCCCGCCTCGCCCGCCAGCATTCACGCCCGAGAAGGGATTCAGGACGTTCGATATTGGTAGCGAGCGATAGAGTTTTCGAGCGATGAGACCGAAGAAGAGGGGAGATGTGCGCAAGAGAGATGCGAGGTCGTTGCCGGCGGAGATGTGGGAGAAGATGCTGTGGAGTATGTCGGTGGTGTGGGCCACTCTGGAGGCGGGAGACATGGTTGCTTCCAGCTGCCAGAGTTATCAGGAGTCAGCAAAAGAGTCGAGAAAATCGAGAGGAATGGCTATACAGACCGGATACGCGACCCTGGAAAGAAGTCCGGTTGCCTGCGGTGTCGGCAGATCGAGCGTGATCCCGAATACGGAGCTTTACCAACAGAATATCATGGGCCAAGAGGTGGCGGAGGGGGCGAGCATAAAGAGAAATTGAAGACGAGATGAAAACAAAGATTGTGAACTGGACGCGTCAAGTGCTCAAGTTCGGAGACCGGCGGCCTCAAATACCGCTCAAGAGACATGAGGCATCGACGGCAGTCTCGAAGGCTGTACTTGTATGCACCTCTTTAGCTGATCTGAGCGTGGTGTGGGCTGCCAAGTATACATACAGGTAACTCGTGTACCCCTGAGACCCCCACCCAGCCGCCTGCATACTCTGGCAACGCCAGGCCGCAGTACCCATACGATCTCAGCTTGGGGCCCCCGAGCGATGTGGAGCTCATGAGCGAGTCGCTGCCTACCTATGAGGAAAAGAGTACGATGGAGCCCAAGACGCTAGCCAAGGCACTCTAGAAGTGTGGCTTCATCTGTCCTCTGCTTTGGCTCATCGGCATGCTCATGTGAGTTTCTTCTTTTCTCCTTTGGCATCGCTGACTCTGCTTAATATGTGGATCTCCCTGAGGCAAGTGGAAGACGAAGTCGGCCCGGAAAAGGCGAAAAAGCTCGAAGAGACGATTGTGATTCTCCGCAAGGTGTGTGGTACCTGTGGTATCATGACACAAGCCGACTTGTTTCCAGACTGAACTCAGATACGCCAAGAGGTGTACATGGGCGTTCTGCGGGTTCTTTCTTCAACTAGCTTTGACCATTGTCATTGCGGAGGTCGATAGATGAGATTTTGTATGACTATTTTTGGGCTTTTGGGATGTATGTGTTGTGCGCTGATTCATCGAGACCTTTCTTTTTCTAAAACTTGGCGAGATATCCATTGAAAGGCGGCTCCTCCAACCCCTTTCCGTCCACTTTTACCGCCTCGGAAGGACCCACAAATGCGATGAAGCCTTTGAAGCATTAGCATCTGCACTGATACAAAGAAGCAAACGCACGAGCCCACTCTGGCTTGAGATTGTTCCATCGGTGAATGTTGGCAGCCTGCACTACTAGGTCACCAGGATGGACGATCGTCTTGGTCCCGTCGTGTAACTCCATCTCGAGCTCTCCGTGCGTGATCACGAGATAGTCTGCCAGAGTCAGCGCATGTAGAGTGAGGGAGAAACATACCGATAGTCTGGGTGAAATGGAAAAAGCCATCCGCGCTGGGAGGCAGATCTACTTGGATCAGCCAACATCCAACTTCAACTGATACGTGACTCACCAACATACCGCACACTAATAGCATCGTCATGCGAGATCCTGTCCGGCCTCGCTTCAGCCCACTCTACCGCCTTTTCTGGCTTGGCGACGAGATCGGGCTGGAGAAAGAGTACCTGGGCTTTGAGTGTGGCAGGGTCGGTATCGGCCGAGGGAAAGTGGTGTTCGAGGAGGACGGGGGTGCCGTCCGTGGCGTGGGCTGCGACAAGGCGACGGGGCGGGGGCAGGGAAGACATTGTGCATGGGCGGGATGGGGCTGTATGGTTACCAGCTTTTGTAGTGCTGGATGCTTACCCCATGCTCTCGGGAGACCGAGGATGGCTTGATAATCAGTGGTGGAGGCATTTGTCAGCGCACCTCCAGGCACCGAGTGGCTCCAGCACCGGGGAATAAGTGGCTGTCAATACCACTCAGTATCAGGCTGAGGTTGGGCTGAGGAGTGAGGACGCAAGTGACCTATTGATACATACAACCATAGCTATGCCCTCGAGTCTATGAATTTCACACTTTCCAGCCTTCCCGCGCTGAACCCTTCTCCACGCCTGCTGGCCGGGCCCCCGTCGCCCCCTCGAAAGACTCATCCTCGTCCGAGCCAAACAAATCCATTTTCGTCCTTGTTTTCTTCAGCCTTTTCCACTCCGACCTCATCCTCGTCCTGCCCGACGCGCAGGACCCAATCAATCTCCTCCGTGCGCCTCTCTACCTCCTTCGACACTGCCTTGCCCTTGATCCCATCCCTCTCGATCCTCTCTGTCAGCTTTTCCCGCAAATCCTCCAACTCCCTGTCCGACATGGCCCAGAGCTGGTCGTGCGTCTGCGAAAACGCGCGGGGTGGTCCAGACTTGCCCTCGACGGCAGGCGGGGCGGGCAGTTGATAGCTTGGAAGAAGGCGTCTTGCGCGAGGGGAGAAATGCCCGAGTCGGGAGCGTCAGGCGGGGGAGGGGCTTCAGAGGGTGGACAATGTACTGAGACAGGAGCGGGTTGGCCGATTGCTGGGCGAGCACAAAGAGAAATGGAAGACGAGATGATATAGAGGACGACGAGAACAAAGATTTGAACTGGACGCGTCAAGTGCTCAAGTTTCGAGACCGGCGGCCTCAAATACCGCGCAAGAGATATGAGATATTGACGGCAGTCTCGAAGGCTGTATGCACGTCTTTAGCTCATCGGAGCGTGGTATGGGCTGCCAAGTATACATACAGGTAACTCATGTACATATGTAGGAAAGACTACTCGTAATAGCGGTAGAGGGGCGGAGTAATGGTTGTTTTTGATTGGCATTTTGCCTCAACTTGGCGAGGAGGATCCTTCTTTTGCACTTTTTTCTTCACAAACATATATTGCTTTATCTTTGATGGCCCATCATTATTTACCCGTACAGGAGTATATCTAGTTCGCTATCGCATAGTAATTAGCATTATGTATCGTCACTTGTGCATGCACTCACACTTGAAAGTTGCCAACGTCCACTCGGCCTCTCGTTCCGACAAGCCCACGAACGCATCAGCAGGAAACGTCGTCTTGGCTGCCAGTCTAGCTCTGAGCGAGACAAGCTTTGGGGAGGGTGCGAGGACCGCCAAATGATACCACTCTTCCGTCTCATCTCGCGCTGAGATATCGCCGAAAGCTTCGTAAAACAGCTGACCAGTTTGCCAAAAGACTTGAGCCTCTCCCGCCTCCTCCGGCATGCCCAAGACCGCTGCCGACATCTTCTTCTCCTTCTCAAATCCCTTTTCCATCATTGCCTTCATATCATCCACCTTCCGACTCTTCGACCACTCACTCAACCTCTCCAACACCGTATCGGCATTGTACAGCCAAAGCTCGTCGACAGAGAACCGCGTGCCGAGCCGGCCGACGATCTCGCAGAGGTTGTGGAAGATTTTGTCTTCGAGCTTGGCGGTCGTCGAGAGGGGGAGCTCCATAATTGCCAGCTCGTCGACGCAATCCTTGTCCCGATCAGAGCTTTGAAATTTCGCCTCGGGATATACCAAATCGCCCCAAAGCAGTATATGGACCGCCTTGATATTTCGGCAAGGCGGGCGCGCCTTCTGGCCGAGATTCCAGTCCCCGCCAATGACACATCTGAGCTGCCCAATCTCCCCCACGTTCGCCTTCACCACAAGTGTCTCTACACAAGGCATCGAAGGTATATACTGACCAAACACGGCGCCGGCTGCAAGGCAAGGTGTCGAGAGGTGTAGCCGAGTAGCAGCGGGGCAAAGTCGCTCAATGAGGGCGTTGTTTGGCAAGTTCGTATCTCGAACGACTTTTTGTAGGGCGTTTCTATTGGCGGCTTGGTCGATGACGGTTTCGACAGCAGGGAGAGGCGGGAGTTTGTACCAGTCTGCCCATACTGAATGATCGACAGGCAGCGGTGCGCGCTCTACAACCACCGTCTGTACAAGCTCCAACAGCTTGGTCTTTCCGTAGGGCCCGCCTCCCCCGCCAGCGTTCACGCCGGAGAAAGGATTCAAGACGTTCGAGATTGGTAAGGAGCGATGGAGTTTTTGAGCGATGAGACCGAAGAAGAGGCGAGATGTGCGCAGGAGAGATGTGAGGTCGTTGCCGGCGGAGAGGTGGGAGAAGATGTCGTGGAGTATGTCTAGGGTGTGGGCCACTTTGGAGGCGGAAGACATCATCGTTTGGAAGTACCTTGACAAGTTGGAATCAGCATCGAAACCATTGCGGGTAGTAAAGCTAGACGCACCTTCGGGACGAAATACAGCTTTTGACGATGCGAGCGGTTTCTGGGATCTTTTGCAGGAGCTGGAGTAGGTGTATCGTAAAGACAGCGAAGTGCAGTCAACAGGGGATCCTTAGCAGAATTCTGAGTCAAAAGAAATGATGACAGCCGAGAATGCAAAGAACGTAAAATCAACTGATAAGTGTACGTAGTACTTCTCCGCTGTGTGTCCGAGGCCGCCTTACATAATGTGATTGCATCTGTTCTCTTGCACCACTTGTGGTTTCAGCTCGTAAGGAGCATACATAGTAGTAGCTAAAATAGTATATGACAACGGTAAATAGGTGAATATCAGAACACAAACAACAGCTCGTCGGCGTCGAAGAAGCGGAAGCTGCCCATACTTGTATCTCAAGTCAGTCGAGCTCAAGAGCCATCGACAAGACCTTCACTCACCTCCTCGCCTTCATGGAAGATTCATCACCACACATTATTCCTTGTAGTAATCCAATACCGTCTGCACGTCATGCTCCTTAAATCCCAAATAATGATCCACAGGCTCCCCCGTCCGAACCGCCAACTGCTGCCAGAGAGCTGTGAGTCTTGCCGATGGTTTGATGACTGCCAATATATACCATGCCTCCTTTTGAACGCTTCAATGCAAGCCGAATGTGTCGTAGAACGTCGTCACAGGGTTGAAAGATACAACCGATACCTCCTTCCCATCGCCTGCCCAGTCATGGACTGTATAGAGCGAGGTGCGGTGAGCGTGGTGAGAGAATGGGTGGTAGGAGGGATGATGTTGGAGGGGGCGAGAGTCGATGAGCAAAGGTGAGTTCTTCTCCCCCTCCTTCTGTTTCTTCGTGTTTCGTGTACGAAGATGGGGCGCTGAATACATGTAGGAGGTTGGCGCGACGTGCGACGAACTAGGAGGAAAGTAACGGCTGTCGCTGTTTGATGGACTATTCTTTGATTCGGCGTCGCTTGGTTTCGGATAGGATTGTCAGTGTTGGTGGTGGTTGACCGGGCGTGGCGGTTTTCGTGGCTTGGACCATTCTTTCTTTTATATGACTGACGATATATCATGACATTTTTACTTAATAGGACACTTTATAAATTTGACGTTTGACTGTTCTGTCTAGCATTTATCGACACGGTTGCAGACATCCGGACGTACGAATACCGACAGTGCGCGCCCTGTCTCCCGGCAGAACGCCTCCTTCATCTCCCTCAACGTATCCTCCACCGTCGGTATATTCCACAACCTAATACTACCAGCCCACTCCGCGTGCCTCTTCAGCGCTGACTCCACATTGTACAGATGCAAGACCTTCACATGTTCCCTATATCCCAAGTCTTGATAGCGGCGCACAGGTCGGTTGGTATGCGCCGAAACGCCTTTGAAGGATACGCCTTGTCGCCCGAGAGCAGCAGGTGTACCTGGCGAATATTAGGGCAGTGTGCCATTCGGGAGGGAAGGGATGGGCTGCAAGATCCTTGCGCCGCAGGTATACCACGGTGTGGCAAGATGGAGTCGAGTGGCGGAAGGACAGAGTCTTTCGATGAGGGCGTTGCTCGGGAGGGAGGTATCTTGACCCCCTGCCTGTAGAGTATAGGTGTCGGCGGGTTGGAAGATGACGTTCTTGACAGAGGGAAGGGGAGGCAGTTCTTCCTACCCCGCCCAGATAGGGCGTTTGGGGATTGGCGCTCGTTCGACTACCACTGTGCGAACATACGGTAAGAACTGTTCTCTGGCGTAGGAGCCAGAGCTGCTTGATCCCCCACTAGAGCCCGAGAGGGAGACAGTGTTGAGAGCGTTGGATATGGGCAGCGTAGAGTAGAGCTTGCGGCCGGCGATATGAAAGAAGAGGGGAGATACGCGTAGGAAGGAAGTGAGGTCTCTGTCACCGAAGGGGTGAGAGAGGATTTGGTCGAGGATGTCGGAGGTAGTAGCCACCTGAGCGGCAGCAGACATGCCTTGGCTATGGTTGGAGTCTTTCATGCTGAGAAGACGGATCATGCTGAGAAGACGGGTCATGCTGAGAAGACGGGTCATGCTGAGAAGACGGGTCAGATATCGTGAATCGCGGAGGATCGTACATACCTGGAGGTCGCGGGAAGCGACTCGCTCGGCCACGGCGGCAGCGGGGAGAGGGACAGTCGCGAGTTGGGTAGAGGACGTGGTGGACTGGTGGTTAATGAGGGAGATGCTTGATGGGAGCGTGAAAGTGGAGTACAGCGAGGGAAGAAAGAAAGAGATCGTTGAGAGATCGTCAACTGATGGACTCGCTACTACTCACCCTTTGTTTGGTTCCGTTTACATAAGCATGAGATGCAACTTCGTTCAACTACCGAGAGAATCAGACTAGGGTGCCCATACCAGTTGATCGATGGGTAATGCTCTTCCGTGAACCGCCCCCCAGATGGACCGCGTCAACTTGGCTTTCCCGCAAGTCTTACCTAGCCTGTCGCCATCCTCGTCCAAAAGTGCGGTCTCATGAAGAGGTTTCATGCGTTTGGTATCGCTGGGGACGATGGATATAGGCATCGAGCGATGGAAACGAGGTGGAGCAATTTCGTGAGTTGGAGCGATGCCGGCGGAGAACTGAGTGAAGACGATGTCGAGTCCGTCTGCAGCGTGGGCGTGATGTTACGGATTCAACAGATCAATTCGGTATAACAGTCATACACCCAAAGAAGAGATCCAGAGATCGGCAACAATGGCAAGCTTGATCCCCTTCTGGCAAGCTTGGGCAAATGGGCGAGCGGAGCAGCAACGTCGGAGTCAGGGGAATACACATGCGGGAACTTGACTACTGTTGAGGGGTTTACGAAACGTGATATTATGCCCTGACGGTAATGGTTTGCGTTCAGAGGCTCGTCGCGTGGACGCGTCCTCGAGTCGGCGATCCGAGCGCTCTGACATGGCATCGCGGATGACGCTGCGTCTGTATCTGGCGTGAGCTGGAATCATACATCTAGCATCTTCCTGCCAGGAGCATATGCAACTGTGACCAATATGATATTTGACATGCTATACATCAATGCTATACAGGCGGACAACGTCAAGACGTAGACGTGTTGGTACCACCACCACAACAGCTTGATAGGCGGGGAGGAGGTCGGTACCGAGGATGGAGAGCTCTGCTATGGCTTGAGTAGCCCGACACCTAACACCCCTGTCCCTACTACCAGCTCAACCGTCTCATTGCCTTTTCCCTCGTTGATCTGCCACATCGGGGAGTGGAGGGCTCGGGTGATACTGCTTTGGTTGCATGTCGAGTAGGGATAGGGGGAAGGGGTGAGAGATTGGGCGGGATGTGGCGGGCGGGCGTTGATAAGTAGAGAGACTGAGGGCTCATGCCGGTTTGATGGGAGGGGTTCATTCCTACTTGTCATCAGTATCTCATCTTCACTGCTTCCAAGCGGGCTCACCTCTGCTTGATCATACCTTCAACCTGTCGTCCCTACTGTCAGCTCAACAGTCTCATCAACTCTTCCCTCACTAACCCACTGCCGCGAAGCGCCCTTGGCGAGTGAGAGGGCTTGGATGGTGCTGCTTTGTTCGCGTGGGGATATGGGGAAGGGGTATGAGGTTGGGCGGGGTGGGGCAGGTGCTAGTAGGGAGGGAGGCTGAGGGTTTGTGCTGAGTGATGGGAGGGGTACATTCCTACCTGCTTGTTGTCAGTGTCTCATCTCTACTGCTCTTAAGCAGACTTGCCTCTGCTAGTTTGCGTCCTCCAAAGCCTTCCTGTTCAGCTTTGTCCCATACCGCGCATTCTCTGCTCATGATCAAGTCTCTGATAGAGCCTCCTCTTCCAAACGCTCTTTGTGCGCACCTGGTAAGATGCCCAAAACCGATAGCGTGCATGTGAACCTTTGTCGTCAAAGTGAAAAGCTGCCCATCAATGAGCCGAGTACATGAGTCATTGCCAAACATGCCACTTACTTCTCCCCCCTCCCTGCCGCCAACAATACCCAGTTCTAGCCCTTGTAGGTATCAAGGATTGTCTCGACATTCTTTTTGCTCAGGCCCGAGAAGTAGTCAAGTGGCTCCCCCGTCCTATCCGCCAACTTCTGTCTGAGAGCAACGAGCTTTGCCAAAGGTTCTGAGACTATTGACCTATACCATGCCTCCTTCTGGCTGTGTCCGTATGAGCCGAAAGTTTTGTAGAAGGCCGCTGCAGGGTGAAAAGACACGCTCAATGACTTCTTCTCTTTTTCACTTGCCCCCTCTTCACTTGCCCCTTCTACACTCACCCCCTCTTCACTCGCTTCTTCCTCATTTGCCTCATGTTCACTTGCCTCATCTTCACTTGCCTCATCTTCACTTGCCTCATCTTCACTTGCCTCATCTTCACTTGCATACTGTTCCTCCTGAACAAACGCCTCCTTCACCCCTGTCAACATTTCCTCTGCTGTCCGTACACCAACCCGCCATCTGCTGGGATTACAATTGGCAATCCTCTTCAATATCTCCTCTACATTATACAAATGCAGGACCTCCACCTTCTCCAAAGATGCTAGATCTCTGATAGAATGGAGGAGGCGGCCCGGCCATAATAGAAAGCCAACAGGTGAGCAGACAAAGCGCCAAAGAGCTCCATCAAATGATGGTATGTTACCCCAGACTTGTTTGGCCAGCCTATGTGGTCTAAGGGACCGTAAGGGTACTCGATGTCGCCCCACAGCAGTAGATGCACTTCGCGGATATTGTAGCACCATGCCGACACGGCGTCATTTTCCAGCTTGACGCCGACAAGGTTGTGGTCTTCCATGTCGGCAGCTTGCCCCTTGAGCACAAGGGTGTGCACATTGGGGAGGAACGGGATACGCTGGAGAGAGTCTTCGCTGCTGGCATAGCGAGGCGTAGAGAGGTAAAGTCTAGTAGCAGAGCAGCAGAGTTTTTCAATGAGGGCATTGTGGACCATAGCGCAATCTTTCCTGCTTCTCTCCACGGACCAGGTAGGGCCGCGCTGGTAAACCACGTTCTCTACGGAGGGGAGGGGAGGCAGCTGTTCCCATCCCGCCCAGGTAGGACGGTTGGGTATCAGCGCTTTTTCGACTACAACCGTCCGGACATATGGGAAGAACTGCCCTTGGCCGTATGATCCGCCCAAATGGTTGCCTACAAGACTCATGCTGGAAAAAGGATTGAGAGCGTTGGATATGGGTAGTGTGGAGTAGAGCCTACGGCCGGCAATGTGAAAGAAGAGTGGAGATACACGCAGAAAAGACGTGAGGTCTTTGTTGTTAAGGGGTGGGAAAGGATGTGTTCAAGGATGTCGGCGGTGTTGGCTACACAAGCAGCAGCGGCCCTCCTAGGGCTAAGCCTAAGGCGCATTCTGAGGAATTGGGTCAGTTTTTCACACGTCACAGAGGGTCGTACCGAGCACACCTTGGATCCTCGGGGACGACGTCTCGGCGCTGGCGGCAGTGACAAGGTGAAGAGTGGCCGCTTGGGTAGCACAGCGGCTGGCGTGATGGCTAGCGAGGCGATGGTAGTGAATGTACAAGACTGGGTATCTGGAAGACAGCGAGGAAAGACACATAGAGACCGCCCGAGAACAAATTAGAGCTGAGTTCGCTTCCGTCGCTATTCTTCAGTGTTTGGTTCTGTGTTTACATAATCAGGACATGGTACAGCAGAGTACTTCTTGACTGCTGCTGAAGGAAAGGAGGAGATTCAGGCCAGATTGCGAATACCAAGGGGGAGATCCGATCTGTTCCTTGATGAATAGGTCTCCCCAAGGATCCAATTTGCAAAGGATGTCTTCCAGCTCTATTAGGATCCGCAGCACATCGACCTTCAACATAAGAGTCTTGACTCTTGGCAAAGATGGCAGAGGTCTAACCGACTCATCGCCGGCAGGATCATGGGGGAGGGAGATGTTGAGTCGCATAGCAGAAGGGCGAAGCCACTCCATGAAGATGCTTCTCGGTAGAGTCGTATCTTCTCCGACTCGTCCGACAAGCCCAAGTGTTTCGCGAAAACCCTCATCCGCTTCAGAAATGCCCTTTCCATGCCTTCTTTACTCGTCTCGAGCCTTCGACTAGTCATTTTTCCACGTGTTCAATATATCCAGCATCACCTCAACATACATCCGGGAAAAAGGGGAAAAAGATGTCCAGCTTTTGACACCGCCCGGCGAGCTGTGCGGTTTGTATCGCGGATTTGGATTTGGGGTGGCAGGTCGCGGAAGGCGGGAAGGTTTGAAGATGAGGTGAATCTGTTATAGAGAATGCCGAGCCGAAAAAAGAGACAAGAGCGCAAGTTTGTCGAGATTGTCGAAACAGCGGACAGCGGACAGGGCTGTTGTTCTTCTCTGCTGTGTGTTCAAGGCCGCCTTACATAGTGTGGTTGCATCTGTTCTCTTGCATGTAATACATACAATGATCTATAGGCGATATAATAAGAAGCAATGTACAGTCCATGGAGAGCTACTAATCAGTCAGCCCATGCCCACCCAAGTGCACACCACTCACATCTACACCAACGCAATCTCCTCGCTCGTCATCTCCGGTATAATCTCCCCCAGTTTGTTCAACGTACACTTCCTCCTATCCCTCAGCCTCTCCACCCTCTCCACCGCCTCCTCCTCCCCCACCCCCTTCTCCACCAACGCCTCCACCATCTCCAGCACCTTCTTTCTGCGCCTGTAAAACTTGCGCTCGCTATCGTCGCGGAAGCGCTTGCCGCGCCGGCGTTTGCGGGGGTTGCCCTCGTAGATATCGCGCACGGCGGGCTGGCCGTCCCAGCCGATGGTGTATTCTTTCCAGAGGTCGGGCACGGATTTGACTTCGCGGGACATTGTAAAGTTTTGCGAGGGCGTGCCGAGGGAGAAGGATGAGAGGGGGGTATCGCTCGATGCGGGGATGGGGTGGGGGTGGGAGTGGGAGGGGGTGTGGACGGCGGGGTGCGGGTGGGGTTGGGCCATAGACTGGGATTGTTGGGCGAGGGAGAAGAGGCTGGAGAGTTGCGAGTTTTCGGCGGCGCTGGATAGGTTCCCGAGGCCTGTTAGACCGCTCAGGTTCCAAGCCGTAGGCGATGAGGTATTGTTGGCAGGTCTTGACGGGCCTGCAGTCGCATTCACTGGCGCTGCTCTTTCCACCCTCACCTCTTCCCTCTGCCCCTGCCCCTGCTGGGCCTGAGACTGAGGCTGAGCCCCCGCCTGCGCCTGAGGAACCGCCCGCCCCACCCCCGGCTCTTTCCACTCCACCCTCAACACCATTCCCTCCATCCCCTCCCTCACCCCCTTCCTCACGCCCTCCTCCACCGCCCGCCGCACATCATCCACGATCCCCGCATTCAGCGCCCTCACCGACCTCTCAAGCTCCAATAAGGCCTGGGCCTGCGCGGAGGCGGCGGTGGAGGAGGAGTGGGAGGAGAGGGAGGAGGCGTGTTTGAGGGATTCGATGGCGTCGTATATGCGGGTGAAGGCGGGGGCGAGGTTGGGGGTGTAGGTCTGGCTGGGGGGGGCTTGTTGTTGTTGGGGGAGGGAGGGAGAGTGGGAGGGGAGGGAGATGCTCGCGAGGTGGGCGAGCGTGTCGTCGCCTGGCTGGGGCATGTTCGTGGTCCGGACACAACGAGTCCAGGTCCAGGTCAAGGAGAATAGAGTGGGGAGGCATGTGAATGGCGGGTTGTCCGGACATTTACGGAGTTAAGGACTTGTGGCGTGGCGGCCGCCGGGGGGTTCGGCGCCCCCGAATCCTCGATAGAGGGACATGGGACATGGTTGCTTTGGAAGTCGTTTCTCTGCAGCAGCACGTTGTCATGCACCTCAATACGTAGATTTTGGATCTTTGGGGTAGTGGATAGAAGCTCCAATGGCTGCAGAGTGCCCCGGCCTGACAAGGAGCTTTACTTGGGAATTGGAATTGGTTTTTCCGAGCGACTTATGCCTGCCTTCCTTCGAGTGGGAATGTAAAGCAATTGTCAAAAACACACCTCTTCAACCCCTCTCTCAGACCCCTCACGAGTATAGACCTCTGCTCGAGCAGCCACCAGTCACCAGCCAGCCATCCACCCAGCCATCAGACTTCTTTCGAGCGATCGAGAATCTCGGCTAAATCCCATCGGGGAATTAAACCTCATCCATCGGCTTTGGCCGTCTGGCTCTTTCTTTTCTTTGTCATCTTTTTCTTCCCTCGCAGAAACCGGGCCGGGGGAGACTTGACGAGGGTCAGCTGTCGAGAGTGCTGGGAAATAGAAGGCCTGGGATATCTTGATTTGTAGAATGTGTGCATGATTTTTGGTGTTACTGCTCTTCTGTTGAATCGAAACAAAGAAGCAGCAAGCCTCGTTCACGGCCAAATCCGATACCACGCGCCATCTAGGGTCGGCGACTTACTCACTTCCCCCAATCGATCTTCATTCTCTTTCTCAGCAATATCGTGTCTATCTCTACCCCCGCCCACCGCTTGACCTGAGATGAATATGCAAAATCAAGATTCACCGACATTGTCGACGACTGATCACGACATGACGATGGACGGCGCTAGAGAGACGCCTGCTACTTTGGCTGGATCTGCTCTCAGCAAGATCTCCCTCGAAGACTCTCTATCGAGCCCCACGGCAATGGCCCCCATACCCCTCCGGAAACAATCCCCATCATCCCTCTCTTCCGCCCCGCCCAAAACACCCTTCCCCGGCACCGGTACATTCTCCAACCCATTCATCGTCGACTACCTCCCCTCCGACCCTCTCAACCCCTACAACTGGCCCAAATCCAAGCGGTGGGGCGTGACAATGTTGATCGGGGTGACGGCGTTGTGTCCGCCGTTTGCGAGTGTGTCGTATTCGGCGACTTTGGGGGACGTGGTGCAGGATTTCGGGATCAGTCGCGAGCTGGCGACGGCTGGTATCAGTCTATTTATCGCCGGTCAGTCCCTCTTCCTTCTTCCCATCTTCTGACGAGTGAAAACTAAACAGGAGATGTAGGATTCGGCTTCGGCCCCCTCATCTGGGCTCCCCTCTCAGAAATCTACGGCCGCGTCCCCGCCTTCCTCCTCTCCTACCCCATCTTCACCCTCTTCAACCTCGGCACCGCCCTCTCCCACTCCACCGCCCCACTCATGGTCACGCGCTTCTGCGCCGGCTTCTTTGGGGGGGTGACGTTGACGAATAGCGGGGCGCAGATTGGGGATATGTGGGCGGTTTGGGAGAGGGCGGTGGCGACGAGTGTCTTTGCGTTGGCGCCGTTTTTAGGGCCTGTTGCTGGGCCGGTGAGCGATTTCTCTTCTTTAAGGGGAAGGGGCTGATGTGATGTAGATTGTGGGGGGGTATGTGGCGGAGAAATGTGGGTATCGGTGGGTGTATTGGATTCAGTTCATCTTTGCCGCGTATGTCTTCTTCCTGCCCCTCTATTTAAAAAAGCGCTGACACTTTCTATAGAGTCATGACGGTCCTCTGTATCATTTTTATCCCCGAAACATACGCGCCCACCATCCTCCGGCGAGAAGCCATCCGCCTGCAAAAAGTCGCGCAAGAAGAAGGCAGGGACGAGCACTTTCTCTCGAAATATGACATTGAGCGTAAAAGCAAGAGCGAGATTATCCAGATTGGGCTGTATCGGCCTTTCCAGATGCTGTTCACGGAAGTTATCGTGGCTTGTTTGAGTGTCTATGGAGCTTTAATATATGGCATGTACGTACTTTCCCCATTCGACTCAAAAGCGAAACTAAACAGAAATCACAGTCTCTACCTGTTCTTCACCGCCTTCCCCATCGTCTTTCAACAAACCCGACACTGGTCCATCGGCCAGTCCGGCCTCGCCTTCCTCGGAATGGGTGTCGGCCTCATGGCCGGCGTAGCCATCAACCCCTCCATCTCCTCCTACTTTTACACCCGCTCCCACCTCATCGACGGCCGTCCCCCGCCCGAATCCCGGCTCCCCGTCTGCTGTATCGGCGCCGTCCTCGCCCCCCTCGGCTTATTTTGGTTCGCCTGGACCTCCGCCCCGCCCGTACACTACATCGTCTCGATTATCGCGTGTATACCGTTTGGATTCGCGTTCTTGTTGATCTTTACGTCGATGACGAATTACTTGATTGATTCGTATGAGCTGTATGCGGCGTCGGCGTTGGCGGCGCAGGCGGTCTCGAGGTGTTTGTTTGGGGCGATTTTCCCGTTGTTTGCGAAGGATATGTATGAGGGGATGGGGCTGCATTGGGCGGGGACGTGTGAGTTTCTTTCTTTCTTCTTGTGGATGGGTAGGGAAGGGAGAGCTGAAGCGGTTGGTTAGTGGTGGCGTTTTTGGCGCTGGCTTGTACGCCTCTGCCATTCTTGTTTTATCGATACGGCGCTTTCCTGAGACGTAAATCGCGGTATGCGCCTTCTATCGTCGTCTCTTCGAACCACGACGAAGAGAAGGGGGAAGAGAAGGAAGAGGAGGGGCTGAGCAAAGTGCAGTCGAGGGGAGAAGAGGGGTTGGAGCCGGAGTGGGCGAGGGATGCTGGGGAAGGAGCGGGAAGGGAGAGGGGGTCGGTGAAGGTGTAGGGGATAGTGTAGATTGAATATTATATGGTATGATACGCAGATGGTGTGCATGTAATTGTATGACATGATTGGGCTTTGGTGCGTGGTAGAAGAGTCACACTCGACGCACGGATTGTAACAACAACGAGCAGCAGGAATGAGCGGGCTCGTCTTCTTGGGGTCATATATCATGATGCTACAGAACTTTCCCAGGGGTGTATGGGTGTAGGTGGGGATGGGGAGCTATTAGGAGTCAGCAAAGAGTCGAGAAAATCGAGAGCAGTGGCTATACAGACCCGATACGCGACGCTGAAGGAAGTCCGGTTGCCTGCGGTGTCGGCAGATCGAGCGTGACAATACGGAGCTTTACCAAGTAGACATCGTGCGCCGAGAGGTAGCGGAGGGGGCGAGCACAAAGACAGACTAAAGACGAGACGATATAGGGGACGATGAAAACAAAGATTTTGAGTGCTCAAGTTTCGACCGGCGGCCTCAAATATACCGCGCAGAATATATGAGGCATTGACGGCAGTCTCGAAGGCTTTACGCACCTCTTTAGCTCATCGGAGCGTGGTATGGCTTGCGTCGCGTGGCAACGGAGACTCCATGCGAGGCACGAGATGAGGGCCTGGCAGCAAAGGATGTATGGGCACACTCGCTCATCGCAGCATCGAGTGGCCCGTGTAGCGACGAGGGGGTGAAGGCAGCGGGGGTAGGTATATAAGCAGCCATCCCACCATCATCCAGTCCATCACCACAACCATTCGCCTATTTCTACCACTACAACTTCACGCCGGGATATACACCATACCACACCACCATCATCATGTCTCTCATCGCCTCTGTCTCCGCCCCCCAATACCCAGCCCCCGCCTACCTCGCGTCCCCCGAGAGCCCTGAGATCGCCACCCAGCCGCCTGCGTACTCTGGGAACGTTAGGTCGCAGTACGACCTCAGCTTAGGGTTAGCCAGCTGGGGGGTGTCGACAGAGAGGTAGGCGGGGGCTGGGTACTGGGGGGTGGCGACAGAGGCGATGGAAGACATGATGATGATGTTGTGGTATAGTGTATATCCCGGTGTGAAGTTGTAGTGGTGGGAGTAGGCGAATGGTTGTGATGATGGACGGGTTGATGGCTGTGGCATCGCTGACTATGCTTAGTATATGGATCCCTTTGAGGCCAGTGGAGGAAGAAGTGGATTTCGAAAGGGCCCAAAAGCTAGAAGAGATGATAGAGATTTTCCGCAGGGTGCGTTGTACCTGTGGCATCATGACACAAGCTGACTTGTTTCCAGACGGAGCTCAAGTACGCCAAAAGGTGTACATGGGCGTTTTGCGGGGTTTCTCTTCTAGTAGCTTTAATGATCGTCATTGCGATGGTCGTGTCGGCGAGATAGCGCGATAGGTGAAATTTTGTACGGTATGACTACTTTTTGGGCTTTTGGGATGTACTTGTATGTGTTGTGCATTGATTCATCGAGACCTTCCTTTTTTCCCATTGAAAGGCGCCCCCAACTTCACAGAGGGCCGTGGGCACAGAACAAGTCTGCCTCGTATGATATTCTATTGCCTTCCATTCCATCCCGTCGCGTACCTTGCATCAGCCCACCCCTTCCGTAAGTGGGCCCATCTATCGCCTAGCCGACACTGCGGGCCCCTGCTTCTTTCGCTTTGCCTGGTCTGTAAGTAGCAGAGAGTGTGCCTTCACCGACTGCGCTGCCATCCTCCCCCGTCACGCTTGGCCGTCCATCAACAAGTAGACAGCGTGATACCGTCGGTCATATTCAGCCTCCTTACCTAGCCCGCCTGGGGGGCCTGGGACCTAGTGCCAAGAGCCAGGAATATCGAATCGCAGTAGTTGCATGTGTGCTTTCACAGCGTATGGCATGCTTGAAAAGCTGAAGTGGCGCCCAGTCAGGAACAAGATTAGCAGGTTAACAGCTTGTTCGTCAAAGCCTAACGAGTTCAAGGGCCCCCCACTTGAAACCGGATACGCCGATACAGCTTGTTTCATGTTTGTACGCGCTGGTTTTCAAGACCTCCGACGCGATGCATTGGATGATATGGGAGAGTGTCTTGTCCTAAAACAACAACTGCCTTGGCGGTTTGGTAATAGCACATTTTGGATCGTTGGAAGCTTTGCTATCTCGGTGTTGGTCGCCTGTGGCCGTGACAAACGCAAAAGCGCCTCGTAAAAAGAGCGACGCGGGCGATTCAGAGTGATCAAAGTTTACAAGTCTGTTTGCTATTGTGTATTGTCTCACTAGAAGCAGATGCATTGAGTGGGGCGTGATGGCGACGAGTGGGTGAAGGGAGCGGGGGTAGGTATATATACAGCCATCTCGACATCATCCCGTTCATCACCACACCATTCGCCTATTTCCACTTCTACCACTCCAAATTCACACGGGGATCTACACTACCACAAAATCATCATCATGTCTTCCATCGCCTCTGCCTCCACCCCCCAACCCCCAGCCCCCGCCTGCCCCACCTCCTCCGAGAGCCCAGAAACCCCCACCCAGCCCCCTGCGTACTCTGGGGCCGCGCAGTACGACCTCAGCTTGGGGTCGCCGAGTGAGGTCGAGCTCTTGAGCGAGTCGTTGCCTCCCTACGAAGAGGAGAGCACGATGGAGCCCAAGACGCTGGCCACGACGCTCTGGCGATACGGCTTTGTCTGTCCTCTGCTGTGGCTAATTGGAATGTTCATGTGGGTTTCATCTTGTCTCCTGTGGCATCTCTGACTCTGCTTAGCTTGTGCATTCCTTTGAGGCCGGTGGAGGACGAGACCGACGCAGAGAGGGCCCAGAAGCTCGAGGAGATGATAGTGATTCTCCGCAAGACGGAACTCAAGTACGCCAAGAGGTGTACATGGGCGTTTTGCGGGTTCACTCTTCTGGTAGCTCTGGGCGTTGTGGTTATAGTGGTCGTGTCGACAAAATAGCGCGATGGGTGAAATTTTGTATGACTACTTTTTGGGCTTTTGGGATGTACTTGTATGTGTTGTGCTTCCTTTTACTAAAACTTGGCAAAATATCCATTGAAAGGCGGCTCATCCAACCCCTTATCGTGCACTTTTACCGCCTCGGAAGGACCCACAAATGCGATAAAGCCTTTGAATCACTAGCATCTGCCATGATCCAAAGCAGACAAGACGTGCGGCAATGTACCGTTCATATCTTCCACCAGAAGATAACAATCGTTTATATGAAATGCGTTCATTGTATACTCAACCTTTGAGAAACTCTGGCATCATATGTTGTACAATTCATGGCTGGCGACCCCACTTCTGCGGCCGATCGTCCATCTCCCAGACCCATTTCCCGCCTTTCGTCACAACATCATGGCCCACCTCTATCCCTTCCCAGCTTTCTCCCTCTACCGTCAGCCCCTTAACATACACCCTCCCTTTACTGGCTCCATCGGCGACAACCTCTAGAACCCTTTCTCCTCCTTCTTCATCCCAAGGCGCGGTCGGTAATCGTAGCACAATCTTGTCGAAGAGAGGCGAGCCGAGGACGTATGTGGCCGAAGCAGGATCGACGGGGTAGAAGCCTAAAGCGGTAAAGATGTACCATGCAGACATTTGACCACAATCTTCGTTCCCAGAAAGACCGGCGGCGGTGTGATTGTATTCTGATGACGCGAGGGAGTGAAGCCAGAATTGGGACTTGTCGGGAGCAGACGCAAGGGAATAGAGGTATGGCTATTGCTCTCTTTAGCGCGGACAGAGGGGAAGAAGACACTTACAATATGGTGGGAGGGCTCGTTCGTGTGCAAGTTATGCCCGCCAGCAAAATGGCGGTCCATAAAGTCGACAAAGGACGCATTTCCACCCATCAGCTCTGCCAAACCGGGGACATCGTGCTGTAATTTCCATCAGCACCACTCCTCTCCTCTTCTCACCAAGCGTAATGCCTCACCATGACGTCCAAGCTATACGCCCACTTGTCGCCCTCGGTCCATCCATTTTCGTCTCCCGCCCATGACCCATCGCTGTTACGAGCTTCCATGAAACTTGTACCGTTATTCCACAGGCTCTTGTAGTTTTTCGAGCGAGTGTTAAGAAGAGATGCGGTGGAAGAGAGGTTGAGGTGGGAGAGGGAAGGGTGGGATGCGAGTAGGGCGGCGGCATGGTCAAGATCTACCCCGAACGTCAATATGTCAAAGTCTGGATGAAGGGAGGGTAGGGACATACACGCATAGTCCAAAGTCCTGCTCCCACTTTCCGTATGAAGATCATCCGCTACATAGCCCAATTTCGTATACTCGGTGAGGCCTGCGCGCACTTCTTGCGGAGTATTTTCCTCGCGGTCTCCAAATCTTCAGCCTTGTCAGCAGGTTGTTCCCGAATACCAAGCGAAATGCAGAGAAAAGGGTGGAAGAGGGATGCAGTGGGAGGGACACGTACTGGAGCTCGGTATCCCGTTCCGGCGGTGTAAAAGCATTCTTCTTGACAGCCTCCCACGCTTCGTCCAAATCGAACCCCTTCACCCCTACAGAACAGTCAGCTCTGTGACAGGGACCGAATAGTGTAAACAGGACATACCTGATAACACTGCGCCAGCCATCACCGCATCGGCAAAAGTCCCAACCATGATATTTGTCTCCACGACATTCTTCCACATCGGCATCCAACCTCCTTCTTTCCAATCTTGCAGCATACTGGTGATCATCCCCGGTACACGAGAGGGTGCAAGGAGGATGAGGAGGGGATGCTGGGCGCGGGCAGTGTCCCAGAGGGAGTAGCCTGAGTAGGACTCGCCTTTGGCTAGAGCGTCCAAGTAGCCAGAGTAGTAGGCTACGGTGTTCTCGCCATCTTCTTTCTCTGTGTCGTCGGACCAAGTGGGGGAGGAAGAGTTGGCGCGGGTCAAGAAGGTGGTGTTCTCGGATACTTCGTAAGGGTAGACTAAAGTGTGTGCGAGACTGGTATAGAGCACGGTTTTGTTTGACCCAGTCGCGCCCGAGACGGAGAGCCTGTTGAGATGTTCGGCCCACTGGGCACGGGTGGAGATGGAGGTATCGACAAACGAGGACCGGGAGGCGGAGGAAGCGGAAGGGAGTGATGAGGAGGATGAGGATGAGGATGAGGATGAGGATGTGGAGTATGAGCCAGATGAGGAAGCCGAATAGGTCGAGGATGCCGAGAATACCGTCGATGAGTCTTTTGGAGACGCAGGGAAAGGGGTGGATTCGAGCTCGATGTTCCTGAATACAATCAGTATCCCGCAAAATATCTCTTGTGAACAAAGAAGGGGGAAGAGAACATACCGTCTCGCCTGCTCGACGCTCACCCAGCTGATCCCCACTTTCATCTCCACCACCATCTCATCCTCCTCATCGCCCCCTTCAAACTCGACAAATCCCGCAAGTACCGCCCCCTCGGCCTGTTCATCGTCGTATGTGATGGTGCCGTTTTTGGACGTGGCGAAGCGAGAGAAGGGGCGGGAGAATTGGGCTACAAAGTAGCCTTTGAAGTTTTTTGCTGGGAGGTCGTCGCCGACGAGAATATGGCTGTTCATCCATTAGCTGCCATACTTCGAATTCATGAAAGGTGGTGAAGGTGTCGATAAGGCAATGGGGGACTCACTCTTGTCTCTCATCGCCCCAGCCCCATACCTCCCCCTTGTCCCAATCTACCCGGATGAAGCCATTGGGGTGATAGGGCACGCGGTCGTCGGGCTTGTCACCGTGGACTAGGAACGTAGACCTCGCTGGCTGAATCAAGATCCGGGGTACGACTTTTGCCGAGGAAGAAGCGGAGGAGGAAGGGGACAATGTTTGGAATGTGAAGCGCATGTGTCCAACCCGGGAAGCTACCAGCGCTTGTCAGTTTCTGCCCCCTATCTTGCTCGACGTAGGGTGAAGCGAGAGGAACTTGCAAGCGGTAAGTTCAGCCTCCACATGGCCCCCTTCGTCCTTGAGGAGGTTGCGGTAATAATTTGGGGAGGCGTATTCGTCTGATCGGTCGAAGGGGAGGGCGCGGTCGTCAAAGAGGACTTTGGGCGTGTTTGCAAGGCTCGGGGAGACTTCGAGAGGGGCCGATTCGCCTGCAATATGGAATCAGTACTATGACAAAAAGCGGAGACTGAGGAGAGGGAGAGACGGACCCATCCAGATAGCAGGCTGATGTGTCGCGATAAAACCGTGTAGCTTGGTGTCTGTTTGATTATACGGACACATCGAGACGTCTGTCAATATCTGCTTCAGCTTCAGACTATATGAGTTAGCAAGGAGAAATGGGAAGCGTACAATTTGCTCGAGTTTGCGGAGTCCAGCGGGTCATACCAAAAGGGGTCGAGATGGCCGGGATCATACCACCACTCAAGTTGGGCTCGGGACTATATCAGACAATCAGTTCTGAAAGCTTCAGATGGGCACTCGACTCACCCGCCGTTTCCAAGGTTGACATTGACCCATCCAAGGGCCTCGCTATTGGGCTCGAGGAACTCTGGACGCACAGTCTGACGCCGGCCATCTTGGAAATCGGCATGTCCGTACACTTCTCCCTCCGGTGCTCGTTCCAGCAGACTACGACCATCCAGCCTCTTTCCTTCTACGAGCCTTAAGAATGGATCATCCCGCTTTGGGGATGAGATGTAAGCTTGAAGGCTTTGCAGGTGGTTGTATACGCCCGAGATGGGGACGTAGATGATGGTGAGGGCGAGAAGCAGGAAGAAGATGGTGAGGGTGAGATGGTAGAGGAGGAGGAGGGTCCGGCGAAGTTGTATTGGGAGGCGAGGAAGGGGAGGTGGACGGGGAGGCATTATCTGGGTTGGAAATGAAGAAAGAGATGGATCTTCTTTGGCACATGTGACATGATCAGATGGCAGGGAGAAGTGGAGGCGCGCCGGCCGCCGGTCTGCGCGCATCTCCTCTTTCATCACGTCCTCATCTATCTCTTTCTCTTCAACTCTCTGCAGAACCGAAACCGCAATATGGCACTCCCCAAGCCGACTGGACTGGTAATGCAGATAATCATCCCCAAAGATCTCATCACTGTACGTCGCTCCTCCCTTTTCGGATAAAATCAAGAGCTGATCAGTAAGACAGGTGCACAATTGGCCTACAGGCCCGCTTATGGCTCAGTCTGCCCATGCTGCGACCGCCGTGCTGCACAAGTTCCGTGATCATCCTGATGTAAAGAGGTATCTGGAGGGGGAAGATGGCAGAGGGTGGGAAGTCATGCGCAAGGTGGTTTTGCAAGTACGCCCTGTCTTCTTCTCTTGCATGAAACCAAGGCTGATACACTCGGTAGGTGAAAGATGGAGATACTCTGAGACAGCTGGCGGCCAAGATCGATGCTATGAAGAACCCCATCGGGTATCACCTGTGGACCGAACAGCCGTGAGCGCCCCTTTCCGTCCGCCCCTGCCCCTGCGCTGCCCTTTCGCTCACGTTGGATGACAGGGAGAACATACCCGCCGCCCTCGCTTTGGTGCCCAACAAGCGTCCGAAGGCACTGAAACAAGTCCTGGACGAGGCTGGATGCGAGCTGTTCCAGTAAAACACTCTCGACCAACGGGGCACGGACCCGCCGTGTGCATTGTTGGACGACAAACAATACTAAAGCGCGTCATGCAATTCTATCTCCATTCCTCAACTGTACTTGAACAATCTCAAGTATGCACAGCCCCTACAAGAACAACGGGTACTCCACCCTCGTACGTCCCCTCCTCTCTGACGTGCTATCGCTGACATCGAGCAGTATACCTCCGGCCTCTTCGCCTCCAACCCGAATAGATCGCCCAACAAGTCTCCCACCAAACGCCGCCTCCCTCCCACCACTCCCAGGCGCCATCGATCCTCCATCCTCCCCTCCACACCCTCCAACCCGTCACCTCAAAAGTACAAGTCTTCAGGCGGGGAGCAGTCTGTCGAACGGTCCTTTGACGGTGTTATGAAGACGCTCCGGCGGATGGGGATCTCTACCCCGGGGAGGGGGGAGGCTGTGAACCAGAGCAGGTGGTCGGCGTGGTCGAGTGAGGAGAATGAGCCGCAGCAGGAGGAAGGGGAGGGGTTTTGGAAGGGGCGCAAGTCGTCGGATACCACCCGCTCTGCCCGCCCCAAGCTTTCTTTTCGAGCGAGGAAAGGCGTCCCTCAGGCATGGTCTGGCAACGAATCCGCTTCAGCTTACGAGGAAGAAGAAGGCCGCAAGTCGTCTGATGGACGTTCTATCAAGTCGAGTCGTTCCATGCGGTCTGTCAAGTCGAAGAAAGAGTGGGGACGCAAGTCGGAAGACGTTGAGCGACCTCCGTTTGATGAAGAGAGAGTTCCTGACGTGCCCGCGTTGCCGCAGGCTATGGAAGCGCCCAAGACACCCGGCAAGAAGGCCAAGTTGATGTCGGGCTTGGTCAGGCGGTTAGGCTTGACGCCGAGGAAGAAGGGGAGCTCCATGTGCGTTTTTCTTTCTCGTTTCTGTATTCAGGCTGACGTTATGGCAGGGCGCCGTCAGAGACCATGGTCACACCCTTCGACCCTTCCCAAGCTCCACCCCTGCCTCTCACCTGCACGCCCCGCACCCAAATCCGACCAGAGTCCAACCTCCCGCCTCCCCCTGGTATCCGAGACGACCTCCCCCTCCCGCGCAAAACATCCCTCTCCACTCTCCGTTCCGCTCTCACCAAGAAGGGCTCTGCGACCACCCTCCGCTCTGTCAGGTCAAACCATACGACCAACACTGCTAAGGAGAGCAACTTTGGGGCATCGTGTACGTCGTTGGTGGGGTTTGAGATGGACCTTGATGCACCGCCCCTTCCGCCTGGACTGCCGAGGCCGAGAGAGTGGGGATCGCCAAAGACGCCGCGGAGGGGAGGTGGGGATGGGAAGAGGACGCCGAAGAGCTCGATTGGGCAGCCAAAGTTGAAGGAAGAGACGTCGCCTTCGGCTTTCCTTGAGCAGATGCCGAGGAGGGCGCCAGAGACGCCAAAGAGGGAAGAGGAGGGTACGCCGGGGCTTGTTGGAGGGGATGGAGATGTTGTCATGGGGGAAGACGTCACGGACGAGTCGCTGGAGACTACTGCTATATTCACTCCACCAGCTCCGGGTCCTGCGCCAGACCCTATGCAGAAGCACCCTTTCGCATCTTCTCTTCGCTCCACCACTGCTATACGCTCGACCTCGCCCCTGGGCAACGCGTCGCCCTACTCGCCATTCTCCCTCAATTCATTCTCCCCCGCTCAGTCATCTACGCCTCTTACAGCCAAGGCCTTTGGGCAGGGGAAAGATCGAAAGCCGAGTAGGCTCGGGTCGCTTTTGCCTGCTCTTGGACCGGCTCCGGTTGCGGGGCATGGATCCAAGCCCGTGAGGGCTTTGCGGTCGAAGAAGAGTACGGACGCCTTGTCAGTCTCGGGCGCGTCGGCACTGGGCGTGAGGGATGTCAATGCTATGGGCCTGCCTGTCCCTCCTCGGTCTGCTACCTCCCTCGGCACATACTCGTCTTTCGATGGCGCGAGTACCGGAAAGAAAGAGAGCAACAAGTTGATGAAAAAGTCGAAAGCGCCCGCAGGGGTGGTGGAGGGGCAGATGAGAGTCAGTTTGGGGAGTAAGGTGGTGGGGCTGGATGTTGATGGGTGTTTTGGGGAGAAGGGAAATCCGTTTGAGAGCGTGAGGTTTCCGACGCCGGTACATTCACTTGCCGCTGGGTCTGATGATGACAGCCCTCCGCCGTCATATCAATTCCCGGCACCTCCCAGTAGCCTCCCCGCGCCCGCCTCTACCGCCTTCGCCCCCGAAGCTCGAGAGGACGAAGAGATGCTTGACAAATCCCGTACTTCTTTCAACGACGACGATATCCCGGCAACTGCCGCTGCAATGGGCGGCTGTGAGGCGGGGATGAGCTTTGACGACGGCAGTTTCTACACGAGCGAGGAACCGAGCTACGTCGAGCCTATCCCTTTCACCTTCCCCTGTCCCCGCCCCACCCACACTCCCCAACTCTCCGCCTTCCCTCCCCCCTCCTCCCCCCATACACAGAACAAACACATCCCAACCCCTTCTGCCGACTCGCTCCTCTCCCTTCAGTCGATGACGACGTCAGAGTCGTTTGGGAGTGCGCTGTCGCATGATACGAGTGTGACGGCGCAGACGGCGAGGACGAGAGGGGGAGGGGTGGATAGTTGGGAGCTGGAGAGGTATTTGCAGGAGGCGGAGAGGGGGGAGGAGAGGGGTAGGGGGGGTGGTGTGGGTGTGGGAGGGGGGAGGGGAGGGTATATCTAGTCTAGCTGCGAGATTGGGGAAGGGGAAGGCTCTTGAGGGGCTTGGGGTATCGGGTATCTTGGGGGTTGAGGTATACTGAGAGTAAGAGACGTTCTACGATGACGTTGTGTAGCTATACATACAGTTTTGAGCTCTTATGCCATATGTAGATACGCATTCATACAACAGTTGAAAGAGATGGAATCGGCGGCCGGCGCCGACACTTTGACCCCAGGCACATGGCCTCCACCTCATCTTTCGCCCTTTCGTCCTCTTGTCGTTGCTGTTTTGTTGTTCTCCATCGCAGCATGCTCGCCAGGATACGGAATCGGTTGAAGGCGCCAGTCACACCGCCAGACCCAGAGGGCGTCAACTATACAAAGGAGCATGTTTCCATCGCGCGTACTATCCGGAGGAGACAGAAGATCTTGGGCGAGGTATGGCGGCGTTTGGGCACTATCCAGTATGTGTCTCTTTCCTTCTCATGATGGTGGATACCGGCTGATGACGGGATAGGTGGGTACTGATACTGGCAGGTATGGGGTGGTTATTGGCGTTACCGTATGAAGGTCTCTGGAGGGGGACGTATGTCGATGAGCATGCTTTACAACCAGCTCAAGTACGTCTATCTTGTTTGATTCTGACAAAGTAAGGGGGAAGGGACTGATGGAGGAATAGGTGACGGTGTATTTTGATTGGGCGAATGTGCATAAGGCAGATTTGTATTTGGGAGAGCTGGAGAGGATTGTCAATACCACTTTTGAAGAGTACGTTTCTCGCCTCCTCCTTCTCTCGTTTCTTTCGGCTGACAAGTCTCTAGGCGTACAGAATACCTTCAAAGATCATTCTCAGAATCTGGTCTGCATACGAGTAATACGTCTACGGCTACATACGCGCATGTGTCACCGCCGCGGTCGGCAGGGACGGAGACTATATTGGTTTCGGCAAATTGGGTATCGAGGGATGGGGGGCCTAATTTGCGGGGAATAGCGACAATGTTAGCGATGGGAGACTTTATGAGAGGTGAGCTTGGACGCCTTCATACTTTTTGAACTTTGGGCGCATAGCTGACTTGGATAGGGCAGAATTACTGGGCGTTCGACTTTGTCTTGGTCATCGGGGAGGGCTACCAAACTGGCCTGGCGGATTTCATGGAGGAGTTTAGCAGCTTGTTCTCAGGGAAGGTATGGACAGGGGTGAATATCGATTATCCAGGACATTCATTCTCCCATCTCGGTCTCTTCTATGGTACGTCCCTTCTTCCCCAGACGAGCAAACGCTGACCGGAATGATAGAAGGAACAAATGGCCGTCTCCCGAACCAAGATACTCTCAACACCTTTTCCCGGGTTGCCAGTTCTATGGGCGTCCCTGTGCGATACCACAACATTCCGGACGAGGTTGAGGTATACCGCTGGCCGTTTGGGTGGCTGGGGCAATATCTGTTGGCGGCGAAACATCTTTTGCATCATCTTGCTTATGCTGGGCTCGGGAGGGGGAGCGGAGGACATGGTCCTATGGCTCGGTACGTTTCATCCAAGTGTTCGATCGAAGAAGAGATAGGCTTATGAAGACGCAGACATAGGATCGATTCATACACCATCTACGCTACCCCCGCCACCGGTCCTCACGGCTTCCACTCCCTCGGCCGTACGCTCGAATCAACCCTCCGCTCCTACAACAACCTCCTAGAACGACTGCACGCTTCCTACTTTTTCTACCTGCTACCGAGGCCGGGGAGGTTTCTTGAAGTGGGCAAGTACTTGCCGGCGGCGGTGCTCATGGGGGCGGGGTTGACGTTGGGGGGGTTGGATGTGCCGAGGCCGTTGGAGGCGGCGGGGTTGCTTGGGGCGGGAGGGGTGGTGGCGGGTTGTGTCTGGCTCTGGCCGTTGGTATATGTGCTGCTGCCGCTGTCGAGCCGAGTACCACGCCCGACCGACGACGTTCGCAAATCGACCGAATCACTCCTCCTTCTCACCTACGGCGCCCTCGTCCCCACCCTCGCCATGATCAACTTTCCCCAGGCTGTCATTCTTGCCCTCATCTCGATTATCTCGCTCAAAACGCACAGATGGGTGAGGTTTGGGACGAGCTTGGTGATAGTGGCGGCGATGTCGGTGGTGTTGAGGACGACGGGGATGGATATGGGGAAGGAGTGGGAGGAGGTGGGAAATTTGGTGTGGCCGGGTGTCCACGTGGTGTTGCTGCCGCTGTGCTTGGTTAATTGTGTATTGACAAAACCGTTTTGATCATGTATATCCTGTTATAGACTTGACTCGTCACAATGTACAAGTGTACGAAGCATACACTGATCATTGTGCAAGTAGGATTTCATCGCTGCGGAAAACACTGTCCTATGAAGCATGTACAGATCATGCCTTCATTGCTGAACGTCGTGTACTTTCAGAAGCACGAACGTGCTGATATCAGCATTTGCCAACGCATATCTACTGACTATGCTCCCCTTCGAGTGGTCATTGAGCAAGAACTCAGTCTCGTAGGACCACGGCTGAGGCGTCTCGGGCACGCTTACACTAGCCGTATTGCCAAGTATCCCCTCGGATTCTCGCCTGCGCATCTGTGAAAAAGGAGGATAATCATCCTCTGCCGTCCTCCCTTCTTCGAACTGGGAAATATGACCAGCTAATCCAAACCCCGACCAACCGTCTCTCATCCGTGTAGTTAGGAACGTCATATCCTCATCATTGAGCTCCCTGCAAAGCTGTGCTTGAGCTTCGAGTGTGTATGAGACGGCTACTGGCCACGCTGTACCGATTGGTTGACCAGTCTCTCTGATATGCTTTCTACAAGTCGCGGCAAGTTTGCACGGTGTTGACTTTCCTTCTTTCCCTTCTTCTTCGACGCTCGAAAAAACAAACAGAATGTGAGGGTAAGTGGGAAACGTAGTGTCCATGTGATGTTGAGATGCAACTATGCTCAGTAAATTGTCATGTATACTTTGCTCTAGATTTTGCTGATATCAGTGTTTGAACCGCGTCCTATTTGCTGTTTGTACTATAGCTCATGGCTGCACATTACTGCTCGATCAATGGTCATCAAGAATACGCAGCCAACGGATACGTGTTCTACGATTTGGGATTGGTGCAGTCTGCTTTCACGACTCGGGAGCCTCGTCATATACTTTCATTATCAAAAACGTGCTGATCTCAGCATCCGCTTTCGCATATGTATTGATAACGCCCCCTTTCGAGTGGTCATTGAGCAAGAATTCGGTCTCGTAAGACCACTGTTGAGGCGTGTCGGGTACGCTTACGCTGACCTGGTCGTTCAGTATTCCTTCCGTCTCTCGTCTGTACACCTGTGAAAAAGGAGGGTAATTGTCCTCTCCCGTCCTCCCTTCTTCAAACTGAGAAGTATTGCCAGATAGTCTGAACGCCGACCAATCGGCACCCAGTCGTTTACCAAGCATCGTCTTTTCATCCTCACTAAACATACTGCAAAGCTGCGCTTGAGCTTCGAGCGTGTAAGTGACGGACAGTAACTTCGAAGGTTGCGACTGGAAGTGGGAGGGACAAAGAACGATGTGCAGCGGCAGAATCGCCACTGGTACCAGTGTGGGACATGTACTTTTGTATGGCTTTCGCTCGCTTGCGGAGCTCTATCTCTGCCGAGACGCCATCGTACATATCGTTGGGGTACTTGTAGCTCCAGTAGGTCTTGTCTTGCCTATTGGAATAGGTCGAAGGAGCTTCTGAGCCTTGAGTCTCGCCGGGGGCTGTTTGGCGTCGTCCAGCCCAAAATGATTGGTGAAATGGCTCCGTACCGAGTGCGTGAAGAGCTTGAGAGGCGAAGGTAGTATCTTCTTAGGATAGATGTCGACGGGTGATGGGCTTGTCTTCGGCAGGTATTCCTGGTGGGATTTTGGAAGACGTTGGGCTTGAGGGTGGACTCCTGCTGGCTGTGGATTCTGCAAAGCTCAAGTTGAGATGTTTCAATTGCGCTGGGATCGACCTTGTTCGGACAGTACTCGTAAAGTATGTTTATCAGATGGGTTAACTAGGCGCAATCCGTGAGATGGTACCCGTACAGAAACTACTGCTAGCTAGTACATCGGAATGTATTCCTTAGATACCGGTCTTTGGAATGGCGGGAAAGACATCGTATGGTATGTACTTGTAGGCCAGCGCCGACAGTATGTTGTTCTTCAGACATATCATGGTCCAGGTTGCCTTGGTGCCACAGAGATGTCGTCGCTTTGCTCTGTACTCCCACAGAGAAAAGTCAGTCTCATCCCGCGGCTCGATATATGGAAAGGAAGTGACAGAAGGCTCGATGATCGTTCGTCTCACGGTCGCGTTGTGTCGTTTGCGTTTCAATATCGTCTTTTTTTCTTCTCATGAAGCAACAACTACCCACTGACTTAGTAAAGACTTCTGGACTGCATTCGAGAGCTGGATGCAAGACATTTGAAACTTGAAAGAGAAAGATGACAAGCGGCATTGGCCGACATGACCGACCGGGGGCCGGGATTCTTTGGTCCCAGCAGAGCGATCAGAAAGCAATCAGAAAGCGATCAGTGGGACGCTTTCCATCTTCCCTTCCTGAATCACTTTTCGATCAAGATCCAATACAATACCGATAAAGGGCCAGATACGACCATCTGACATCATGGCAGCTCCCGCAAATTCTGCAGTGTTACAGAACATCTACTACGAACGGGTGAGTCCTTTCCTCTGCGCCTCTCCTTATTTCCTTTCTTCTCTACCTACTTCTTGACTCTCAATGCTAGCCAGCGGTGACCGAAGATGGAATGCTGACACTACGGTATAGAAAGTAGGCACAGCGAAGTCATGTTACATCTGCCATCGCCCGACTACGACAGTCCTCGCAACGCTCAAGACGGAGGACTTTCTGTATACTTGCGAAGTGCATCTGAGCGACCCGTAAGGCTTAGGTCTCTACCATGGATGATATACGAAGTTTTTAAGCTGACTAAAGCTGTAGTGGATTGTGAGTATACTCCGCCGAGTGGAGAGAAAGCGTCTTATGTGTGTAGCGCGTCGCCAATCGCCCCCCCGCCCCAACTTTCTGCCCCTTCGGCTGAGGATATCCGCAAAGTAGTAGCCGACTATCACGCACGTGATTCCAGGAAGAAAGAAGCCTCCGCCAAACCCGACGAGAAAGAGAAAGATCCCAAAGACGCCAAATCGCCCTCTCCTGCCCCCTCCCCTGCGCCAACCGTCCCGACGTCGACACCGCCAGCGCAGCCGACACATAGAAAGTTTGCGCTTCATGGGAAGATGTTTGAAATCAGGAAACAGGAAATGCGAAGGAGGGAGCAGGGAGTCAAGGCAAGGGAAGTCGGGCGAGGTGAGTTAGAGCATTTGTCCTCGAACGGCGTCGCTTATTGGTCTCAAGGGTTGCCGCAGGTGCCGAGAGGGTCGTTCTAGTGCCAGGGTGATGCATTGTATTGTCTCGCTGTAGTATAGTCGATATTGTATGCATAGGATTCCACAGGCTGCTTTTCGAGAAGCGTGACGTTGGTAGTGATTCACTTACGTAAGCGACAAAAACATGATGGATGTGCATCTTGAACTCTGCGGTCATCTCTCAAGTGAACATCTTTTCAACATCCTCCACAACCACATCCGGCTTTTTGGACCCCAGAGACAACCATCGTCATGCCCCCAAACGCCTCAAAAACAATCTTTGGTATGCTCTCCTCCCCAAGCTTCCTGCTGGACGCTCGCTGACTCTTACTCAGTCGCCAATATCCCCTAGCAAGTATTCGCTCAATCCTCTTCTTGGAACTCCAACTAATTCGTATCATATAGCGACGTATCAGAGGAACAGCTGGCAGGTGTCTTTTCAGAGGCTGGACCCGTGTCCAATGTAGAGTACGTCTTTTATGAAGGAGGAGAGGTTGGAGCACAATGAAATGCTGATGTCGTGCGTAGGATCAAGTTTGACCCCCAGACTGGAAGATCGAAGGGATACGCTTTCGTTTCTTTCTATGGTGAGCTTGAATGGGCCCGTATAAGAATGTTTACAAGAGTATCTGCTCACCTTTTACGTCTCCTCTTCACAAATCACCGCTTCGCCCTCTTGCCCATTCTAATCGCATCTCGCCTTCTCATACCTACGTATTGTCCCTCCCCACAGACGAATCCACCGCGCTATCTGCTGTCCGCAATCTCCAAGATGCCCCTGTCAACGGCCGCAACCTTCGAGTCGAGCTGTCCACCGACGAACCCGGTCCCCGTCGGCGCGGTCCCCCTGTTGGCGCAGTCTCTTCCGGCCCTCCCGCCGCTGGACGATTTGGTGGACCATCTGCTGCTCCCGCTCCCTATGCTACTCGAGGTCCTTATGGAGGGCCTCCTGGAGGCGGGGCGGGGGGAGGCAGGTTCGGGGATAGAGTTGATACGCCGCCGCCGGCCAGAGACTATGGAGGTAGGAGAGGGGACGATTTGGATTTGAGGTTGGTGCCGCAGGGTGTGGAGCTGCCGCCGGGAGAGAAGGCTGTGGATGCTATCAGCAAGACTTTGGCGGCTATCAACCCCGGGCAGATGCAAGATGTTATGACGAGTATGAAGGTACGTCGCTTCCTCCATCCGCCAGGCGGAGGCTAATGATGTTGTAGCAACTTGTGCAGACGAACCCAGACCAGGCTCGTGTTCTCCTCTCCCAACAACCCCAACTCGCCTACGCTCTCTTCCAAGCGATGCTTTTGCTCAATATCGTCGACCCCTCCGTCCTCCAATCTATACACCCTCTCCCACCTCCCGCGGTTGCCGCGCCCCCGCCTTCGAATTATGGTCAGCCCCCCGCTCCATACGGACAAGATGCGGGCTCCAAGTACGGCCAGCCGCCGAGTGGCTATGGTGGTGGCGGAGGTGGAAGTGGAGGTTATGGATACCCCCCAGCAAGCCAGCCTCCTCAAACCTTCCGCCCTCCCCCATCCTACGCCGCTCCCCCCGCTCAAACCCCGCCCTACCCTCCCTACGGTGCCCCACCCTCCGCAGCTCACGCATATGGTTCTGCCCCTGCCCCTCCTCCTGCGCCTACTCCCATGTCGGCACCTCCCCCAGTGGCGTCGGGTGTACCTGGTATGTCTGCGCTCCCGCCAGCGGCGCAGGCTGCGCTGGCGACGTTGCCGGACGATCAGCAGGCGATGTTGATACAGGTTTTGAGCTTGGCGCCGGAGCAGATTAATGCGCTGGATCCGACGCAGAGGGCTAGTGTTGTTCAGCTTGTGAGTTTCGTTTGACGTATAAACCTATATGGATTGCTGATGATTGGTGATAGCGACAGCAATTCCTCGGGACGGCCTAAGACATGGAGGGGGAAAAGAATTTCGGAGAAGATGAAGAAGGGGATGTTGAGTAAGGATAGCGAGTGGGTGGAAGGATTATCCATAGCGCTTCAAAGAGATATTGTGGGCGACATGACGTATCAGACTCTATACTCGGAGCATGCAGCTCTGCAAACAAAGAACTTGTTTATCGAAATGGCTGTGATCTGCATCCATGCTACATTGAATCGAGCCATCATCCAAACTCTACCAGACCGCACGCGACCAATATCACCCAAACAATCCACTCGCCCGTTCTCTCATTCGTCGTCCTCAACCTCTTCCACAAATGCTCGTCTACTTTTCAGTCCATCTTTCTCAGCAGCCGGTCCTGCACCACCAGCCGCAGCCACAGGACCATTGGCGGGGGAAGCAGGCGAAGCAGGGGCGGAAGTAGAGCTTGTGCCGGGGTTGTCGCCGGGCGCGAGGACAGGTTTGAGCGTCTTGACGCGGCTGGAGGACTTGGAGGTCTTGGGGCGTTTGGATGATTTGGTCTTGGGGATATCGTATTCCCAGCCGGGGATGAAAGAGTCCACCTTTCACAAAGTCAGTTGTTGAAAGCGGGGCGTAAAGAAGACTCACAAATCCAACGTCTTCAAACAAATTGGGGAAGATCCAGATCGCCCTCTGACAGACCATCACCGTCAAACACCAAAAGATCAATCTCACAATCGCCATCACTATAAACAGTCCCACCAGACACAACACCCCGACGGACAAGTACCACACGCCTATCCTCAAGGTGACGGGCCAGAGCGGGAACATGACACCGGCGAGCATGATGAAGACCATGGCGGCGCCGCCGAGGTAGGTGTAGAGGGGGGAGCCATCGTAGAACCAGGTGTAGTAGGAGGCGGGGTCGAAGGATTGTTGGGGGGCGAGGCGGAGGGGTTTGGGCTGGCCGGGAGGAGGAAGGGCTTCGGGGGGAGGACGGTCGGTACGGAGGAAGAAGGCGCTTAAGAAGAGTCAGAGAGTAGAACAGATAGGGGAGAGAGGGCGTACAAGGGCAAGATCCTGGCAAGAAGGGCTTTGGCTTCGTCTTCTGTGGTGATGGCGGGCACCTTCTTGAGCTTTTGATATTGAGGGCTGAGAAGACATCTGACGGCGGTCTTGCCTGAACTATGCGTCAACTGATACCATCCCGAAAACACTCCTCCACCCCATCTGATCTATGGTCTTTTGCAGCCTATGCCTATACGGCTGACCTTCCTCTCTCTCTCTTCCCGCTCTGAGCGGTGCTTGGTGCGAGACAAAAGACACACCTTTGAAGTACTCGACTCGCTTCCCATTCAAGATACCCATCCTCACTTTCGGCCCCGCTTTAGCACGGAGAAAGTCTACCACATTCTTGAGTTCCGGTTCGGCCTGTGGAAGGTGGAATGTCAGCTGGGAGTGTCTTGCGAGGGGAGGTGGGTCGGGCGTACTCGTTGTCTGCTTATCGTCAGCTCTGCTCTCTCGGGAAGGGTGGGTGAAATCGGGAGAGCAACTTACTGGGCGTCTTTAACGCTGGTGGCGTCGCTGGGGGCTACCATCCTGTATGCTGTATGGCTTGTAGGGAAAAAAGAAAGAGGAGATGGGACGGATTGAGGAGAAGACCCGCGTCGCGAACGGAACCAATATTTGTTGTGACGACGTGGCGGTGGAGATCGCCGCTGGGCTGACGAATGTACAATACAGTCGCTTCTCTCAATAAGGACAGGCACAAAACAGTGTTTTTCTCTCATACCGTCGATGGAAACCTCCGTACGGTGCGCTCTCTCTCTCATGAGCGTCAGTCGCTTTGCCGAAGAGGACGGCCGCCTGGCGGACACCACCAGCAGAGAAGAAACACGAAGACGAGTACAGTCGGGTAACGTCAATCAGCCAGAGAAAAACACTGTTTCGTGCCTGTCCTTATTGAGAGAAGCGACTGTACTCTTAGAGTACGGCTCTACACAGGGGCCCAGACAGCACCATTGATTCGCTGTAAAGTCGAATGAGGGAGAGACACAGAACAGTGTACTCGTTAGCGTTACAACAAACTTGGACGATGAGTCACTCAGCGGCCCCTCTGCTTCTTACTGAAATGATGTGCGTGGCAATGAGAAGGCAACGCGATTTTCCACAGCACGGGCAGCGAGGATGCATCGAAAGCCTACCCTTTTGTCTCTATATCTCTATCAAAACCTGTACCACGCCTAATGATACTCATCATCCCACCTCAATATCCCTTCTCAACATCCACCTGGTTGATAGCCTTTCCCCTCCCTCCCTCCCTAACTCTTCGCACATTATTGATTAACAAATCCGCCCCCGCATCATAGTACCCGAAACCCTCCATGCTTGAACTCGTATGGGCAGTGACGACGACGCGCGGGTGGGTGTAGAGGGGGTGTTGGGGAGGGAGGGGTTCGGGGTCTGTTACGTCGAGGGCGGCGCCGGAGAGGTGGGAGGAGGAGAGGGCGGAGAGGATTGTTTCTGCGGAGTTGGAATAGTTAGTCGTGTAAGAAGAGGGGAAGGGGGGTGGCGTACCACTCTTGACGAGGTCGCCTCGGCCTACGTTGATGAAGATGGCACCGGGAGGAAGAAGAGCTATATCTTGATCAGTCTTGGAGGAACCTGTGAAGGAGAGATACCTACCAAACTCCTCTTCCCCCAACAGCCACTGAGTCTGAGGGGTCGACGGCAGACTGGCGATCAAGATATCTGACTTTCCCAAGAAGGTCTTGAAAGACTCTTTGTCGGTGGTGGAGTAGTACGCGGAAGGGATGTCACCTGCATAGTGGTCAGCATAGAGTTCAAACAGAGAGCAAAGCAAACACCTACCCTCGACATCACCGGTGCCCGGGATGATGTACCCATCGTCGACCCTCTTGTCACCCTTGGAGTTGGCGGCAATGACGTTGACGTTGAATGCTTTCAGAAGCCGAGCGGTTTCGCGAGCGATGTGGCCGTAGCCCTATATCTATAGTCAGATACTACCCAGAAGAGCGCCCAAGATTGAGGACGCTGAACGAGCTGGAAGGAAAGATAAAGAAGATGGGAGGGACGTACTAAGAGACCGGCTGTCTTGCCGTAGAGGGATCGCCCGAAACCTTGAGTGTGGTACTCGGGCAGTTGAGGGATGTTGCGAGTCCATACTTGATTGGTCTGGAAACGTTCTGTCAGTTGTTGTTCTCTTGTTTCTTGACGAGAGAGAGGGGACGGGAGTGAAAGGCGTGAACGTACTCGGTGGTTGAAGTTTTGCAGATGGAGCTGTTGATACACTGTTGCCAGTACGGTAAGAAGAAGCGCGTGTGATGAGGCGATCATATAGACGTACAGGTGATGATTTGGGCAATGATCCATTGGGGTATCGTCGTCGAGTGGATTCCTATCAGGCATGATTAGCTCGGGGAAGTTATGAAGCTCGAGCACTCACCAGAAGCCGAGGATATAATGATATTCTTTTGCGCTTCTTTCCCGCTGAGTACAGAAGACTTGAGGGCAAGAGCAGCACCAGCTATAGCACCAGTCAGCTTTGAATGACAGTCATCACGAGGAAGTCACTGACCGCTAGTAAGCTGTACGAGCTTCAGGTTTGGCACATCCTCGTATTTGATATACTCGGGGATACCTAGCCAGTTACAGTACCACACATCGACCTCGGCAGCTGCTTCCTTCGGGAGTTCCTCTGTGCCATCGAGGGGGTAGTAGTAGACGTGCTTGAAGTGCGTCTTGAGCTCGGCGAGCTTTTCGGGGGAGAGGGCAACGGTGAGGCCGAGGATGTCGAGCTGGGGGTGGGTGTTCGTCATTATGAGCAAGAGGGGGGTGGAGTTGTTGATGAAAAGTACATGGATCGCTCATATGTGCACCGATAACGACAAAATACACGAGTCGGCCAAATCCGTGGCTCATTGGCACTTCGGCTTTCGGTTACGGCTCCCGTCGGCTACTAGAGATCAGGCAGCCCAACCCATTTCACCCCGGCAATAATTTGGGACTTGGGATTTGGGAAGATGGAGTTGCGGCGATTTCCGTTCTCACCTTGTCCGAAATCTCCAAATCGACCGTCTTGATCAATATCTTGTTTTCAGCTCAATACTATCTCTCTCAGCCTCTTACCATCTCCACCATGTCTGCCCCAACATCGTCCTTTCGCACTATCCTCGCCTCTTCCTCCAGATCACTACGCCCCACCCTGAGACCGCGCATCCAAATACGACCATCCTCGTCCTCCTCCGCCCCTCCCCCGACCGGCCCCAGATTCACCACCGCCAAGCCCAAATCAGAATGGAAGAAGCCAACCACTATCCTGTTAATGATGGTTCCTTTTGTGACGGGATACTTGGGCTGGTGGCAGATCCAGAGACTGAGGTGGAAGCTCGATCTGATCGACGAGGTGGACAGAAATATGGAGAAACCGCCGATGCTGCTACCTAGCCATATCAAGTGCGTATCCTATCCTCTCATATATGATCATACTGATGACCATCCTAGTCTCGCTGCTATTCCCGACTTCTCCTTCCGCCGCGTTCTCGTCAAAGGTCAATTCTCTGGCCCTCCCATCCTGCTCGGCCCTCATACCTACGACGGTATTGCCGGCTACCACCTCATCCTCCCATTCCACCGCTCAGACGGTGGCTCCACCATCCTCCTCAACCGCGGCTTCATCACCACCACTCGCGCCACTGCTATCCGTAATCGCTCGCAGTCTGTCCCAGGCTTGACAGCCGATGGGCAATCGACAGGGGAGGAAGTCGTCATTGAGGGCTTGCTGCCGAAGACGGGCGAGAAGAGTGGTTTTACCCCGGACAACAAGCTGGAGACGAATGAGTGGTTCTGGAAAGACGTGGATTTGATGGCGGAAGTGGCAGGGGGGGCGGAGCAGAATGTGCAGCCGGTACTCGTCGATGCCATCGCTGGTGAGTCTTCTTCCCTTGAACAAGGTTTCTCATGCTGATATTTATTTCCAGAACCTGAGATATCACCCACGCTCCTCATGCAGCAGGGTACCCCTGTCGGTAGACCGCCCGTTGTCGAGCTCCGAAACCAACACGCCCAATACGCCGCTATCTGGTATGTCCCTCCTTCTACTCTGTCCTTTCCACGGAATGATTGAAGCTAACCTTTCTATCTAGGCTTTCTCTGTGCGCGTCAACAACAGTCATGGTGGGGTGGATCCTCACCAAGGGCCGCGCAGGAGGGAAAGGCTCGGCAGGGAAGAGACCGAAATTGTACTAGACCTTGACAGTCGTCATTCTGTCAAGTATCCTCACACGTCAGCATCATGCATCGCATCATCCATGGCTACATCAAACATGGTTGCGGCGCCGCTACTGCTGACTCGCTCGAGGATGAAAGGCAACTCGCTCGTATGGGATCGTATGGGGCCACGCGGAGATGCGTCCATGTCCGCCGGCCGCCTTGCTCGGCCTCGGCGTGCGTCCGGTTCAGGTCCGGTTGTACGACGCTGTTGTGCAAGCTCGGCGTATCTGTGCTTCTGCGACGATTTCTGTGGGTATATATACCGCCTATGCATTTCTCCCATTCTCCTCCATCTCACAACCAACATGGCAATCTTCTCTAGCCTCGCCTACAACTGGCAACACTGCGTCAACCACGTCGGCATCCCCCTGTTTTTCTGGAGACGTCCAACATGGTCTGTCCGTCAGATGCCAGATCAATCCGGAAAGGTATGCAGAGAGTACTGCTTTCATGTATCCTACGCTTACTGTTATTAGGTCGTTCTCATCACGGGGGGAAACTCTGGTACCGGATACGCTACCGCCCTCGCCCTTTACAACGCCGGTGCCAACGTCACCATAGCTTGTCGCTCTCTCGACCGCGCTCGAGAGGCTGTAGATGATATCAAGAAGAATGGTGAGAGGTCTATATGGGGTATCCGATACAACAGCCGTGCCCCGGAAGCAGAGAACAAGGTCGGCACTGTGGACGTTCTTGAGCTTGATCTCGCGGATTTGGGGAGTGTTCAACGAGCCGCTGAAGAGTACAAGACGTAAGTGATCTTTTGAAAGTAAAGTGCGACTGTAGCTGATGTTCTCTAGCCGTGTCAAAAAGCTGGACTTGCTTTACTTGAACGCTGGCATCATGGGCACGTAAGTCCCCCCTTTTTCATACACAAAACAATGGCTGACGTTGAGGTAACAAGCCCGGAAGGGCAATGGACCAAGCAAGGCTACACTCTCCAATTTGGAACTATGGTATGTCTCTTCTCCAGTACCTCTTGTATATCAATTTACTGACATCCTCGCAGGTCCTGGCCCACCAGCGCTTCGCCACCCATCTCATGCCTATCCTCTTGTCCCCTCGCCCAGAGCCGGCCAGAATCGTCACCCTCGCCTCTTTCGCGCACAACCTTGCCCCGACCGGGGGTATTGACTATCTCTCCCTCATTCGCCACCCCGACGACGTGCCCAATCCCGATGGGTCGCTCAAGAGGGGGAAGAACGAGCAAGAGAGGTGGGCAGAGTATGGGCAGTCGAAGTGGGGGAATATCGCTTTGGCGAGGTATCTTGCTGCTACGTATGACCCGAAGGAGTTGATCGCCGTGGCAGTTCATCCTGGTGAGCTTTCGTTCATATGTGTTGCGGTGCAGTCGGACGCCGCTGATCGATACAATGAAGGTTCGCTCTCGACTAACCTTTCCAATCATATCGGTGCGTTCGCCTGGTTAATGTCCAAAGCACAATGGGCTCTCGTACGTCCTTTCTCGCCGTCAAGTCTTCCCCACTGATCACGCTTTCGTCCATTTAGTCGCCGCTCCACTTTTCCCCCTCTGATGGCGCGCTCAACCAGATCTGGGCCGGTACCCTCCCCTTCCCGGAAGCTCTGGAGCTGGACGGCAAGTACGTCACGCCTTTCAACCATGTCCTGGAGCCGAGAGGCGATCTGGTGGGTGAAGAGGGAAAGAAGAAGGCGGTGGAACTTTGGGAGTGGTGTGATGAGCAGGGAAAGAAGTTTCAGTAGTCGGGTATCTGGTGGTGTATAGTCCTCTATTTCAGACTTCTCGATAAGCAGTAAAGTCGCTCGCCCATTGTCCAGTATCGGTCCCTTATTAGATGGTGGTCTTTCTCTGCAATGCACACAATTCTGCAGCTCTCTTGCCGGGTAGTGAAAGGCTTCTATGTGTACAGAACCAAGTATTCATTTTGCATCTTCATCTCGTCCGTATTCGCATCTTCATCACGTCCAGATTGACACCCGCTCTACGCCAACACCTTGACGATCCACTCGGTCAACTTGTCCATCGCCGCATCATACCCCTCCGCATACTCTCCCAACTTTTTCCCCTCCGCACTCAGCCCATGTCCCGCCCCCTGCACATAATCCACCGCCACTTCCCTCTTCTTACCCTTAAACTCTCCCAACTGCCCCAACGCCTTCTCGAGACTCTTGGACTCTTGGACCGAGATGATCTTGTCGTCGGCGCCGTGGAGGATGTAGACGTTGGCGGGGACGGAGGGGGAGAGGGGGAGGAGGAGGTGCGGGTAGCGCGCGTCGAGGAATCCGAGGCGGGAGAGACGGGAGGGGTACGGGATAGAAGCGAGGGATTCGGATAGGCCGGGGGCGCGGAGGAGGTGGTCGAGATAAACACCGTCGCGCTGCCAGATCCGCTGCAAGTTGGACCTTCCCTTCTCTGTCGCAAACTTGCCGTCGATCAACGTAAACTTGTCGGCGACGGAAAAGTCTTTCTCGTCGAGTTTGAGAAGCTCTTCGGCCTTGGCGTCGTCGTAGGCAAAGTGCGAGGGGGGGAAGGCGGTCTGGATATCCTTGGGCTTGAGCCACTCGTCGATGAGCCAGTCGTTACCCTGCCCAAAGGCAGATACCCAGCCGATAGGCCTAGGGCTGACGGTGGGCATGACGGCAGCGCCCCGGGCGGCATAGTTTCCACCGCTAGCGCCGAGGACGACGAGACGGGAGGGGTCGAGGGCAAAGCCAGAGGCGGAGAGGAGGGAGATGAGGGCTTTGGGCTTGGAGTAGGGGGAGAGGTAGGAGAAGAAGTTGTGCACGTCGGTGAGGAGGTCGGACGCGTTGGAGGGGTGGAGGAGGCGGTAGTCGGGGGAGAAGAGGATGATGCCCTTTGATGTCAAACGTTCTGTGCGATCGTCAGCATGGCGCTCGATGGAGGGGGGTGAGAGGGCGTACCAGGCAGGTCGGGAGGGAAGATACCAGCTCTGTCGCCCGAGACCATACCGCCATGGTGAAAGTAGACGACGGCGGGAAGTTTCTTGAGCTCGTCTTGCCTCTTGAGAACTTCCTCGCCAGACTCGGGCTGGCCGTCGACGATGGAAGGGGGGAGGTAGACATCGACTTTGAGATCGAGGTCTTTGTCGAACACGAGGGTGGAGGTGGGTTTGACTGATGTTTCCATGGTGGACGGGGATGTGTGGATGAAGAGAGAACGAAAAATGGAGAAAGAGACAAGTTCGATGGAGGAGTCGCAACAACGTCATAGTTACGTGACTTCGGCAGCCGATACGTCAAAGTCCCCCGCGCATTTGTCTGTCTTGCTGTCTTCTTGTGATGACAGAGGGATGAGAGGAGGCATGAGAGGGACATGGAGTGCGAAGTACAGATGCAATATTTTTTTTTCATTTCAGAGCGAAGATAATCGTATCCGATAGCTGTATAAAAACCATGCTAAATCGTTACCTTTTTCCCACAACCTTCAACCCTCTGCATCTCTCCTTAACCCATCTCATCCCATCCTATCCTATCCCAACGCCTCATACTCCACGTTAATCACTCGCCCAAGAAGAAACACAACGCTTGATATCACATGACGACCGCCGGGAAGAAAGGGGGAGGTCGGATGTGTTACAGCAAACGATTGCGAGGCTTAGAAGACTAGATAGAATGTCAGCAGTGATCACCGCGCGAAGGGGTAGACGTACGAAGGTCGCCGAGACCACCGGCGTCGATACCAGCGTTCTCCTTGACACCCATCTCAAAGTCTACCGCCAAGTCAGTAAAACACCGCAAACGACAAAGAAACTACTCACAGCCGTAGATGATGGTAGTAGCCATCAAGATACCAGTACCACTTCCAAGAGCACCCATCATATCCGCAACGACCGACAACAAACCCAAGGTCGCACCCCCAAACGCCGCAGCAGTGGGGATGATCCTCTTGAGCTCCTTGTAGATCGACGCATCCCGATGGCCAGCGAGGGTCATGCTCTGGTCCTTGAGCTGCTTGGCGACGTCGCGCGGGCCGGAACCGGAGACTTCGATCCAGGTCTTGGAGAAGACGGCGCAGGCGGTGCAGATGAAGGCGATGTAGACGGCGGTGTGGAAGGGGTCTTGGAGGGCTTTGGTAAGGGAGTGGGGGGCGGACATGTAGTAGGCGATACCGGAGACGGCGTTGAGCTGGGAGGGAGAGTCCTCGAGGGGCTACGGGAATGTTAGTCAGGAAGGAGAGAGGAGAAAGAGAAGGGCGTACCTCCCAAACACCCAAGAGTCGGACGAGCAAGTTCTCGGGGAACCTAGATGCGAGCATCTGGGAGACGAGGAAGATGTTGCTAGTCAAGGCAGACTGGAGCATGATGGGCATGTTGGAGGTGTAGAACAGCTTGACGGGGTAGGTACCTCGCTGGCCACGCATCTTGGAGCTCTTGATGGGGATCTCGATGCGGAAGCCCTGGAGGTAGATGACGGCGGCGAACACGGCGACGGTCGCGAGGAGGTTCATAATGTTGGGCAGTCGCTCGCGGTAGAAGGCCTCCTTCAACGCGCGGGTCTTGTCGTTCCAGGTGAAGAGGAGGTGGAAGAGGGCGATGATGGCACCTTCAAACTCGGGCCCTCGACCGGTGTTGACGGTGTTGGGGGAGAAGGCCTTCCAGACGATGGACTCGCAGATGTTGGTAGCGATGAAGAGGGAGATACCGGAGCCGAGACCGTAGCCCTTGGTGAGGAGCTCATCGAGGAGGATGACGATCAGGGAGGCGGAGACGAGCTGGAGAATGAGGAGGAGACAGACACCGGCGCCGAGGGAAGAGGGGGAGCCGTACATGCCAGTGAGGACGTAGACGGTGGCCTGACCGAGAGAGATGATCATGGCGAACACTACGGAGGATCAGCACAGGGCAGAAAGGAGAAAAGACGCGGAGGAAAAAAGACGCGTACACTTTTGGGCGGCACCGAAAAGAGCGCGGTCGTCCTTCAAGCTAAAGTCGACGTCGATGAGCTGAGCACCCGCGAGGAGCTGCATGATCATGCCGGAGGTGACGATGGGGGTGATACCGAGCTCCATGAGGGTGCCCCTGTTGGAGGCGAGGATGGCTCTGAGCCAGTAGAGGGGGTCGGAGGAGTCGGAGGACATGATGCCGTAGAGGGGGACCTGGGAGCAGACGAGGAAGATGAGGAGGGTGATGGCTGTCCACGCGATCTTGTGGTTGAAGATGACCTTCTTTTCAGGAGCAGTGACCTCGGGGAGGATGCTCATGAACGGGCGCACGAGCTCGAGGAAGCGGACTGGGGGGGTTAGTGGGAGTGGAGGTGAGGTGGAGGCACTTACAGCCCATCTTGGCGGTGTGGATGAGGAGGGGGGATGCAGTAGGAGTAGGCAAGGGGAAAGAGCGAGACGTGGTGCGTGGAACCCAGCCGCATCAGGGAATTGCCCAAACTCCTTACGTAACTGCCTCCACCTGCCCGCCCAAAAGTTGTCTCGCCTCTACAAGTACAGTTATCTCTCGCAACCGCCATGTCCGACGACCCCGCTGCCACCCCCCGCCCAGAGACATCCCTCGACGACAGGCCCAGGGCGGCCGGCACCGCCCCTGTCAAAGCCGAGTACGCCTACTGCTCTATTCCGCGGGACACAGCTGACATTCACCAGGTACCTTATTCGCGCGACGCCCATCGTAGAATCAACCTCCGCCGCCGACTTGAACGATATCCACCCCGATGACGCCGCCGAAGGCCACAGCCCCTCCGACTCTCGCGACTCGCGCGACTCGAAGCGCCGCAAACCCAACAAGGCCGACAAGAAGGAGCGCAAAGGCCAGAACAAGGGCCGCAAGTTTGCCATCGTCCGGGAGGCGAGTGTACGGATTTGTAGGGCGTGGGAGACCACGGGGGAGTGTGATAGGGGCGAGGGGTGCAAGTTCAAGCATAGCTGGGAGGGGTACTTTGAGGTGAAGCCGGCGGATATTGGGTATAGGCCCGAGTGGGAGAAGCAGACCGAGCCGCCGTATGTCCTTCTTGGCGAGAGGCTTGTGGGTGGGGAGGATGCGTTGGGCAAGACGCTCGATCTCAACACTGTCTGTCCTGTATACAAGGATCTCGGGTACTGTCCCTTTGGCTGGCGATGCCGTTTCCTCGGCGGGCATATCAACAAGGTCGACCCGGCAAAGGAGGAGAAGAAGGGCGGGCCGCAGAAGAGGATGGGCGACTGGGAAGTGGAGGGGTGGGAGCAGAGCGAGTTGAATGAGGAGGGGTGGAAGCAGGGAGAGACGAATTGGCCAGAGTTTGAGAATCTGCAGAACCTGAGGCATAGTACTGTACGTCCCCGCTCTCTTCTCTCGTCATCGTAGCGCTGACATGTTTGAAGGCCGCATTCCCCTTTTCAACCGCCTACCTCGCGCACGTCGACCCCGAAAAACCCTTTACCCTCGGCGACAGAAACGACTCGCGTAACAAGCCTCAAAAGCGCAAGAAGACTGTCATCCTCGACGAAGAAGAAGCTGCCAACGAGGTGGAAGAGAATGAGGAGGAGGCGCAGAATGAGGTGGAGGAGGTGAAGGGGTATGTGCTGGGGGAGAGCGAGAGTTTTGATGTGCCGATGAGGCCGGAGGAGAAGAGGAGGTTGAATTGGGAGGGGGGAAGGTATCTTGCGCCGCTTACTACGGTTGGGAATCTTGTACGTTCTTCTCTCTCCCCCCTCTCCCTTCGCTTTCCCCTGACAGGCCCATAGCCTTTCCGCCGCCTCTGCGTCGACTACGGCGCCACCATCACCATCTCCGAAATGGCCCTCGCCCAGCCTCTCGTCTACGGCGCCAAAGAAGAATGGGCCCTCGTCCGACGACACGAGTCTGAAAAGATGTTTGGCGTGCAGCTGGCGGGCGGGTTCCCGAATAGGATGGTACCGGCGGCGGAGGTGTTGGCGAAGAATGTGGGGAGTGGGGTGGATTTCGTTGATGTTAATATGGGGTGCCCGATTGATTTGGTGTTTAACCAGGGTGCTGGGACTGCCTGTGAGTCTTCAGTCTTGCGTATAGCTTGTCGAAGCTAAAACTTGAACAGTGATGGACTCTCCTGGACGTCTCGGCAAGATCTTGGTCGGTATGAACAGAGCTTTGGGCGAGAGTACGTCCCCCCTTCTTCTCTCACTACGTGACTGACGTTCTGGATAGTCCCTCTCACCGTCAAATTCCGAACCGGTGTCGCCCACGGCAAGCCCAACGCCCACAAGCTCATCCCTCGTTTCGCTACCGAATGGGGAGCCAGCGCGTTGACCGTACGCCCCTCTTTCCCCTCTTTGAAATGGATCTGACTTGTGTCGCAGCTCCACGGCCGATCCCGCCAACAACGATACTCCAAACCCGCCGACTGGGACTATATCAAGTCCGCCGTCACCACCCTCCGCGAATCTGTCGCCGACGCCAACCTTCCCCCCGTCCCTATCTTTGGCAATGGCGACTGTTTCTCGGCGGCTGGGTATTACGAGGAGATGGAGAAAAGCGGTGTGGATGGTGTGATGGTGGCTAGAGGGGCGTTGATCAAGCCGTGGATCTTTACGGAAATCAAGGAGAGGAGGGAATGGGATATCTCGGCGGTGGAGAGGTTGGAGGGTATTCGAAAGGTGCGTCGTCGCTCGTCTTTTTCCATTGTGTGTGCTGATAAGAGTAGTTTGCCGAGTTTGGTCTCTCCCACTGGGGTTCCGACACCCAAGGCGTCAACATCACCCGCCGATTCCTCTGCGAAGCCCTCTCATTCCAACATCGCTACATCCCCATTGGTCTCCTCGAACGTATCCCGGCAAAGATGAATGAGAGGCCGCCGGCGTATAGGGGCAGGACGGAGCTGGAAAGCTTGTTGGCGAGTCCGTTTGTGGGGGATTGGGTCAAGATTTCGGAAATGTTTTTGGGCAAGGTGGATGAGGGGTTTGAGTTTGTGCCGAAACATAAGAGTAATGCGTATGGGGGGGAAGAGGCGCAGGGGTAGGGATTTTGTGGGTATTTATGCCGATGTCATGCATCTTTTTGGCACATGGTAGTCACTCTGCGAGGGCTTCTATCTTTCTACCTTCCCCAGTAATCCAATCGCCTCTCCTTTCCCCTAGCATCAATTTCCAGCGAACAACAGCTGACACCCCTCCCCTCCAAGGCCAAGAAATTCGTCGAGGCCGTCCCCCAAACCCTCAAAGAGGACGTACTTGAAGAAGACGCCGAGAAACTCTAGAAGACGCTGCAAGGTTTGGGCGCCACCGTTACTTTTGGCTCAAGGACCAATGAGAACGGGGGCGGAGGTGGAGGGTGGATGGGAGTAGTTGGATGCATAGCATATCAGATTCGATGTTTTGGGGTGGGGACTTTGGTTTGTTTGCTTTGGGAGTGATACGATGTGTAGGGTGCGGGGAGATGGAGCGGGATTTTGGTCTATGGACGTTGATGGCGAGGGCGGTGGACATCTTTGGATCACGATTGATTTGCGTGGAACAGTGTGGACGAGTCGAACGAGGGGCTGACAAGGGACGAGCTCCGACGTGGGGCGTCTTTGTGTATGGATGTCGATTCAAATCAGGCGACCGCCATGTTACGCTCGAGTACGACAATGTCGTCAATCCATACAATCTATATAACGTATACTGTAGAATCTCCCTCCCAGTACGGGAAAGAAGGAGAAGGGGGGAGGAAAGAGGCAAGGAAAAACTTACAGATGAGGCAACAGAACGACACCGTCCAGCTCTCTCAGCCCGCCCAAAGGCTCTCCGTACGCCGGCTCGACCACAAACACATCCAACCCCGCTCCTCCCAATCTTCCCGCCTTGAGCCATCCACGATCCCGCCCCGCACGGTGTTGATCACGACTGCGGTGGGCTTCATCCACCCCAGCTCTTGCTCTCCTATCGGGTTGAGGGTGCTGTCGTTGAGGGGGCAGTAGAGGGAGACGACGTCGACTTGGCGGAGAAGCTTTTCGAGAGAGGAAGCGCGGGTGTGGGGGAGGGGCGTTTGGTAGCGCGCGTCGGAGGAGGTCCAGCGGGTAGGAGGGGAAGTGGGGGAGAAGACGATGACTTGGCAGCCGAATGCCGTCACAAGCTTTCCCACTTCGTACGCGATATCGCCCATCCCAACGAGACCTACGACTTTGCCAAACAGTCCCGGGCTCAGAGCCTTGACTTGATGGACGGCACGCACTCGCCGCTCCTGATCCGGCGGACGACTTCGAGCACGCGGCGGAGGACGGTGACCATGAGGGTGAGGGCGAGCTCGGCGACGACTTTGGCGTTGCCGCCGGGGACGTTGGTGACGGCGATGGAGTTGTCGATGCAGGTTTGGATAGGCACGTTGTCGACGCCGGTACCGTTGCGAGAGATGATACGGCATTTGGGGGCGGCTTTGACCATGTCGGAGGTTACATTGCCTGTTCGAAGCACTATCCCTGAGAGTCAGCGTGGGCTCGGAGTCTGTGGGAGGGGGAGGGGGCGTACATATGGCATCGATCCGGGGCATGAGTACTTCCCATGGGCCGTCGCTCGGGCGGAGGAGCTTGGCGAAGCGGGTGGCAGCGTATGCTTCTGACTTGGGGTGGAAGGGAGTGTGGAGGTAGACGGTGGCCTGGGCGGCGCGGACTTGGGGCTCGGCGGGGGGCGTGGGGAGGTGGGTGGGCATGGCGCTAAGAAATGCAAGGGAGGCAGGGGATTGTGGAATGGTGGATGGAAAAAGACAAGAAAAAGATGAAAGAAGATGAAAGCCGAGATAAAATGTGACTCGCTGGCGATAAGGATTGGATCGCGGGATCCCGGCAAAGCGGGGTCTACTTCGGCAAAGCGCTCCTCGGGTCTGCTGAGTGCTGTCCATCAACTTGCGGGCCCTTCTTGTGCATTATTATTCAAAACTCATTTCAAGAGGTGATCAACTCCTTAATGGTCGTTTGGGAACGACACCATCCCCACTTTTGAACTTAAATGTTTGCCGGGGCTTGGATGTATCGATCAGGTCTTGGGTCTTGAAAACCATCGCCCAGGTTGCCGCTGGTATCGCTATCAGTCAAGAAAGACTCACTGAAGCGACGATCGGGGCTACGCAAGAAGTGGCTGTCCAGTATCTCATAGAACTCCACAGGGGCATCGGCCAAAGAGTCGGCACTGAACAGGAACCTAGGCATGCGGTCAAACTCGTCCTGCTCGTCGGCATCCGCACCATCCTCGTCGCCCAAGAGTCAGAGAAAGAATACATTAGGAAGAAGCCAGCGACGCCAGTAGGTGAGTGAGTGTGGCGGCTTGTCTGCGTCCAGCAACAACGAAGCGCGTCGAGTCTCTTCGCTGCTGGTGGTGTTCTAAGCAGGAGTAAGTGTGCATGAACAATCCAACTATACCGAGGCCCTTCATTGTCAGTGGCAAGACGGTTGTCGTTGTGAGAAGGCTGAGTGCTGCGATGTCGGGATGTCGTAATAATTTGTCCATAACAGACCTAGTCATACCGACTGACGTACGTACGTAATTATTCATGTGCATCTAGCCAAGGGGGATTGCCAAGGGCAGGACCATCCAGTCAAGACCAAAAGAATGTAAGACGGTTGTTGGGATGCACTTGGGATGCACTTGAAAAGTTGAAAACAATTTCAACTGAAGCTGGGGCGCGCCTTGAAAACACGTCTTGAAAGATGCGGGGCCACATATTTGGTCCCGCGTGCAAGCCTTCGTTGTTGCCACTCACTGCTCAGCACCTGCATTCCTGTTGTTTGTTCTCTTTTTGTTCTCATCCATCCCCCCATTCCCCTCGCTTTCTACAAGCTTTCTACTACCACCTCGTCAATTGTTTTTCTCGCCACTATGGATCCTTCGTATATGGACAGGAGTGAGTGGTGCCCGTCGTTCCTCATAGTTACGAGTGCTGAGCGTTTCCCGCAGAGATCGTCGACCTGAGCGAGGAAGAGCTCACGTCTTTCCTCGGCCCAAGTGAGTCGCTTCGTCATTACTCACGTCCATCTCTCACTCATCATTCTTATAGACGTCGCTCCAGGCGTCCGCGTTATCGTCGATACAGTGAGGGCCAAACCCACCTACCTGGGCTGTAAGTCGCTCGGTCCTCCTTTTTGCGCGCTTCATACTCACATCCTTTTGCGTTTCAGTCGTGGACTGCTTCGCGGTAGACTGCCTCAATCGCAGGTACTCGGCCCCGGCTGGTCCGAAGGACGCCCCTGGCTCTCCTACCTCTCCCACCTCCCCTACCATCAGCGAGGCGAATACTCTCGTCTCACAGCTCAGCCCGAGATCAGACGCCTCCACCGTCGTCATTCCCGATCTTATCTCGGAATACGAGGCTAATTTCTGGTACCATGGCATCTCCGTCGACCCTCCCAAGCTCATGTGGCGTTCGGATCTCGAGACCAACCCCTTCCCCACCCCCCAGCGCGGAGACCGCTTCTTCAAAGTCCCCACCAAGACTGCCCACGGCGTGTTCAATACGCCGCTTAACAACGTCTGGGACACCGTCGCTCCCCTGATCATCGCATCGATGAAGTCCCACAGACTCAAGTACTCCGCGCTCAAGGCGGTTCGCTTCTCGACCCGCTTCTCGACCCTCGAGGACGAGGACGAAACGTTCGGTCCTGTCGTCGTGTGGATCGCCGTGCAGCCCAACACCACCAATGCCGGGGCTGTTCGCGATGCCACGCCAGACATCCTTGGAATCCTCGCTAGCGCCAATGTCACCGGCATCGTTGTTGAGTGGTACAAGGGGTCGGTCCAAAAGCTGTTTGGCCAGCTTCTGATGAGGGTCGAAGACTCCACCAGCCCCAGTTTCGGCCTCAACCACCCCTTCAACACCGGCCTAGGCATCCCCATCGCTAGACAGTCTGACGACGCGCAGGGCAACATCACATTCCTTTTCCGGGAGGTGAAGGACGGCAACGGCTATCCTAGCGACAGGATTCTCGCGCTGACCAACAAACACGTCGCCTCCGTCAACACGACCACCACTTACGAGTTCAATGAGGCTGACCCTCAGCACATCCTCGTGTGTGGTGAACGCCGTTTCGCTCGTGCCGTCGTCGAGATCGAGGACATCATCAACAAAGCGGTCCTCGACGCCTTTATACTTACACAGAAGTTGGAGGACTTGGAGTCGACCTCGGACGGTCAGAACAGCATGGCCGCACGACGCGTGAGGTTCGCCTTGGACGACAAGAAAGAGGGCATCGTTGAATTAAAGACGCTCCTCACCAAAGTCCGATCCGATTGGAAGGCTGTCGAGCTCCGTGAGTTCGGTCTCGTCGACTGGGCTCCCGAGATTTCTGTCAGAGTCGACGAACACCACTACACTCGCGACATTGCCACGTTTGCGGTCGATGGGACGAAGCTTGAGAATTTTGAGGGCAACATCGTCGATCTTGGTGTGTTCCGTTTCATTTCCCCGCCCTTCATTCCATTATCGCATACTGATACTCTACTCTTCAGGCAACCAATACGACGTCACTCAGCTCCGGAGCCTCTTCTGGCCCATCACTGCTGTTCGCAACGACAAGACAATCCCAGCCAACCTACAACTCCCCATCCGCAGCGCTCTCCCTTGCCGCCTCGTAATTAATCCCGACACGGAGGACCAGAACGGCGAGCCGCTTTACATCGTTGCCAAGTACGGTAATACAACCAAGCTCACCCTGGGTCGTTACTCCGGCATGGAGGCCTACACCTGCACCGACCTCGGACTCGAGTCTAGGGAGGTTGCGGTGTATAATCACAGCAAGTTCTCCGGCAACTTCTCCGACCACGGCGATTCGGGCTCCCTAATCTTCACGGGCGACGGCAACGGGCTCGCCATGCTACACTCAGGCATGCCTCGAGGCTTGAGCAATCATGTCACCTTCGGCACGCCCCTCTGGTGGGTTATCGAGCAGATCCTCGGCAAGTACCCTTCGGCCGAGTTCTACGGCATCGCCTACACCCTCGACTGAGCGTAAGCACGTCCAAGCTCTGTCCTCTCGTTTCCGCCTCCCCCACTGTCCTTTCTCCTCGTCTTCTGTTTTTCTTCTTTCTCTCTCGTTGGTTTGCACTTCTTCGTTCCATCCTTTACGCTAGTAGCTGATTATTTCTTTCGTTTAGCTCTTTGGCGGATTGCACGCCTCATCTGTTCCTTCAATGTCGTCTCGGCCCCCGGTCTCTCTTTCATTACTCTTTGATACTGTTTCCGCCCCCCCCCCCCCCTCCCACTCCTGACTCGCACCCCCTCCCCGATATATATCATGTTGCTACATATTTGCAATGTACATTATGTGTGATGTTGTTCGTATACGCCGCCGAGTGATCAGTAAGCCAAACTTAAGAGACAAGGTAAGATGTCGATGACTTGGCATCCAAAGACTTCTGATATGAGCAACAAGCAAAGCGAGATGCACCTCAATTTGCCCCCGCCCACGCACCAGATCCGTAGTACCAAACGAAACGCGTCCATGCACTTGTCAAGCACTTGTTCACCATACTAGACTCTTCGCTACAACATTGCTCCCCCTACACACTGCATATCCCCTCGTCTTCCCCCAATCTTCCGACCCCGCGTTGCGCCTCAACACCCTCGGCTTTCTCCCACCCGTCATCTTTGCTTCCATCCCCTCTTCCCTGGGGGTTAGCGGGGTTAGCGGGGGGTTAGCGGGGGTTAGGCGGGTTAGCGGGGGTTAGCGGGTTAGGGGGGTTAGCGGGGGTTAGGCGGGGTTAAGCGGGGTTAGCGGGGTAGGCGGTTAGCGGGGTTAGCGTGGGGTTACGGGGTTAGGCGATC